GACCCTGATCCTGGCCGTCCTCTCTTGAACTGGCTCTCCCCACCACCACCACCCTCATTGCATTCTTCAGAATCATTGAGTAGCTCCGACTGAAAGTAACTCAGGCTACCCTTCCCCTATACCTTTTTCCTGCTTTGCAGGTTTTTCATGACCCTCCCTCCCTTCGATCTGGCGAGAGCAATAGTCCCCATGCGGACAAGTGTTCATAGCCGCCTTTTATCCTTCTTTAATAAAACTTTAATCTACACCAAGGAATCTTCTGTTTACTTTTGTGTCGTAGCGCTTATTTGTAAATAAACTGGTAATAAACAGTCACAGATTGTTCCTCCGGATTCGTTATAATCCGAAAGAGAAGTTAAAACGTGTGTAACTACGGCGGCTATTTCTCAGGATATCTAGTAATTGGACATATTGATTATTGCACGATTAGAAATTCCCTTCGCCGGCTAGAGAATAAATATCATTTGATGGTGTAGAATAAAACAATAATTCTTTTTCTGTTTATGTCTCAAAAATTTGAAATTGTAAATCAGCACTCAAAGTCCCTATGGCAGCAAGCAACCTCTTAGCAACAGTAACAATACCTGTAACACTCAGCACTGATACTTTATTATAGCTATCTGTTGCTACTTTTGTCAACCTAGCTTTCTTGAGTACTGAACATGTCAGTTTTATTTTCATCATCATTTTTTACGAATAGGTCAAATTTTAAACGGTTTCCGCGATTATATTGACAGCTGGTAAGGACGCTACAACAATACAACTCCCTGTAAAACAACCTACAGAAACTATAACCGCAAGTCTCCTTTCTGAACTCATCTCTCATATCTCAGAGGTAGATTCTTCAGTGGTTCACTCAAAAGCGTTCAAAAAATTGGAAACGCAAAGAAATTCCTGAGTCCTGGAAGCTCCTGACTTTTTTTTTTTTTTTTTTTTTTTTTTTGGGTGCAACGCCCGATTTCGAGGCCACCCGCCACAATGGACTCCAGCCCGAAGTGCCTTTCAACTGGACTCAATCTGGAAAAAATGGCCACTCCAAGAGCGAGCCACTAATGCCAATATTCCCCTGCTGCTGTGGTGAGAGGATGACGCGTAGCAGTTGGACCAACTCCATGTTCATGAAGCATCTAGCGTTGCTGCTACTCAGGAGGATAATGCTTTTCGTTCAAACTCAAGATGAAAGCGCCCTCCATCGAGCCTACTGCCGAGACGTCTGAACGCGTGTTTCGCTATATGTATATCCAAGCAAGATCCGTATGGAAGGCCAAGGCACTTTGGCAAAGATTATACTCTTGACTTTGTCAATTCCCAAAATGATGATATTCACTAACCCCCGTCGTCAGATCGTTCCTTTGCTGATCTACAATGGTTACCACAATACCTCGATTCGATTGATTACGCGCCATAACGTTAAAGCCGATCCTTGATCACTGATTTTACCCCTCGCGACTGCATGATCCGAAATTTGCTGACCTGTCCTTGAATGATCGCCAACGTGAAGCCGATCAGATCCACCTACAACGTCTCAACGCTTCCTCCAGTTCATTTGTGAACCCTTAAAATTGGCTGTTGCCCACTCCTTTCACAGTCAAAGGTGCATTTGGTTGATGATCTGCTCCACTCCTTTCTCCAATCTCGCAGTCATCCAATATTATCACCAATCCTTCCGCCACTGACGATGACGTGGATAATCAGATGAACCTCACCCGCACCTCCAACCCCGAAAAATTTGATGAATGGACGACCTTTTAACAGTTACTTTATGGGATGCCAACGAACTTCAAAGACACCTCTGATTAATTTCCTTTCCTTTATCTCTGATTCCTCACTCATCGTCCTCACTGAAATCGGGCTTCTCCCACCACCTCCTTTTTCTCATCCGTTGGACCCAACACCATGACCAACGCCTCTACACCACTTGGCATCTCAATCTTCCTTTCATTATCCCATCACAGTTCTTCCGATCACATCACCATATGTCCTCTCATGTATTGCCGCCGATATTGCTTGTAACTTCCTCCATCTCTCTCGAACATCGATACCCTTGCTGTCCTTAATACCCTCCATACTCTACGCCAGACGCGATACTGTGTAGTGATTTCAATGCTCGTATCGCTTCCTTGTTGGTGACCATAAGACTAGCACCCGCGGTACATGGTTTTGGAATGGATCCATGAATATAAATATGGACTTAGCCTATGGAACGCTGCTCTGGCATATGCGGAACCGTCCTCGACGTCTTTCTGGAATCAACACCTCCAAAATGCATTTGATTACCGGGAACTGTGCTACAAAAAACGGCGCCATGCGGAAGGTCTCAGCAAAATGTCCCGCTGGATCGAACACCAGTGAGCCTCTGCCCGATTTCGCCGTCTAGTCAGCCAACGCAAGCGACAAATCTGGGGTGAATTCGGTGACAAGCTTACCATGGCGACTTGAGCGATGTACTGCCATGATGGGTTACACTGCAACCGTAAAACCTCACCCCAGTTCACTGTCCTGCTGCTGCGAACCGCATTCTTTTCAACTTGAGCAGCATATGCTAGCCATCTTCTCAGCCAGTCCACTCCTTCCGACCGTCTCTGCAACTTTTCCGCAACTCCTTTCCTCTCCGCATGCCTCTTCACTTCCACCCAGGTTGCTAGTGCTACCGACGCCTTGCGAATAGTACCTAGTGTCGACCATATTCGCGCCGAGGTATTCCAACAAGATAACGAAGAAGGACGCTTACCCTATTCCGTATATCGACGAACTGCTGGATGCCATGGGTGGTGCAAAGGTGTTCCAAGTCCATTGACCCTCTCACTCAAAAGACGATCAATTACGCAAAAACAAAACGAAAAATGAAAACAAAAAGCCCAACATATCGTCAAGGAGACGGCCCAGAATGGTGGATCCGACTATCCGAAAAATACGCGATAATGAATAATTGGTCCGAAGAAGAAAACTCATGCAAATACTCTTCGTCACTAAAGGAGCCACCCAACGCTGGATAGCCGATAGGGACTTCGAAACATGGAACGAATTCAAGGAAGACTTGTCCGCCTTTTTTTGTTCTCTGTTGGAAATGGGTATCAGTTACTCTGACTGGCGAATTGCACAGGCTGTCCCAATTTACAAAAAGGGCGGTATTATCGATCCAGGGAATAATCGGCCCGTATGTCTCACCTCCATGTTTCGAAAAATTCTGGAATATCATTTCATACGACAATTGGAACGTGTTGCCCTTCCTCTTGATATCGCCCAAGATGGATCCTGCCCAGCACGTACTGCTATGGATTGAGCCTTATGCCTCCATGAACTTTCCGTCACCCATCATACCATCCATGGCCAAAGCCCGGTGACCGGTTTCTTAGATATCAAATCTGCCTATGATACCGTTGATCGGAATGTCATATGGCAATAAAATGAATCTACTGCTCCTCCTCCACTCCTTTCTCTCTTCCAAAGCCGACTTGACGATGTCTATCAAAGTCCTGCCCTCCGACCTCAACTCCTCTCGTTTTCAAAGGTCAGTGTCCTTCAAGGCTCTACGCTCTCTACTTTCCTTTCCTTTATCTATATCAATACTCTCCGTGATGTCCTCCGTCTTGGCCGAAGCTTCATTATTTCCTGATGATGATGACTTTTGCCGCTCCCCATCAATTCCTCGTCCGTGGTCAATGCATCAACTTCTCTTATGAGCTGATATGCCGCGATCATCGTACCCACCTCACTCTCCTTTCCGCTTGCGAATGGCACAGCCAACAACTAGGCTATCGCTGGAATGCCGAAAAGCGTGTCGTTTTATACAATGGCTGTCCTTTGGTGCTCCCTTCCCTTCCCTTAAGTTTTATAACACCCTCCAGAGCTGCTTCTACTTTCAAGTATGTCGGTGTTCCTAGCGACCAAAGTCTGATGATCCGACTCTGCAAAGTATGGGTGGGAATCTCCATGGTTTTTCCCGTCTGCTCTCGGCACGATTGTATTAACCGTTCGTTCGCCCAAATTTGAATACGGCCTCACTCTCCCTCGCCTGTCTTTTAAGCAACGCACCCATACCGAGGATCAATGCTTATGCATGATCTTTGGTGACCATCGAGCTGCCTCTACTGCTGCGTTCCGACACCTGCTCCAAGTACCTACAATGGCTGAACGACACTGCATCCTTCAAGCCAAATATCTGTACCGGTCCTACCAGCTACAGTGGTGAATGGTTTGTAACGGACAAACCGGTTTACCCATTTGGAGGATCGACAGCCAAAAACTCGCGGTTACGATATATGTCGACTCTTCAGACATCGCCTGGGGGTAGCTTCGTCAGACATAGAAACAATGGGTTACTGGACAGAAGACGAAAAAGCCCAATCAATAAATGTCAGAGAGCTATCAGTCATTCTGGTCGCTATTCAATTGCACACCCAAAAATTCAGAAATGCCTTAATAAAAATATTCACAGACAACATCACAGCACTAAAATTGGTAACCAAATCAACCTCATCAGCAGAACTTACAACGAGTAGCAACAGAAAATATAAGCTGTCTCTGATCTACATTTTTTCGACTGCCGTGGACCTGTTCCAGGCCGTTGCTTTGCTCCGAAAATGACCAGTTCTCCATTAGTGTCGATGATCAACAACTGTCTTCTTGTACCATAGCGTCTTTTGTACTTCCATTATTTTTTGTTCCCTTTTTTTTTGATTTCCTCTTGTAGGGTTTTTATTTTCATGATATCTCCCACCTTGACCTGGCAAAACCAATTTGCTTCACACCAAAAGCTTGTGCTTGGCTTCGCCTCGCCCTCAGTACACCCTTGTCAACATTTTAACTTGGAGCGTTGACTGAAAAAACATAGGAACATAATGAAAAAGCTAACAAGCAGAGAAGATGGACGAGACTCCAGAAACAACTGCCGGACAATCAAAGCTGGGCGGTCCGGATCCGTCAGACTCCGGAGAGTCATGTGATGAGAATGACGTGTTTATCAAATGAAGACAAAAGGTTCATGGTCGGTTGGGGCAATTTTTGATTCTTTTTCTGTTACGTGCACTTTTTCTTTCGTTCGGATTGACACAAACAGTTATTGCTGAGCTTTGTCTGTTTCTTTTCTTTCAAATTCATCTTTTAATAGTGTCCAATTATTTTTTTGTGTGTAAAAAAAACCGGACTCTTCAAGTTCACTTGCTCATTGAAAAAAATGTCGGTCGATTATAGAACAAAAACGGCTCGTTTGTCCGATGCGGAAGAAGGCGAAATTGACGATGACGACAATGTGTTGCAAGATTTTGCCAAAGGCAACCAAGATGAAGTTCCTGGAGAACGGCGTTCTTCTGTTCATACCAATGGCCATTCCAAGGGAGCCGAAAAACGAACGGTTGCTGATTCCCCTCGTCGAACGGCACGAGATGAGCACGATGCAGTATCGCCACCACCGGCCAAACGCAGTCGTGTAACCGACAACGATGATCCTTTTGCGGAATATGAGCGGCTCGCTAGACGTCATCATCGCAGCCGTTCCCGAAGTCGAGACGGGTCCCAATCGCGCGACAGTGACCGAAGACGCCACCGGTATGATTATACTTCCCGTGCTCGTTCCCGTGATGAGCGCGATCGTCGAAGTGAGTCACCGTATAAAGCTGAAGATAGATACTCACGACGAAGATCGTCTCGCGAAGACGACTACGAACGTGAACGCAGCCGTCGAAGCCGATACCACAGTTCACGCAGTCGAGAACGGGAGAGACCCAGCTCCAGAAGAGAGTACGATCGTCCGAGCTCGAGATCAAGACATCGTGACGAATCGATTTCCCGACCATCCGAATCAACGGATACACGACGAAATATTCCTGCAAAGGAAGAGAAACCTTTAATACCAGTTTTGGAAGCACCCAAAGAACCGTAAGTATCTCTCGAAAGACTTCAGTGAAATCAGGCAAAGGAAAGCAGGAAGACTAACGTTGCTTGTTTGTTTTGTTTGGGAAAAAAAAGAACACCGGCGATTGCAAAGGAACCGCCAGTGGAAGAGACAGTTCCTGTTGATGTCGAAATCAAAGACGAAGAAGAGATCAAGAAGGACGAAGACCGATTAATCGAAGAACGCCGAAAGCGACGACAGGCAATTTTGGAACGGTACAAGAAAAACAAACCGGCCGAAACTCCTTCAGCAAGTACACCCATCACAGAGATGCCGCGTATTCACGATGGCAACCTAGAGAAAGGTTATTCTTTTTGGATATATTCTTGGATGGTTGGATTGAATTAAAACTCACGCTGTTCGTTTTTTTTTTTTTTTTTTTTTTCATCGGTATAGGCTCTGGCACGCCCATCGCGATATCGCTTAACAAAAATGATGCAGGCCGTAATGACACAACGGTAGGAAACACTGCCGTATCGATGGAACCACATGTGAATACTGTGTCCAGCATGGACAATATAGTGAAAGAAAAAGCAGGAGATGACTCACCCAATAATGTGTCTGCTGCAGATTATGATCCTTCGAAAGATCGCATTGCAGATGATGATCGACGTTTACGCCACAGCTTAGAGGACACTGTTGCTAAAGATGAATTACTCAAGAGCAAAGATCATCAAGAACGTGTGGCGGACGGAGTCGATAGCCACAGAGATATGCTTGCGTCAGATTATTCGGAAAAGCTCGAGAATGTTCCGACCAAGCCGAATCAAGGGGTCACCAAAGTGGACACCAGTAAGGAAATTGATATGTTTTCAGCCAGTTTCGATATGTTCGCACAAGCTCCTATTCCAGCCCAGCCTGCCGCCATTGCAGTGACTACGGCCGCCCCGGCGAATCCTAACCTGCTTGATAATTGGGATGATCCCGAAGGTTATTACAGTAAGTCATTCTTTGAAACCCGGTCTTCCCCCCAAAAAAAGTTCGATTGTGCAATTCCGTTATTCATCCATCTCTGTCTAGGTGTTCGAATCGGTGAACGACTGGATGACCGATACAATACCCTCGCTACATTGGGCCGCGGTGTGTTTAGTTCGGTGGTGAAAGCGCGAGATACAGTCACCGGCGAAGATGTGGCTATCAAAATAATTCGAAGCAATGAAACAATGTAAGCGAGCAATCCATGAAGTGACGAACAAGTCGCAGCCAAAATGCTAATCTATGGTTTTTTTTTTTTTTTTTTTTTTTTTTTTTTTTTTTGGTTCTGTCGCATGCATCTAGGTACAAAGCTGGTTTGAAAGAACTGGGTCTTTTACGTAAATTGATGGAAGCTGATCCTGATAACAAAAAGCATGTTATTCGATTACAACGGCATTTCGAGCATCGCAACCATCTTTGCCTGGTATTCGAGAGTTTGAGGTATGTAAGATCGATTGGGGGTGACAGGGATCCTTGAGAAATGAAATTAAAAACATGATGTTTCAAAGCATGAACCTTCGAGACGTGGTCAAGAAATATGGCAAGGATGTGGGTATCAGTATAAAGGCGGTGCGAATCTATGCGCAGCAGCTATTCCTTAGCTTGTCCCTGTTGAAGAAGTGTAATATTTTACATGCTGACATCAAGCCGGATAATATCCTCGTGTCGGATAGCAAAAATGTGCTCAAGCTATGCGATTTGGGGTCGGCCTCGGATGCCAGTGAGAACGAGATTACACCGTACTTGGTCTCGCGATTCTATCGTGCGCCTGAAATCAGTAAGTTGGTTGGATAATCTTTCGCCCTGAAATTTGGGATAGTGGTTTTATTTACGTTAAAATTTTCCTTTCTTTTCATTTGTGTAGTCCTCGGATTGTCATATGATTTCGCCATTGATGTATGGTCAGCGGCATGCACACTGTACGAATTATTTACGGGGAAAATCCTGTTCCCTGGACGAAGCAACAATCAGATGCTGAAGCATATGATGGAATTGAAAGGTCGCTTTCCCAACAAGTTGCTGCGAAAAGCCCAATTCACCGCGCAGCACTTTGATGAGGACTATAATTTCATGTCAGTGGAACTGGATCGCTTAACCAAGAAGGTATGTCTATTTCGGTGCATCCTTAGGCAAACTCCTTGGTTGAAAAAGACGACTGACTTTTTTTTTTCGTTTGGCGTTAGGAATTCGTGAAAAAGACGACGTTTGTGAAACCCACGCGTGATATGAAATCGCGGATTATGGGTGCGTCTCCCAGTGGCGTCACAGAGGAAGAAGGCCGGCTTGTTCTTGCTTTTATTGATTTCCTTGACAAGTGCTTGGTCCTGAGCCCCGATAAGCGAATGACCCCGCACGAAGCATTAGCACATCCTTTCATCACTGGAAAAGTATAACCAATGAACTCTTGACAGCAGATTGCATGATTCATCAAGCTAAAGTAATGCAAACAGAAAAGCAAAGTAGAAACATATTGAATGATTTATTTATTACAGGCGTGGAAATGAAAATATGCAAGTGTTTGGCTACCATTATTCATTCTTCGTCGTCCACTTCGTTGATCGTTGATAGTGTGACAGCCTCTTGGAGTAGGTTAACTTCTTGTCGCTGCAGAAACATGGGATGGGATGATAATGGGTGTTTCTTGGGATTTTCCATACATGCTGCTAGAGAAGAACGGTCCGACAGTTTCCAATGACCGGTGTTTGGAGAACTGGCATTGATTGGCAGTAACGGTAGTTTCGAACTCCGTGTTAATGCATGGTGAGTTGGTGGTGGATGAAATGAATGCAGATCGTCTCGCAGGCACGATTGAGAGGTATTGTGGCTCGTATACAGTGATGTGGTGGGAACATGTACTGTTTTGATAAACGGTTGAAGGGATAGTGAGCAAGAGGACGGCAGTGGATACACCTCGGTGATGAACAGATTTGGATGCGATGAATGATGGTAACTTGAAGAGCCAGTACTTAGAAGCATTTTTTCTCTGGTTGGATGGTTAGCTCGATTAACTAAAGAAAGAAGAGATGAATGTATGTATAGGAGAGGGGTTCTGAAGAAGGCCAAGTGATGAAGAAGGATTTATAGGTGTGTGAGTGTTTCCTTCTTTTTTTGGTGGATAATGCGGGGTTTTTGGACAAATGGCCGATTTAGGTTAGGTGGCAAAATTTGTCAATGTCAATGGGATGGCTCTCTCCCTTTTCATGTCGTCTGTCACCATCCCGGCTTCTGCAATCACAGAAAGTTTGACATTTTGTTTTCCTTTCACATTCTATTAAAAACTGTAAGATGCAGATCGTAAGTTTGGTTTTTTTTGGTGGGTGAGATTCGTTGCATGGCTCATCCCTCGGCCTTTTTTTTCATGCTGCATCCCCTGGGAATGATTTTCATCGCTGAAATGGGTAGTTGTTGTTCATCAACTGCAGCTGTGCAAAGTAAAAAAAAAGGGGTGGACGTGTAACACAATCAGAAAAAAAAAATACAGGCAAAATCCAGACCATGATGGTCAACCGGAGACTTGGTTCTTTCCCCTGCTTCTCCTCGCTGCATTTGAAAAAAAAAGTAAAAATTGAAAGCATACTTTTTATGCAACCACTCCAACCAGCGATACTAATACAGAGGATCGAGTACAGTGAAAAGGGAGACGCTAACGATGCGGACTGGTATTATATACATTTGCTAAAAACGAAGAAGGAGGGCAAGACGCAAAGCGCAAGGAACCAAAAGGAATAAATGCAATTGATAAACCAGATGTTGTGTTGTATATAACAACACAAAGACATCCCATTACCATGTTCACTGCTCCTCCGACTCATTGGTCAGTTTCGCAGATTTCCTTTCACGCTCTTGCGTCTCACCACGGGGCCTTTTTCGCTTTTTGTTTTTAGATTTAGAAGGCGTCACAGATATTTCAGATGTTGCGGATAGAGTAGGCATTACAGGTGTAAAGGGAACGATTTCACTTGGTACCTCTATGATGCCAATCCGATAGGATCTGCCACTTGGACGCGGATCTCTTGCATGATGCGGACGCACTTTAATGATGGCCGACAAGACGGATTCAGGATTTCTTGGATCAATGGCATTGATACGACGTCGGAGTAGCGTCTCAAGGTAGCTAAAAGCGCCACGGATATAATCGATTCGATTAGAACTTCGAGCCACATTGATACCTATACATTACAATTCAGCGTTTATGAGCATCCGAAAATGTTTCTAGTTTTACTATTTTCGTTTCGTGGGGTTTACCTGGTCGATCAGGATCTTCAATCGAAATTTTGTCCAGGTAGGAGCAGTTTTCCGCGCTTTTATCTAGCTGACTCTGGTATCACAAAAAAAAAACAATGAATTGCATTGAACATAATATTCCTCGCCATACACAAAGTCTATACCTTTGGAATAAGTTTGGCCCCGTCTTTTAATACGATGCACATGTTTTCAAAGTCGAATTTGGCGTAAAAGGTAAGGAACCCTAATAACAGATCGGCATAATACGTTTTCGATGAGGTATCATTGACCAAGTATTTATATTGCTATTTAAAAAACAAGCAAATGTCAGTATCGCCATGTTAGGGTTGGCAGAAGATCAAGGCCCCAAATTTTACCTGAAAGTAAAAGACGAGTAGACAAATCAGAGAATAACTGGCCAATCCATTTGTCTTTGCCGACATGACTTGGAACGTGGGCAAAGCGTCCAGGACAAGAGACGATAAGGCGTGCTTTAGGATCAGGAATAAAATACGCAATGGTGGATACTCTTGAAGCCATCTCTCGGTGCGTTGCGAACTGGAACTTTCATTGTTGAGAGTGATATCAATGGATGTTTGAAGTCTCCAATCCTCGATGGTCAATACAGGGACCTAGTTTGTGAAATAATATTCGAATGTTAAGCGTCAACAAAACTTGGAGTGGCACATTTACCTTTGCTTGGATAAGCATCATTTCCTCGTAACGGAACAGCCGTTCTGCTCGTAGTCTTTTCGATAGTGTCTTTAATGCAGCTTTTGGTTGGGACACCGAGATATTCATATCGACATCACTACAAAAGCCAAAAAGATATTTTCTGGTAAATAAATATGGGGTCACAGTTCGATGGAATGCTGCGGTACTTGCCTTCCTGGAAGAAGAAGCCCGGTGACATAGGACCCGAACGGTTCAATGACTGCTCCAGGCCACATGTCACTAATGCATAATGAAATGATTTCCAACAACCGATCTCTGTTTTTCTGTTCTCTTCGTGTGGGTTTAATGTAACTGTCAAATGCTTCGATTTCTGTTGACAGTCTATTGGAGGAATCCAGTGAGTTTTCACGCAACATAAAATCGACGGATTTACGGATCTACGGATCTGTGGATTCGTCGAGCAAAGCCATGTAATGCATTTGTCATTCTCTACTACCAACAACTCACCTTTCGCGAAGATCAGGAATATTAAGCTCGCTGGTACGAAGCCATGGAGCATCGGCTGTATCCTTCATGACGGGGTAAAACCACTTTCTTTGTTGAAAGCGCAGTTTATGTGCCTCGAAAAAATTATTTTTGATGCCTGTATATTAAAAATCTTTGGGAGTTATGCACGTTAAATCATGTGCACGGTCTCTGATTGGCTAAAAAGCAAAAACAATCCAATTGATTGGGCACAAATGTGTAAAAAGACTTCTTTTCGGCTGCAGAAGCGTTCATCGGTTACTTTCATTTCTTATGCACTCTGAATATCCCAACACTCAACGCTTGGTCACCATTTGGAAAATGAGCAAATGGTGCAATATTCCGAAGATGAGAATCCTCAAATAGTGGCAGAACGTGCTCATGACACAACTTTGACAGCATGGTTTGCCAAAAACAGAACGGATCCTCAAGCCCGAGCCTACCTTTACCCTGATTCCCATCACAATACGTATATCACCAAAGAACACGAACACGGAGAAGACGTCAAAGACGCTTTGGCGGTACGATCGGCCGGATTTACGATGTGTCACCAAGGCATTCCGAAAGATATTATTTAAGGATGATGTTGTATAACATCCCAGGTGCGCAAGTTTCCAAGATCTTCGCACAATTAACGGCGTCATCATGCCAACTTTCCAGGCTGCGGAACAGCAGCTCGGACTGCTCTCAGATGACAGCGAATGGCAACTTGCTCTCAGGAAGCATCAACTTATCAGATGCCATCATCACTTCGAAGAGTATTTGCAACTATACTCAATTTCTGTGAGCCTACCAACCCCTTTGCCCTGTGGATGCAATTCCGTGATCATTTAGCGGAAGATTATGCTTATATCTGGAGAACACAAGAGGGAAACAGGACAATAGAGCCAGCACAAGCTATGTACAATCGTGCGTTGCTGGAGATTGAAAACCTATTGAGCACACTATCGAGATCACTGGCTGATTTTGATGGCTTTGTTGTTCCACGTCCTCAAGATGCTTTTCAAGCAGTCATCACCGAAGATCAACCCAGACTGATTAGAGAACAGATGGCCATTATCGCAGAAGCTATGAGCGGGCCAGAACCACATTACGAATTCAATACCAGCCAGCAGGGTGTTTTTGATGCTGTCATAGAAGCTACTACCAGGGGTACCGATCATTCATCGTCCAGATTGTATTTCGTCGATGGTCCAGGGGGGACAGGAAAAACTTTCCTATGTAATGCCCTTTTATCTGCCATTCGTCGAACAAACAATGTTGCTCTAGCAGTGGCGTCAAGCGGAACAGCTTCTTTGCTGCTTACGCGGCGGCCGAACCGCACATTCAAGGTTTGGAATTCCATTGAAAGTTGATCAACGCACAATGTGTCGAATAACGCCGTAGTCACCAGCAGGTCTGTTATTGCAGCAGACGAAGTTAATCGTATGGAATGAGGCAACCATGGTCAGCCGACATCTTATAGAAGCTGTCAGTCGCACTCCTCAAGACGTAATGAAGATGGTAAATCCGGCTCTTCAGCATGTGACTTATGGTGGTAAATTGATTGTTTTCGCCGGCGATTTCCGTCAAGTTCTTCAGTGATCCCCAAGGCAACCAGGCCCCAAATTGCTGAACAATGTCTAAACAGGGTTTCTTTCTGGCCATCTGTAAGTGTTCTTCGATTAACGACAAACATGCGTGTAGAACAAGCTCGCTTAAGCAGTGGTGTGGATGCTAACATATTGGATCAATTCGCCTCTTATCTTTTGCATTGGTAGTGGAAGGGAACCGTACAACTTTTACCAGTGATGCTGGTGCCTTCTTCTAATGTCGAAGATCTGATATATGCAGTATATGGCCGTTTTTTTATCAGAAATGCCCTCGAGAGAATTCTTAATAAGCCGTGCCACCTTGGCTCCCAAAAAACAGAAATGTGGCCTTTTTCAATGAGAAGGTGCTGAACAGTTTCCCTGGAGATGTCTGCGAATACAAAAGTGCTGACAGCATGGACACAGAGGAAAATCAACTGGATCACACTAATGAAATCTTGAACTCTATTAAGTCAGCCAATTCAAGCGCGGAGTTTGACTACAACCTATCAATAAATGAGCAATCGATCCAACCTTCTCTTTAATCAAGTTTTGTCTCGCTTTCCTCAGCAACATCCCAACTACACATCGAAAGAACCAAACTTTGTGATCTTCAAGATCACACGCGCAACTGGTCTAAACAATTATAATCTTTGGGAAATTAGCGCAATTTGTGAATCACATGATCTACACAAGTTATCAGGACCTGTTAAACCTTTTTTTTTTTATCTTTCAACCATGCCTCGCTGCCCACTTTCACGATAATAGGCGAAACAATTAGCAGCAAGATGCCGTTTGCGCCAGTTGTGGTTAAACAGAGTATCGTCGTCTTTCGAATAAAAATGTGAGTAGAGCTCTTTTTGAAGAAAAGTGGTTGATGATACGACTGGCGTTCTTCTGTAGCATCATTCAATTTGTTGTTTTTTTTGTCAGTTATACTATATATGTCCTTTCATTCTCTTCATTTTATGATGATCGAGAGGTCGGTGTTCATCTTTTTTTTCCGGTACACCATTTGGTTCAAAGGCAAGTCCAATTTCTTTTCCTTTGCTATTATGTAATGAACCTATACTAATTCAACGTTTTTCAATGTCATATAATCCAAGTCATGTTAAGCGATCAATGACTATCGAAAACTCAAATAACAAAGGTAAAAATAACTTAACGAAATTTGAATCAATCAAAGAGCTTACTAACTCATTTTTTTTTTTAAATACCCAACATACCCACACATCTTTCTAGATCTATCATAGCCTGAGCGGGATGGAACTGAGGGGGTCAATCAGTGCTGCTTTGCGCGTGTTTAGAAACAAATCACGACGTAAGGGATGCCATAAGGTTGTCATCAATATACCAAAGTCTGTCAAGAGTTCTTGCCCAGGTTATGCCGTGTATGCGTCAGGCTTTTTGTCAGACGAAAGTCGCCCAATGTAAGGGGGCGATCTCCAGTGGCAGGCGGCATTCATTGCACAGCGGGTGTATGGCTTGTTATTTTTGTGCTTAAATCTCCCAAAGACACAGTGAATTATGTTATATCGCGCATATGACTGGTACCGTCCTAGAGTCTATCAATTCGGTTCCCACTAATATATTTCTTTGCATCGAAGCAAATCGTGTCCAAAAGAGAATTTCCAAATTGGTGGATTGAGCTCGTTGTTGTCAAGTGATAAGAAATGTATATATCCCACATCTGTGTATAATGATAAACTGAAATGTAAATATGAAGCAATCAATTTTGGGCGAAAATAGAGCATCCTGATTCCAAGTGACCCGCCGAATAGCTTTATACACAATCCTGCAACGCCCATTTTTATTACAAATTATGCTAGATGTCAAGGTCAATACTCATCCTTATCCAAGCACTTATGACCCATAAAAAGAAAGGTGCAAGACAACTTTCCGGTTGAGTTCACCGCATAAGGACAGTTGATATTGCTTGTCAAGGTGGATGACATCAATAGCTTTTCTTTTGGTATTTTTTGAATGATAAGAGATTTAACTTTCGAGCGATCTGATTTTCATTGGCTTTCGGTTACGTTATTCGATAAGAGCGCGTCTTTGAGGGATAGCCATCGTTATGGCTCTGGTTCTCCCTTTTGTCGGAGTTGGTAATTGGATCATATAAAACATATAGAAATCCTTTAAAACGCCCATAGAAAACACGCATCCCATTTAGAACGATCCGAGTACATCGCAGCAAATAAGATCGTTCTGTTAGGCATGATATGCCTTGATCAAGGGAAAATAGGAGACGAGTAAGTTTTGGGTTGAAATTACTCTTGTTGTTCGGCAAATCTGCCCCCCTTGAGCTGGGCAAACCCAAAAAGGGCGCACAAATTCCCCGACGCATAAACATGTGATGTGACCATCTCCACAATGATTTCATTTCGCACACAGTTTCCAAAAAAGAAGTTTCCTTTGACTTCACTCATAACTTAAACCTTTTTTTTCTCTCTCTACTACTTAAATCACTGGGCACGATGATAATTCGTCTTGCCTCCTTGTGGACCGTCTTATGGCTAGCGTGGTTGGGCACCACCACGCTAGCCGAACCCATCACCAACACCCATGAACCCGGTTATTGTGCCATGCGAGGTCAATGTGGTTCCCAAGCTTTCGTCCCATTACCGTGCGCATTCAACGGCAAGGCCAGCGAACCCGAGTCAACGAGTTTTCGTCAGCTGCTCGTCGATACTTGCGGATCCCAATACGGCCACGGCCCCGTTTGCTGTGAGAAAAGTCAGTTGGATAGCTTGGTTGAACAAGTGAAACGCGCCGAACCTATCATTGCTTCGTGTCCCGCTTGTTGGCATAATTTTCTACAATTCTGGTGCTCATTTACATGTTCGCCGAATCAGTCGACATTTGTCAACATTACCTCGGTCGAAGAAGGCGACACGGGTCCCATGGTCACCAGTACCGATTACTGGGTCGGCGACAATTTTGGAACCCAGTTCTATGACAGTTGCAAAGATATCAAGTTCGGTTCAAGTAATGGTTTCGCCATGGATTTCATCGGTGGCGGAGCGAAAAACTGGCATGAAATGGTTTCTTACATGGGCACCAAACGTCCCCTCCTCGGTAGCCCTTTCCAAATCGATTTTCCTGCGCTAAATCAAGTCCCTCATCATGGCATTGACCGTTACAACGACGATGGAAAAATGTGCAATGATACAGATCCGGCCTACCGGTGCGCTTGTATCGATTGTCAAGCCACTTGCCCGATCCTACCGCCGACCCCCAGTGAACGGCCCGATTGCTACGTGGGCAGCATGCGTTGTTGGAGTTTTTCCATGCTCATGACCTACAGCTTAATCGTGTTGCTCGCCATGATCCTGTTGTTGGCGAAAAATAAATGGATTGGTCAATGGGTTCAAAAGTGTCTTCATATCGATGCCGATCGAGCCGAGAACCGTGGATTGTATGAACGCGTGGCTCTGGATGCGGAACACGACGAAGAAACCGAATCGCTGTTAGACCCTGACCATCTCTCTCGCAGTTATTGGCTCAACTCCAAACTCCAAAATTGGTTCTATTGCCAAGGTCTTCTCTGTGCACGCTATCCTTGGATCGTTATTGGGGCTGGGTTGCTTATGGTATCGTTGTGTTCTCTGGGCTGGTCAAAGTTCGCCGTCGAACGTGATCCTATCAACTTGTGGGTGGCGTCTTCTTCCACAGCGCTCGCACAAAAACAGCATTTCGACAGTCATTTTTCGCCATTTTATCGCACAACCCAAATTTTTTTCGTGAACAAGGATTCCGCTCCCATTATGACTGGCGAACGATTGGAACATTTGTTCAATTTGGAAACAGAAATCAAACACATGAAATCAGCAACCAACAATTACACCTTGCAGGACGTTTGTTTCCATCCCAATGGAGATCTGTGCATTGTACAATCAGTGACAGGATACTGGCAAAGCGATATCAATAATTTCGATCCTGCAACATGGGACGAGGAATTGGATCAGTGTGCTCACCAGCCGTCCCTGTGTCTTCCTGAATTTCAGCAACCCCTCAAGCCCGAAATGCTCCTAGGTGGATACAGTGATCATCAGTATCTGGATGCGCAAACCATGATCGTGACGTATGTGCTCAAGAACTCACTGGACGCTTCCGAGGCAGAGAAAGCCGAAGAATGGGAAAAAACCTTGTTGAAGCGTGTACTGTCCAATCTCGAAAATCGTCCGGAATGGGAAGGCGTACGCATCAGTTATTCAACCGAGGTAATGGCTGGTTCTTTTTTCTTTTCTTCTTCTTCTGCGCAATGGGACGAAATCACTCACCGTGCTGTTTTAATAGAGTTCCCTGGAAGTGGAATTAAACAAATCCAGTAACACCGATGCGCTGACGGTCGTGATCAGTTATGTTGTCATGTTCCTTTATGCATCGTTGGCCTTGGGCCGTTTTACTTCCTTCCAACCACGCCGTCTTTTGGTCGATTCAAAATTCACGCTCGCCACCTGCGGTATTCTAATCGTCATCTTTTCGGTGTCCACCGCCGTGGGTCTGTTTTCCTTGACGGGAAAAAAGATCACCCTGATCATTGCCGAGGTGATTCCGTTTTTGGTCTTGGCCGTTGGCGTTGATAATATCTTCATTCTGTGTCATGAATACGCACGACGGGAAGAACTGGACGAAGCGGAAACCGTCGAAGAACGAGTGGCCAAAACACTCGGCAGAATGGGGCCTAGTATTCTCCTTAGCTCGCTTAGTGAAACGATCGCCTTTGGTTTGGGAACGCTCGTGACGATGCCTGCTGTAAGCAGTTTTGCCATTGTTGCAGCCATTGCTATTTTTGTGGATTTCCTCCTTCAAGTGACCTGCTTTGTGTCATGCATGGCATTGGATGCCCGACGAACGCAAAGTAATCGTATCGATTGCATCCCCTGTATTCGTATCCGCGCTCCCGAAGCCATTGAAAAAGAGGGTTGGCTTCAGACCGTTTTCAAGGTGTACTATGCGCCCGTCATCCTTCATCGAAAGATCCGCTACGTCATCTGCCTCGCCTTCCTCGGTCTCTTTATGCTGGCCCTCGCTCTGGTGCCAATGTTACCTTTGGGCTTGGATCAACGCATTGCCCTTCCTTCGGATTCGTACTTGGTCGATTACTTTAACGATCTTGATCAGTATTTCAACATTGGACCACCTGTTTATTTTGTCGCTCACGATGTGAACTTGACGGATCGAAGCGTACAAAAAAAGATATGTGGACGATTTGCTGGATGTTACGAGGGATCCTTGGCCAATGTGTTGGAGCAGGAGCGCAAACGACCCAATGTATCCTATATCGGTGAACCCACGAGTGTCTGGCTGGATGATTTCTTCCAATGGAGCAATCCTACCATTGGCTGCTGTCGCCTGAAGAAGAAGTCGCTGTTGCAATTCAACAAGCCCCGATCCATGTCCATGCGTCCTTTGAGTGATCTGGAAAGACCGTACTTTATGAAAAAGTGGGAATTATGTGACTCGTGGGATGATGACGAAGATTGTTCGGACTGCATACCTTCGTGGGACACCTCTATGAATAATTTCCCCGAAGGACAGACGTTCCTGGACTTTTTCGATTTGTGGATTGATATGCCGCCCGATGAAGATTGTCCGCTGGGCGGTAAAGCCGCTTACACTGATGCGGTGGTTGTCGACCACGATAAAGTGACAGTGGAAGCGTCGCATTTCCGAACTTTCCATACCCCACTTCGAAGCCAACGCGACTTTATCGCCGCCTATGAATCCGCCCGCCGCATCGCCGATGATCTCAGTACCGATTTGGAAGTGCCGGTCTATCCGTATTCGGTGTTTTACGTATTCTTTGAGCAATATACATACATTATCACGATGGCCATCGAACTTCTGGGTTTGGCTATCCTGTCGATTTTTATCATCAGCAGTTCGCTTCTTGGTAGCTTGCGATCGGGACTCATTGTCATGGGCGTTGTTGTGATGATCCTGATCGATGTGATGGGGGTCATGACCTTGTGGGGCGTCAGTTTGAATGCCGTCAGTTTGGTCAATCTGGTTATCTGTGTTGGTATCAGCGTGGAATTCTGCTGCCATATTGTTCGCGCCTTTGTTGTCGCTAGTGGTACTCTTTATGAGAGAGCCACCAGTGCCCTTGTGGATGTTGGCAGCTCGGTAAGTTACTAGAAAAAGAACAACGGAAAAGTGGATCCACCAAAAATAGGGCGCCTTTTTACTTATTTTTTACTTGTCTGTTCAGGTGTTCTGCGGTATCACACTTACCAAGTTTGCCGGTATTGTCGTTCTCGCCTTTACTCGATCCAAGATTTTTGAAATTTATTACTTCCGCATGTGTAAGTTTGATTATTTTTATTTTTTGTGATTTGCAGCGGCGAACATGATTTTTATACTAAAACCTCTCCATCGATAGATCTTGCCATTGTGGTTTTGGGTGCTTTGCATGGCCTAATGCTACTTCCGGTCTTGTTGAGCTTATTTGGCGGCGAAGGCATGTCGTTGATGGGCGATTTTGATGAAGATGGGTTCCCTTGGTTAGCCGGTCACGGTTGGCGACGCCACACGGGGCGAGGATTATTGATCGATGACCAGGATAGTTACGATCAGGTCCTTATCACCGATATACCCGAAGAGGAAGATGTTCGGGATCGACCTGCACGTCGTATGACAGCGGACTCTTAGCAACTTTTGGATGGCTTGCATTCCACCATGTTTGTATATCGTTAATTTTTTCCCCCTATCCTTGTTATTATACAATCCAGCTGCTTGGATACTTTTATTCCTTATTTCCAAATAGTGTACATTTTCAACGCTCTACAGTCTTCTCCCTCCCTCCTTTTTCCTTTGAATGAAACTATTTAAATGAACGGAAAATGGTGATGTTCACCTTTGTCCAACCTTCTTCCGTACTACGTTGACGGTTCACAAAAATGAATGAAGAGCAAAGAAAATTTCTTTTCTATCCCTGCCCACCACAATAACCTTCTTTGCAACATATCGCGGCTCAAGTTTTGAATAATTATGCTTGGTTACAGGAAGATCTTTTGTTGCTGTAGTTAGCTGTTATGGTAAATTTATTGATCAAATATGTCGTGGGTTAATGAATAGGTACACCAATGGGTGAAACAGTGTTATGGGGTGGGTTAGCTGCCTCTGATTATTGGAGGGTATCGTGATTATATTTATAAAAGAAAAAAGGACAAGGCAACTTGGCTTACTACCATTTGATGCGACTGAAGATGGTGGGAGCCGTGTTACTGCTAGGTTCATATTCTCTTGCTTTGGCCTTGATGCCTTTCATGATATCCTTGAGGGCGGCTTTATCAAGGTCGTCGCGTTTGCTAAGGATGTCTTCCACAAAGGCGAGCGGTACGTCCGGATACGCCTGGCGTAAAGTGTAGTAATCAACGAAAATCATACGACGGTTGCTTTCAAGGAGTGTGTGCACTTTTTCAATCACATCGAACCGTTCTTCCAGTTCTTCGACGGATTTATATCTCGCAAAGAAATTGAAGGAAATGCGCACATCGTTTTGAATCTTTGATAAACACGTCTCCATATGGAATCGAGCATTTCGGTGGGTCATCGCCTCCAGGTACAGCATCAGGAATCGATCCAGCATGTCGTTGACCAGTTTGTCAAACAAAAAGTCGTTCAAGTGAGCGAAATCTTGGCAATAATCTTTCAAGGTCTCGATGACGGAAGGAATCAGTGGTTGTTCGTACCATGTGGGAGTGAAGAGTTCGTCAAACACAGGCTTGATATCGTTGAAGGTGACTTCTAAAAGTGCTTCACGAGCACTGGCAGCGATTTGAATGTAGCCGTCCAACGCTTTGGACAATTTCTCTTCCACCTGAGCCTTGTATTTGGCTTCGACAAGGGACATGGTTCGTTTGAGGATACCTTCGGCAAAGTCGGAACACTTGATTTGATCATTGGCCAACGCCATCACATATTCTACAAAATCTCCCGGCACTTCATCCGGCGTTTCCAACTGTTTGCGCATTTCCGAAGATAGTAGTCGCTTCCAAAAGCTTTGGGAATCCTTCATCACCTTTTGACATTCATTCACCACAAGGTATAAAAGTTTGCCTTGGTTGGCATCGGCAGCAACGTCGATTTGCTGGTTGATGATCTGGAACATGTCGACGGAGCCGGCCATACCGTACTGATTATCCATATTCATTTCGGGCGGTGTTTTGCGGTTGACAAAGTCGCGCGATTCCGTTAGCATCAGATTCGACGTCCATTCGGCCAGCTTGGTGCGCACCAGTTTCAAGTATTCATCAACCAAGGTCTGTTCCTGACCGTCCAGCAGTTGCGGTTCGAGCAATTCTTCCGTGACGCCCAGCCGGGTGCTCATGGTGGTGTAATAATCACGGACAAAACGTAGTAAGCGTAGGATGGTGCCTGCATCCAAGTCTTGCTTGACCATCTGATTCAACAAATCATAGGTATGCCGGTGATATTCGAGGACAAAGTAAGGAAAGACTTTATACTTTTTCGGGATGCGGGGCACGATCTGATCAAAGACAAGTTCCAGATCGTTGAATATGAAATCGGTGGCATCCAGTGCGCCCACCCAATCCTCGGCTTCCTTGTACGGCGCAAATTCCTGGTCAAAGTGCTCCAACAGCGACTGATGCAACTGTTCAAAAAACTCGACTCGGTACGATTTAATGGTACGTGGATTGCCGCCAGCTAATCGCCACTTCTTGTGTCCCTGAATATCTTGATGATTGGTTTGCGCTTGTTTTGCGGCCAGGGCTTTTTCATCGGCTCGTTCTTCGCATTCGATAATCTTGGCCAGCTTGACAATGGTCGATCCACACCCATTCTCCGCCAATGGCAGCAAATTGCGGGCCAGTTGCCACAGATGCTGAGTAAAATCGTCGGACAGGACATCCACACGACGGAAATACGTCTTGAGGGTAATAATGACATCGTGAGGTGAATCGCGTGCTTGGTGCATCGTACGGTCACGGAACTCTTCCAGCTTGAACAGATGATAATGAACGTGTAATAACTCTTCGTGAGGATCGAAAATATCGCGTTGCATTGGTCGAAACATCTCGTCGATATCCTTTAACCGTTGCGACAATTCCTGGAAAGCCGTAATCTTTTCTTGGGTCGCTACAAAGTTTTGATGGACTTGAGAAATCTACGATGACGTTGGTATCAGACAAAGACAGAGAGACCGCGAAAAGCCTGCCATCACTTTTTTCTCAAGTTACCTTGTTGATGCGAGGAAAATCGCCAATCATTGATTGCGCGTCTCGACACAGTTTGTCAATATTTCGCATGCTTTCTCTGAATTTCTCAGTATTCTGTGATGACAGCTTGAGAATGTCTAAACCTTCCTGCACATTGTCTAGCTGGGTCTGCACGCCCGTGTTCAACTGCGCATCGATAGATGCTTTTTCTTTGGCTAAGCGTTTCGCCAACAGTCCGACTTTGGTACTAAGGTCATCAGGATGTTTCAAAAGATCCGATATTTTGGCAATGGCTACTTCTCGTGCATCATCCATTCGTGTACGAGTTCCAGGAAACAAGTCAAATCAAGGAAAATCCACCACTGCACCAGCAAAAGCAGCAAAATTCATTTCGGAGGGAGTTTGAAATCGCTAATTCCTCCTTCCAAAAAGGCCATGCCAAAGAACCATTATGAATGCGCAAAAAAAAAGAAAGAGGTCGTAGAGAGTCATTATTTTTGCAGTTTTAACTAACGAAGGAAGAGTAATACTATATTATACAATGATCATGACTCGCATTATATGTATTGATCTACAGTACTACAAGTGTTATTCAGCATAAAGACTCTTGACGACCTGCTGTTTTCTTCGATGGATCATATCTTTCTCTGTCGTCACAATTTCTGCAACATGGTGACCGCCGGTGTCAGTCGTTACTTGGATAATGTCTACGGATGAGTGTATTGTTTTTGTGGGGTTGCTAGAGGGATCATGCGATGCGTCGTTTCGCAGTTCCAAGATCCAATCGCCAATCGCTCGCGTCGCTTGCTGTGCTTCCGGTAAAAAGGCCATCATTTGAAGGAAAGCATGGCTCATACCTTGAAGAAATTTCACTCGAATGCCATCAAATTGGCCATCCTGATGATTCTGACTTTTGGCTTGTCGCAAACGTCCAGCAAAAATAACGGTATCGTCCACCAATGGATCTTTTTCGCCACACATCATGTAGGTTTTCGGGAATCGAGCCAACAAATCCAGTGGAGCCACCGTGGGCGATAAGAGGTAATCCGACTCAAATTCAGGACACGCGTGAGGGCCCAAATATACTGTATCATGCCGAGCATGGAAACTCATTGTTAGGATTTTTGCTGCAATGAGCTGGTTAAATAAAGTGTACTACTTACAAATCGCCATAGCACGCATCTGCAATCGACAACGATCCATGTGGAAAACACAAACAGTGAGTACTTTATTCGACAAGGACTGTCGTTGGAAGACAAAATACAAAAAAAAAAAAAAAAAAAAAAAAAAAAACTTACCAGATCAGGAGTAATGATTCGATCGTTAAAGTAGCTCATACGACTCGTCAAGGCGAGTCGTGAGGATTCCCAAGCAACGGCTGCAGGTGGTTTCGAATGCACACGTTCGCGAATAGTTTGGGAGTGACGCGTGGCGCTCGTTTTGCGTGAATACAGCTTGTTTGTCACTCGACGCCATAAGCTGTTTTGATCATCTATATCAGGAACGACACTCAGCGGACTGGCGTGACTCAGATGGTCTTTGGATTGCCAAAGCGATTCCAACGATTCCGTGCGGAAGAGTTGGCTCTTGGATTCGGCGCGTATAAGAGACAACTGGGAAGGCGCCATCCAACAGGACATTTCAAAATCCAACGCAGGATAGATAAGGATCAGACCAACAGGCATGGGAATAGGTTTATCGAGTATAGAGCCTATTGTCTTTGATGATGCTTGTTCCGTGTCCGCCATAACGTAGGAAGTAGTTAGTAAAGAGTCTTGCAAGTTGGGCATGAACGTCATTTCAAGTTTCTTGTTATGTTCAATTATCTTCAAAATCACTGCTGCTGTCAAGTTGCCGCCGCTTTTATACAAAATAACAGAGTCATGGTCAATATTACATACACACAGCAGTTGCACCCGTGCTAATTATTTGCTGTAGAACCGACTGTGGTACTTACGCAGAGTCACCGAGGATGATTACTTTGAGTGGTTTTTCACCGGACAAGCCGAGAATTTTTCCTTGCGTTTCAATGAGTTTCAGGTACAGATCAAAACATTCATTGATTTGCCATGGGTATGGATATTCAGGGGCCTTTTTATAATTGACACTGCATATGGGAAGACCGGTTTGCTTCGCCCAGGCAGCGATGGCATCTTCATGACACGGAGGTGGCATGGAAACGAAGCCGCCACCCGGAAACTGTAGAAGAAGCGTGTCGTTATCCACAAAGGTGGCGCAATCACCCGCATAAAACAGGTATATTTCTACGGGAGGAAGGTGCTCGTTATATGACGGACGATCAATGAGCATGATTCTGCGCATCGATAATTTCGGCCGTAGCAATCCGGCTGCGAAAAAAAGGATAGGATTGGTGGCCCCCTTCTCCCAGGAAACCCGCATTTGATCCACAGACATGGTGGCACGAACGCGTCGTACTTTTTCTTCCGCAGCATCTGCAAAAACAAGATAATAGCTTGAAAAGAGAAGCGAGGTAATGTGCCGTAACCACATTGGCTTCAAAGGCATTGCCGTAAAGAAACCGGCATCCAATGCTGTCAAAATCCACGTAGCACGGTAGAAACTGCGCTTATACTAGTTGTCGAACGTAGCACAGAGTTTTTGATCAGCCATAGGCGTGAGATTGAGTGGATGGATCAACGTACCAATCTCGCCAGAGGTTCAGGGGCTGCCAATGAAAAAACAGGAATACAGTGTCTCAGATTTTTACCCAAGTGTGTGATTTTTTTCACGTGAAAAAAAAAAGTTGAAGGCGGTTACACATACCATTAAGACCAACAAGATGGAATAAGTTACGCAACAAGTAATAAAACATCCAAGAAGCTAAAGCGATCTTCCAAGGTGCATGCCGTGCTGCCAACGAGGTATTAATTTTGACGTTGTATGGTCGGTGCAGCATTGGTTCGTACTACCTGTGGATCGATTCCAAGTTTGGAAAATTTGAGGTAATCGGTTCGTTTTCCCTTTGGCGAGGATCCAACAGCTATGGATAACATATCACTATAAGCAAGTCGTATAATGGTTATTTTGTTGCCGTGTTGTTTCCAAGTTACCCAGTTATCAGTGTGAGGATGATTTGGATCCGCTTCCAATTAGCCGATGGTCTTCCAACGAGATGATCAAGCATGAGAATGAGCGGTGAAGACGAATATCACGGATGAAAAAGAAAAAAGACTAGACCAAAAGGGCAAAAAAAAAAGGGTGCCTGTATTCTGCTTGGAAAACTTACATTTCATTACACCAATGAGAACCCGAACTTGCATAGCTTTTTTCATGTGTGAAACTTGGACCGATGACAAATGAAATATCATAAGTCAGAAGCTTGGGTCACACAGATCTGAGCAGCCAAAGATAATTCCTCCGCAGAAACGCCATAGCATCTACTGCTTTCTACAAACCGATGATCTCAATGGATTGGTTTGTCAGTGGTCGTCCTGTCATGTGTCGCTTAATGATCTCATCGATGGCTTGTGTCTTCTAGTGTCCGTCTGAGACGTATGCTGATCACATGAATGCATTACAGTATTATCAGGCACATGTATCAGTTGATAAGACTTTTTCTTTTAGACCTTTTTTTTTTTAATGTGTATGAGAACAAAGCAGCCGTAAAGATTGGTTGCGGTTGTTGGATGACTTTTTAGGCAGAATCGATTCTTGTAAACAATAATCGTATGCACAACATCAGTTGATCACAATAATTACACAGCATGGATGATTTTGAAAATAAACGAATTTAGCAACCCGCCTTGTCACTAAAGTATCTGAAAAAAGTTCCTTCTAATTGCTCATCATTTGCTTTTTATTTGAAGTCCACTGGATGAACTGGAAGTTGTAGATGTAGTTGCAGGATAACTTACCATTTTTTCATTGCAAATGCTACCGGCGTCTTTCGTGAAGGATGGCTATGGGTTATGTAACTGTGTTGAGGTGTTGGAGGAGGCTTATAGCATATTTTCAATGTATACCAGACACTTTTATACACAATGATAACTTGTCATGTAAAACAAATCTTTTTTTTACTTTTTACAAATTTGACAGCTTTAATCTGGTGTCATTCCTTGGCAGTCGCGGCACAAATTGGAGGTTTATCGCGTATACAGTCCAACTCCGCATTTGTGCCTCGAATAACTTTTTTTTATATCCCAGATCGTGTCGAATCTGTATTGCTTGTCTTTACCATGTCAAAGCGAGTTAATGACAAAGAGCAAGTACCATCGTCGCCAAAACGAACGCGTGTAGATGATGAAACGATGAATGTAAACCAGCACGTACAAAAGGCACGCAGTCGTCTGTTGGCCCGCATTTCTGAACGTGCCATTCCTCCGAAATTACACGGCTTGGAGCGACAGTACGATCAGTTGCATCATTTGTTGAAACAAACCGTGACCCTCGGTGAAAGTAATTCATGCCTACTCATTGGAAATCGTGGCACAGGGAAAACGATGCTTGTCCGCAGTGTTCTTGATGATCTCGACAAAATGTACAATCGCGACAACAACCGATCATTTGTTTTGGTGCGCCTCAATGGCTTGACGGAAACGAGCGATCGTTTAGCACTCGCCGAGATTTCTAGACAAATTTTGTCTGAACAAACGACCGGTCAATCGGAACGTTCATTCGTAAGTAGACTTTCCGCGCAAAGCCGCATGGATGGATCATCAAGCAGAAAAGCTAAACTCGGTATGCCAGTCGTCGTTTGCAGAATCGTTTGCTTACATTCTATCACTGCTGAAATCAGGCAGCAAAGCGACGTTGCCCATCATATTCGTGCTGGAAGAGTTTGATCTTTTCACCCAGCATCCCAAGCAAGCTCTCTTATACAATCTGTTTGATACAGTCCAGAGTGCGCAAAATCCATTGGCCGTCATAGGATTAACTTGCCGTCTTGTAAGTGATGTGATGGGTCTGCTTGGATACAGTCGTTTCCTGAATCAAGCACAAAAATAGGATACCCTTGAATTGCTAGAAAAGCGCGTCAAATCTCGATTCTCCCATCGTCAAATTTATCTGTTCCCTCCCACCGTATTTCGCCATTTTCTCGACATCGCAAAGGACTCCTTGTCGTTGCAAGTACGATCCACAGATCCTGTTTCCTATCAAAACTATGTGAAAACGTTCAACCAGTCTGTCAATGTAAGTGATTATATCGCACTGTTTGCAAGAATTCAAGTCCTTAACCTTTTGCATTTTTCTTCAGGAACTCTTTGACGATGTCGCCCTCATCAGTTTACTGCGCCGTATTTTCGATTTAACAAAAGATCTGCGTTTATTTTACAAAATATGTGTAAGCAAATATTCAGATTGACGATACGAACACTGAATTTTAACAAAATATTAGTTTGACCCGGTCACCAAATTGACGGCAGAAGAACCGTTATTACAAGTAATCCATTTCCAGACCGCCGATATGATGCAGCGAACAGACTCAAAGACAGAAATGTTAAAAGGTAATTCATCCCTTTGTGATGCTTCATTTTGAGGGGTATTCGGTTATTCACATGATATTTTAGGTGTTTCCTTACTGGAGCTCATTCTGATTGTGAGCATGAAAAAATTGATGGAGAGAGACATTTCAGTGTTCAATTTTCAGATGGTGTACGATGAATACAAGGAATTTATGAGCAGTACGCAGGTGCGAGGCATGGGGTTTGGCATGAAACTCTACAAGCGAGCAGTAGCCTTGAAGGTAATTGGATGCTTTTTCTAATTCTTTACAATGGCGCCCTTTTCCATTTGATCTCACAGATAATCTTATTCTTTTTATTCCCAGGCCTTTGAAAATTTGCAAGCATTTGAGCTGGTATGTCCGACGGAGCAAATCGGCAAGCGTCCGAAAGAATTCCGAATGGCGAAACTGATGTTGGAGCAAGCCCAAGTCACCGAAGCCGTGTATAAATATAAAGATTGTCCTGCCACCGTCAAGAAATGGGGAACCGGTAGTGTTTAAAAAAAATCCTTTCTTTTGGTCATGTAAATAGAATTGTGTTTATTGAAATCGTGGAATACTTGCTAAAAGTTGATTTTTATGAGACAAGAAGAAAAGAGGAATGAATTGAAAAATAATTAGCGTATGCTACAAATGTACTATAAAAAATATAAGAGAGACGTCTTAAAGGCTGTTGGTGACATTGTCTGCTTGGCTGTAGTAGTTTTCGCGCATGAATTCAAAGAAGGCAAAGTGATCGGGCTGAGCACCATACTTGTAGACGAATTGAGAAGCGAGGTAGGCACCAAAGATGGCCTTGACGTAGCTTTCGGGAACACGTTGTAATAAGGTGTCGAGGCCGATCTTGTCCAACAACAACTTGGGGAAAGCACGTTCAAGGACGGAACGACGGAGCGCAACGTTGTCCCACAGACCAGTGTTCTGCAATTGTTCGTTCAACTGGACAATGGCTGTCGACAATTCATCGGAAAGCACCGAGATGGGTTGCTTGGTCTTGGTGTGTTCGCGCCATAAAGCATCGAACTCGACCGCGGCATTGTGTTCAATGATACGCTGCACTTCCTTGACATAGGCTTCATAGAACTCGGGCACGACGCCGTTCTTCACGCTCATGTGTTGATCGAATTCGGCATCGTTGAAAGCCAAAGCAGCAAGCACCTCAAGCGACGAGGAAGTCACACCACCCTTGTTGGCCGAAGCGTCCTTGAAGATCACCACACCGGCCTTCTCCAGACGAAGACGCGCTTCTTGAGTGAAGAACAAGTTGGCACCTTCCACGATATACTTGAACAAAAGAGAGCCGTCCTCGCCCATGAGCTTGTGAATATTGGACAGATCCACAGATTCGGGACGACCACCGCAAGGAACAAACACCATAGCCGAAGCAAGCTTGTTTGTGTGGAAAGTGTTGCGGAAGGACAGACCATTCTCCACCACGGTGCCATCAGGCAAACGGACATTGCTTTCATCGACCAGCACACGGAAACCATCGGCAGAGAGCTTGCTGGTATCAAAGTTGCTGATCATCATGCGCTTGGTAGCCAAACGAAGCAATTCATCGCGGTTGATACCGTGTGGATCACACAACACACCGGAACCGTCAACAATGGCCACTGTCTTGTCCTTGGAGATCTTGATTTCATTGGAACCCAAATCACCGTCGGGACCACCGGTCTGAAGCTTGGTGCACTCTTCTTCCTTCAAACCAAAGGTACGGTAGATACCCAAGACGTATTGGTGGACAGAGCGGGTCGTCATACCATAGGTATCGTGAGGAATACCACCCATCGACTGGCTCTTACCGGTCGTGAAAGCCTTCCAGAATCCGGCGCCACGACGACGAGCATGCAACGAAGCCCAGTCCATGTAATCGGCGGTACCTTCATCAGGACCAAAGAACAGAATTTCCTGTTTGTCGGCCAAATCCACCAACTTTTCCTTGATACCGGGCGTTTCACCGGTGATAAGCAAGTCCAAGACGGAGTCGACGTACTTTTCAAAGGCGACGCGGGGCTTGTCCTGTTGGTCAATGTCGAGCAAAATCGTACCCTTGGAACCACCTTCGGGAATATCCTTGTTCTTGCGCTGCTGCGTAGCGGCCAAAGCATAGTTCTCATCGAACAAGGTACGCTGATTGATGGAGTAGGCTTCTCGGTTACGCGAGCGGATGATACGGATACCGCCACGAGCCACATCACGGAAACGCAAATGGAAACCACGGAACTCGGCACCGACCACGAGGAACATACCGTAAAGCTTGTTGGGGTACTCAATTTCAGGCAAGAAGCTGGGATCCAAACGGAAGGACAAGGCGACCTTGGTGGATTGGTAAAAGTTGGTCTTCACCACATGCTTGTTGAAAGTCAAGAAGGATTCAAAGACGAGTTGCTCGTGAGCATTGGAGGTGACAGCCTTGATCTTCTTACTGAGTTCTTCGTTGCTCAAGATCTCGAGCTTGGTCAGACGCTGGTAAGAGATAGTAGGTTGGAGGGAAGCTTCACGCTGGTTGACGTAGTGGACCGTAGCAAAGTTGGCATACAACAGACGGATCAAATCAGGATAGCTGCGAATAATATCGAGGATATAGTCACGAGTGAAAGTATCCTGGCGAAGGCGCTTCTTCATCTTGGACAAGATTTCTTCATGGATAGGATTGCTGGCATCCAAGATGTTGTTCAAGCTCAAGTATTCCTTGCCGAGACGGTTGAGGAAGTGTTGAGCAAAGATCCAACCGACATAACCATAGATGGTTTCCTGAACCGACAACTTGTTGGTCTGGAAAAAGTTCTGCAAGGGGGTCTTGGGCAAACAGAAGATCAAGGATGTTTCCTTCATCACCTGGTAGATGGAATGTTCAATAGGGGTCGCCTTGGAGTTGGGCACCGGGTTCAAATAGAGACAGATGATGGTGACACCGTTGGAGAATTGTTCTACATTGCAACTCTGTCATTATACTGACCACAAAAAAAAACCCAACACGCCCTTGTCATGTGATATAACTTACCGACATATTTACGAGTAGAATAAAGGTCATAGTAATGGTATAAATCGGACATGGCCGAGAAGAAACCTTTGGTGCTACGTTGACGGTAACCAATGATCAAGCGACGTTCACGGCTACCTTGGACTTCGAACATTTCAATGACGGGACCGGTACGCTGCAAGACATTGTGCATCACCTCGGAGTAGATCTTCAGAGTATGGTCTGTGGCCTTTTTCAAGAATGCTTGATCCGCCACTTGACGGATATCCATCTCTTGCTCCGGAGTGGGTTCAGGATTGGCAAATTGACACTTGGTAACAAAGTAGCTGCGGAGTTGAGAGCTCATACCGGAGGTGGTCATACCGCTGGAACGGTACGATTCGACACGGTAAGCCTTGGCCGGAGTAGAGATATCCAAGTACTTTTCATCAATTCTAGGGTTACAAAACGAGTTAATTATCTTTTTCGACCATGATAGAGACACTTCTCCTCCTCTTGTTATGAAAAGAGGGGACCAAGGAATTTTTTTTTTTTTTTACCTTCGTTCATTTTGGGGACCGTGCACCTGGGACACACCGGGTTGGGAGGAATGGATAAAAACGGAAGAATCTTCGGATTCCTTTTGAAGATTCACGTCCAACACATTTTCATGCTTCGTGAAAGCCAAAATCTTGGCACCATACAAAGCCATAATATGGTTAGCAATGGTCTCGACGGACTCCAAAGCAAAGTAATAGTCGTCAATGTTCAAGTTGCTACGCAGGACAACAACAATTTTTAGAGTTTAGCTAACCCGATCAATTCACCCAATGACCCATTATTCCACTATTTGTGAACTTACCCATAAAACCACTGAACTTCGTTCTCGACCAAGTCCTTGGGAAGAAAACCGAGGTTCTCAAGGTATTTGCAGACTTGACCCATTTGTTCATTCTTTCCAGCAAACACATTGGTGTTGTAACCGCTTTCATTGACGATGGTGTGATATTTGTCACTCAGAATACTGGCATCCTGAGCCGGGAGAGTTGATACAGAGGAAGCCATATCAAATATATAAAAGAAGAAAAAAAAAGTTGAAAGAGTTCGAATTAGAGATCCAAGAAATAAACCTGGTGTGGGGTTAAAACAGCCTGCCTTTATATATGATGTCTATGTTTAGCGTTTGTCTGAGTCAATGCATTTAAGGCACAGCTCCATGGTCCGTACATTGGGCGCAAATGTGATGGGTCTTTCATTCTTTTTCGGTTCCGCATAGCGGGCTTTCAATATCCCTGGCAAGAAGCGGTATGAGGTGTAAGCCTGCGGTGATTGGCTGAAGCCGTGAGAATAATTTGTCATGGAGACACCAGAAATTTACAATGTTTCGGAGCCCTTGTTTCTGTTTCTTTTGATCATCGAATTATCAACGGGGTGGATAGACAATGCATCATGTATGAATATCATCGTATAAGTGTAATAAGGCACACGATAAAAATCATTTGCTTGGATATTTTTGTCACTTACCAGGGAAAAGCCAAGCGTGAAAAACGACCCGCTGAACTTGCATGCGTTGTACGGATAAACGTTTGAAAGCATGCCATTCGCTGTTTTATTTCTCACGACTGTGGTTGACTTTGTGCACCCACGCCAAACGCTTGGTTTTTATTCTCGGCCTTAATCCAAAAGCGGCCCAATGATCGTCTGTAGGTTTTGGTCGGTTCATCATTTTTTTTGTGGGGTAAAAAAACAACGATGCTCCACAGTCTGGCTGGCTTGCAAATTCCATATTTGGTGACCCAGCTACGCTTGAAAATTTTTCGTCCCGTCCGCGGAAAGATATCCATTGACGGTAACAACGTTCCTTTTTTTTTCCTGATCTCTCCTTGAGCTTGGAACCAGCTTCTTTCCCCCCGGTCAACTGCTGCTTAGTGTCATGTCATCAATTTAAATTCAGCGTGTCTAAAAGCGTCTAGTATTTGTTTTTCCCCACACACAAGGAAAAAAATGCGCAACTTAGTCGTTGTCTGATGAAGACGGATATTCCGCTTCTGGGCGACGGTTCCGCTTTATTACACTTTGTTACATTCACCTAGCCTAATTTGGGATGTGCCCTTATTTTAGAATGTTCAGTACGTCCATACCCGTCACTGGCTAAGGGTGAAGGCGCATGAAAATTACGCACTAGCCTCGAAGTCCAAAATAAATGATATCATCCAGCTACATCGGTCGAGGGCTCCGAAATTGCTTGCCAACATGAGGGCAACCCACCGTAGAATGCACAGTTAGTTTCGTTCCTGACCATGATGGGGTGGGTTCATGACCCTATTTTGGATCCTGGGAAATGTGAAAAACCCCATGGTTACCTAGACAATAAGTACCACATGTCTGCATGTGTGTTGTGTAGGAAAAGTTGGTTTGCCAATCATTTTTGTGGACCCCGCCTATTTTTTTGCCGGTTCCAGTCATTGGTTGGAAATGACGATGATGAATGAGACTGCCGGTTGAAACCCCGCAAGCGGTCGGCTGTGGAGCGTTCCGTGGACCGTCAAACCGACAAATGGATGAATAAACCCTGTGAGTCATCAATAGGTAATCATCACACTGGTTGTGATTAGAAAACACCATGCCAATACAAATTCATGGAATTACTGGAAGTAAGCTTACAAAGAAAAAGTCCCGTATAGCCAATAATGGTATGTTGTGCCGTTTTCGTCAGCTCTCCATATTCAGCATGATCCGCGCACAAAAATATGCATGCAATAAAGACGAAAAAGAAGATGATTTTTTTCCATTGAATAACAAGCTTCGATTATTGTTTGTAAGTCCCTCAGTTCCTGGGTGCGTAGATCCGTCAAGAATTCACGCAATTCAGAATATAGGTTGGTGATGGCAAGAAAGGTGCCACGGAATACACCGTTGCTGATGGTTGATCTCAACTTTTATAATCTAAATCGAACCTTTGACTTTCAATCAATGCGTTATCACGTTATTGTACAGTTTAATTGAAAAAATCTGGGTAAAAATTTTACAAATCAAAAATTTTAAAAGAGACAAGGTAATGTTGTTTTAAGTAATTAAAAGAGAGCAACCCAAGGGACAAAGACATACAAAGAAAAAAAGATGGATGCATTAGACAAGCCACAGTTACTCTTCTTTTGTTTTTACTTACAAAAAAACCGTTGTCAGCGCATTGCTGGAGCCGCCATCGCACACCGCCAAGGCATGGGCTTTGTTCATCAGTTATTTAGACTACACAGTAAAAGCACACCAAGCAAGTGAGTAATTCGGCATAACATTCAAAAAAAAGAAAGGCCACTTGAGCTATTTGTGGAGGTTCAGTCCTTGATAGCACAGTTGTAGTCATCATGAGTATATGTACAGAATAGGTGATTTGAGCAAACTTTGATAGAAATAAGCAATAAAAGATATATGGCGCGATGGATGGATTTGCGAAGAAAAGAAAAAAGAATGATAGATGTGCGATGAAGAGGAAATACAAAATGGATGGAAGATGCGTCGTCTTTTGTAGACATGAAAAAGAGGCGATCTCTCGTACTGTAGCTAAAGCCTTTATTGTCAATAATGAAGCAGGAAGAAGACGCCATGTGTCTTTTCTCATCGCTTCACGTCATATAATCCTTTGATAAGACAGTGGGGCCTCACCGCATGAAATGGCTGCATGAAGTAGGTCTCAGATACTGTTAGAGAGAGATTTTTATTCTCAAGTGTTCATATATCGGCTGATGGGATACACAGGTGCACATAACTTTGGTACAGACGTAATGCGTGGCTCGTTAAACTATATTTTAACTTGTATTATACACTTTATTGAAAATAGAAGTCATCCTAATGAAGACGGCCTCTTCTTTTTGATGAACAAAGTCGTCAGTTTCAGCGCATTTTCCCACCAGGATTACGCAGGCCAAGGTAATATGACGAGAACCCCACACTCCCCTCCAATAAAGGTTCAAGCCATGCTTTTTGCTTCCTTGCAATTTATTTGACTATCATTTCTTTATTTTCCGAGAAAAATGAACTGAAAGATTGAAGAAGACATTAGGGAAGTCAACAAAATTTATCGGGATTACAAAATATTTTGTCAGGGTCGCTGTACAGGAATATCAAATCATCTCGATTACAATAACTCTGTGCTTGTAAGTGGGCAATAAAACAACTAAGTCAGACGTTGCATGTCAGTTACATCGGTTGACAGCATTCACAGTGACTTCAGAAATCCGTCAGTAAATCCTATTCAAAATTGATCATAAAATCGTAAAAAAAATAGATGGATGTGCTGATTGTATTGAAAAATAACATACAGTACTGGAAATGATGGGGACCAGGCCAATGACGATGCCGCTTTATTACCACTATGTTGCAAGGATGATCATTGTTTGCTGTGCCCATATTTTAAAAGATAGCTAAACATTGGGTTACTGTGAGCTGATGATGCGTTTTATCTTTTTTATCTCGTTATTCTTCAGCCGTGTATGCTGTATATAGGCTTAACGCACTTGCACAAGCAAGAGCGAACTAGCAAGTGCAAGCACGCCAAACCCCTTTTTGTATTCTCTGCTTTTTACAGTCCAATTTGCTCGAAAAAAGATATTATTATTTTACACATTTCAGCATGGTATCTCGCGGTATCCTGTATATGATGATATCCGGTATCTCGCATTGGCCGTCCTGCATTGGGCCAATGCGATTTTTTTATATGTGGTGAAGGAGAGACAGTCCTGGGTGGCTTTGAAAAGAAGCGCTGGATGATCCAGCATTTAAAGTCTGACGGGGCTGTCTCCGATCACCTGAGCACACCCTACAGTTTCGTTATGCCGTTCTCTCTCTATGGCGATTTATCTAGCCCGACCTCTTATAATAAGAAGAACAACGATGATAATAAATCCACCAAACCCGCAATAACTTCTTTTGGATTGTACGACGCCATCTCAGGTCCCGGGGTGGATGCAGCTGCTTCCACTTCTACTTCGCCTGCATCCTCTACTTCCACCGCCGCCGCCACCACATCTACTACCAATGTCACAGCCTCAGCAATAACTCCCTCAGCTGCCACACCACCCGTGAAGCCTGCTGGTATGATTTAATTGAACCTCTTTTTTGTGACGCATCAGCGTGCTGATCCACGTTTGGCTTTTAGGCTGGTCAGCCTACAAACAGTTTCGACCTGTGATGCGTAAACCGACGATTCAGGCCAAGCCAAAACTGAATCGACCTGTTATTCCAGCGGGAGCCACCATCGTCTCCGAGACTGTAGTCACCAAAGATCAAGCAACGAGCAACGACACTATCTTTTCAGAAAAGACGAGTTCGCCCTCTCCACTGCCACCACCACCACCTTCCATGTCCGTGAAAATCGACGCCCTCCCTTTCATTAGCACAGCAGACGATGTCAATGGTTTTCGAGCGGTACAACAATCCAAAGTAAGATGCTCTAGCAAAACTCGCTCCGAATGAATAGCATAATGCTGACGTGCCGTGTTAGAAAAAAGGAAAAAAGAAGGGAAAAAAGAACGATCAGGCCCCACCACCTATGGACATGAACGAAGATTACGATCCACAACGACCCAACGATTACGAGCAATACAAAGAGGAGCGTAAGTTACAGCGGGAAGCGAGGAGAAGAGAGCAATTACAACGACGACGTGCCGACCGATCTCGGTCACGGTCAAGATCACGCTCGCTTTCACCATACTCTGATCGCAGCTATAACTCCCGATCGCCCAGTCCCCGATCACGACGTGAGTACCATTGTTTTTAAATTTGTTACGTTAAATATGCTAATTCAAGTGGGCATCAAGGCGTTTTTGCTCCTCCGCCAGAATTATACCAATCCCCGTCTAGGCCCTCCTTATCTCCAGAAAGAAGACATACATCGGAAGACTATCATATGAGAAGAGCAGAACCTGCAAGGATCAATTTGGACGAGTCGGCCGACGACGCATATGCACGTCGAGCCAATCTAGCAAAGATGAATCTGAATGAATCAGCCGAGGATGCTTACGCTCGGCGAGCCCAACTTTCTCAAGGACCCGTCAACGACGCATCACGCCATATGCAAGTAGACCAATAATGCATCGTACAAAAATTTTTCCAGAAAAATTACTAACGTTGTTCATTGTAGGAGAGACATGGATGACCGTGGCATGAGCTATGATATGCCCAGACGCGTGCTCACGAAATATGGATGGCAAGACGGTCAAGGTAAAAAAAAGGCTATCTTAAACAAATGAAAGCGATCGATCTTCTAATCAATCAATCACTCATGGGCCGACTCAGGTTTAGGTCGGGATGAAGATGGCATGTCGGAAGCATTGCAAGTGCAAGCAACGGGACGAGGTAGTGGAAGAATCATGCATCCCTCTCAGTATCCCAAACCCTCCTCATTTTCTCAACCCATGCCACCTGCTCCACCGCCATCCCAAGTTATCTTATTGACGAATATGGTTGGCCCTGGTGAGGTGGACGAAATGTTGCAGGAAGAAACGGCGGAAGAGTGTGCGAAATACGGCAAAGTGGAGCGTTGTCTAATATTTGAGGTGGCGAATGGGCAGGTCCCCGATGAAGAAGCGGTGCGTATATTTATAAAGTTCACCACTAAAGACGCCGCTCAACATGCTATCACGGATCTGGATGGTCGCTATTTCGGAGGTCGCGTGGTCTTTGCTCGATTCTATGATTGCGACAAGTTTGATCGATTACAATTGGCTCCCAGTCCAGAAGAAGTGTCCGCCTTCAGACGTGGTCCTCCTCCTTTATAATCCAGACAGAAACGGGAGAAAAAAAAAGCGCGAAAATAAACCAGTTTTATATTACAAAAAAAAAAGAAATAAGAAAAATGCTTTTAGTGTCATTGTTCTTTTTCCTTCAATCGGGCTAATCGTTCTCTGTTGCGCTTTAACAAAATTCTGTTCACGTTGTCCTTTTCAATATCGGCCATTTCATGCCAGTTATTGATACGGCTCAAAGTGCCATCTTCATTCACGACTAGAAGATTTCAGACCCCATGTCAGTCACGTCGAACCAACAAGATCACAGTTTCTATACAAGTATACTTGCCTACAGGGCCTAATTCCTTGAGTTTGTAATTGTCGTTGATTCCGACCTTGACGGTTTCTTCGGCTGTAGAAGGAAGGGCGAGAATGGGCTTCGATTCGTTTGCTCCGTTGGTAGACTCAGAAGACATGGTTCTGCGGGAGTGTGTGAGGAAGTTTCGCGATTGCAATGACCGAGCAATAGGACGCAAGAAGTGCATTCAAGAGATCGGAAGAAGCTAATATAAAAAAATCCAAAAAAAAAAGTCAAAAAAAAAGAATGTCATGGAAATTCTTTGAACACATGGCTCATCCATGCCACTCCGCCTGCCATGGCACCGATCACCTCTTTTTTTTTCTTACCACCTTTCTGTTCGTGTTTGTAGAAAGTCGATTTCTTGTCGGATATCCATTATCAACTATTCTATTACTAGATCTCTCATCAACCGTACGCTCAACTGGGATTACGCAATAGACTTGACCCCGATCGTTGGTGCCTAGTACAGTAATCTCAAAAACCCCTTTATTTGACGTGACAAAGAATCAGTGTTATGGAAGTAGGGACAATTTACCATGACATCGATCTTAAAATTTGTAGAAACCCAAGATCAATGTCTCTTTCAAACTGAGATGGGTTTCGATAATTTGTACCGTAGCTCTTGCTTTGGTGGTCTTCACTGTATTTGGTTTATCGTCAAATAGCAGCAGCCTTTAATCCCAAATCCCCGTACTATTGTACAAAGGAAAGAGTGATAACAAACTTTACCATGTATGAGTAACATGCCGTTGTAAGCTTTCTATTCATGTTGCATTGTAGATAAAAAAAATATTGAGTCTTTGCGAGGCAAGCGTCTATCCTAAAAGAAAAGATAAGATCTGTATACAGGAATTCATAAAATATGATACAAAGGAAACCATGAAACAAGGAAAAGCAATTGAATATACAGTAGATACATGATAACAGACTGGACGATCAAGAAGTCATGACACGCGGTTGTTGTTGTCGTCGTCGATCTGCAAAGAATAATTTACCGACTTCATAGCTTGAAATCATGATAGCACATGATGGAGCCACTTTCATCACTCGAGGAACCACACCTGCAAAACACAAACTCGCCAATCAATATGCTATCCAACTTACGAACAAAGAAAGCAATCGCTTTTTAAGATATCCGTACCTCTTAAAAACCCTTTCCAACCTTCGTCAGCCAGGATACGTCGCGTAATCAATGTAAAAGACATATCTACGATGGATCATAATCATCAACATCACCAATGAGCTGACTGCGATATATAATGATTCATTTTCCACGGCCTTTTACCTTTGGATGAATTCACTTGTCGCTGTGTCTTTAACACATCGAATGGCGTTGTTAATACTGCCGCAATCTGGATGCACAACAACAAGAATCAATCGACAGTTCTTCAACATAAATAGCGCAGTTTGCACTTACCATGCCGGAGGAAGCCCCCGCAGCAAATGATATCTGGAAATTGGAAAGGGTATCCTCTTCACCGTAGCCATCTATTGCCTTTAACCGATGTTTAATCTTTTCGTAACCCATCCAGTACACAGCTACACCATGAAAAATGGATCCCATGAGTCTTTGTATATACATGTGCGTTTTGTCTAGTGTGTGCCATTACCTGAGAAGGGCACATCTCGCAACATGGTTGGTAGGAAACCTCGCCACAGAGATCTGAATCCATTGTGTTCCACCATTCGAACCACCCCGTTTAATACAGCTACGGTTGCCTTTGATTGAGTTATCCAGGTAACACACGCACGAGTTATGTGTTCAAAGTGTCTTACATTTGAAATCTTGACGTCCTTCAGCAGCTTGTAGACGGGTGCGGAATAATTCAATAGGGGATATCGTGGCGGCAGCAATAGCTAAAGAGGGAGTTTTGCCTTAGAGATCACCATGGTTTTGATTTTCATTAGGACAACTTACCTCTGGCCATGCCCCCTGCCCAAAGTGGTGAATAATCGTGGATGGCTGTATGGGCAAATCGGGACTTTTGAGTCTGTTCCCGGACGTAGTCATAGCCAACGAAATAGATGACGGTCGAAGGAATGGCCATGGCCAGACTCGCTGATAAGCCCCGCCAAAGGGAAAATGTTCCTTCATGTCGTACAATTTTGGTCACACCATCCTGCAGGATGAAGAAAAAGCAGTAAGATAAAGTTTTGATGAGCTGGGTTGTGTTCGAGCTTTCCCAGTGTAATACAACTTACCCAAGTCCCATTAAACTGCAATCCATTGGTCAAATGATGTCCAGCTTGACTTTGTAACCGAGTCTTAACGACATCGAGCGGTGTAACTAGAACCAAGCGGTTAGCTCAATGTTCAACAGGCTGTCATTGTCGGACTGTACCAAGAAATGAGGTGAACAGTGCGCCGGAACATGCCGACAGCATGCGTTCCATGGAGCTAATTTCATGGGATGGGGCTAGCAATGGTTGTTGTGCCGGCTGAATTTCATCGTCGATATACGCCCAGTCGCTGATGTCAGTCATTAGCCAAGAGGTCAAACATTGTAAGTGATTCCCAGCTGGAACATGAAGAAAAGTTTTTGAAGTTTCGGAATGTGAAAATTACAAAACGAACATCATCAAACCATCGTCAAATTGACGAAAGCATGCATCGACATCATTTTCTCCATGCTTTTTTTCTTTCGCAGTGCGGCTATGTATTGCCGTCATTTTGAAGTCTGATTGATACGGCAGCGATACAAACGCATGCTACAAGCTGTGCAGATAACCATCAGATTAATGTATCACTTTTCTTTTTTTTTTTTCCATTGGGTGATGGGAAATATGTCACTTTCGTCACAGTTGTTTGAAATCATTGGAGTCGGTATACATCACATAATGCAACTTACTGGATTGACAAAGACTTTGCATGATTTCATGCTCACTTGACAAACATCGATCCGTAGGATTACTTTCAGGAAATCTGCTTCGTACGAGAATAATTAAGCGTAGATATCAGTAATGCCAATAATGCTACTCTTAGTAGTTGTTTACAATTGTTTTGTGCATATGCGGTCTAGCGAACAGGCGAAACGCTTCCATATCTACAATGTGCTGTAAGTTCTAGGTGATCTTCTTCATCAACGCAACCACACCAGGGACATCAACTGGATGATGGCTATTGATATTTTTGACTACTCAGAGAAAAGACTCAAGCCAGAAAATGGTTCGTGCGGACATTATAATGAAAAAGTACAATTCATTTAGAATATTACGAGGTAGTTGCCGTTGCCTTTTTTTATGATCCAAAACTGCTAAATTTCCTTTTTTTATTTCACGGTTTTAAGCCACAATAGCGCAACAGCAGCCAATAAGAAGCTGCGATCAGCAAATTTCCACCTGCCCGATGTCAAGTCGACCTGCGGTTTTTATGCCTTATTAACTACAATACTGTTAGGCAAGATTCGTTTGGAAGCCTCCAGGTAGTTGTAACTGATCTCATTTTTCCTTGTTGGCAATAACCTTGCTTCTCCATATTACCGACATATTGACGGAGGCGCAAGTCATCATAGTCCTTTCGCGCACTTTACCATTTGCTGACATTATGAGTAGCCCCCGTTTCGCAGAAGAATTATACCACCGAAGCACTAATTGATGAGCCCTTGCCAGCTCATTTGGTGTTCAGGGTAGGTCCAATTAAAGTTTGCATTAGAACGAAGCGCCTGAAATTAAAGGTACCATAGGTACCTAATTGAAGCCATGGTTCATACTTTTGAAGTCGGAGAAGGATGGTCGCGATTTTCCTCACTGGACAGACACCCTACACTGAAAAATTTAAACATGATCAGTACAACGGATGGAAAATAATTTTTGAATATTTGAGAGACCGTATTTTCTGATTTTAAGTTCAAGCACCGGCAACGCAGTAAAGCCATGCTCACGGGCCGCTTGCAGACCCGATTATTTCAGTGACGGTAACCTCACAAAACGGGCAACCCACAACTGAACGGACAACAACGACATTTAAACTGGAACCAAATACGTGGAAACGGGTTTAGTTGACACGACACGAAGAGGTCTTGTTTCTGCAAGTTTTATTGATAAATATATGGAAACAGTTTACGCAACAAAAAATGTATTCAAGTCTATGATATGGGTTTTGTTTTTCCTTCGCACAGGAAAAAATCAAATAAATAAAAAAGTCTACGCTGACCTTTTTTATTTATCTGTTTATTTTTTTCATTTACTGTCTGAAATCACTTTCTTAAGCCCGCCGTGGAGCTTAGCGAGTAAGAAAGGAAAAGCCACGAAGGCATAAGGAAAGAAGAAAGACGCGCCCCCAACCAAGCCCCGCCCGTACAGCCGGGAGGGAGGCGTCCTTATCAAGGCTTCAAAGACCAAAAGTGAGGACTACAGCTTCATAGTTCATAAGCATGCCTCCACTGTTCGCCAGACAAAGATTTTTTTCAAAACGAAATGAAGGTCTTTATATAACAGTTCAATTCACATCCAGCTGACTTTTCCCCAAAATTCCTATCCTCCCAAAAGTCCAAAAGGGCAATGGGGCAAGATGGCCGCGGCCAATGTTCTTCGTGAGCTTAGCCTTTCTGTGACTAAATGAATTATTGGCTTCCATTGGCTCAATACAGGTCGTATATGCATGATTTCAACTGCCAAAATTCTTTGCGTGTCGATGACACCACTCAAGATCAGTTAGCTTTTTTGTAAATAAATCAATCCTCAACTCCCTTTTCTCATGCTATTTTTCTTCGGCCTGGTACCTTGAGAGTGTTATCATGGAAAAACAAAGGTTTGCCAATGAAAGTAAATACAACGCGATCGTACTTGCATATCCGACCCATTTCGGCACCCGCACCTGGAGGCATATGCCGGGGATCTTATCGGGAGCGCCTTATTTTTTTTTTTTTTTTTTTTTTTTGCATCCTACACCTGCATGAGAATAAAAAAATAACTCAAGTACATGAAAAGATGACAGTCTGCATAGAAAACAACATATTATTTAATAAATTTGCAGAATTATTAAAATCACATAACAACATGATAGCTGAGAATTTTTTTTCTGGGTTGCTAGAGTGGTCCAGTAGAGAAAAGTAAGCCGGCTTTTCAGACGCACTGTTTTTGTCGGCCCACATCCACTTTGACTCCTTTTAAGTATCAACGTGTCTGTTGTTGTTCGTTTATTTGAGAGTACCTCTTCCTGAGACTATTAGCAACGAAACGGTGAGACCTGCATTACCATGGGCATACTATTACTACGTTACCGTCGCTGCGGTCAAGACGAAACGTTGTTTCGTCAATTCGAAAATAACTGCTATTAATCACCATGGCCGCACTGACATTTTCAGTACATGATGCTTGTACTGCGAGTATAAAGTACTATGCATCCACAAACGCTCAGACAATGCATCAAATGAGCGATTTTGCCAATACAAAAATAGGCATCAAGGACTAAAAAGTAGGCTTCTATCTTTCAGGCACTGTGAAGTTAACGGACGGCGGTGGTCGTATTTCCATGAAGCAAATGAAACCTTATTCAAGCAAATTTCTAAAGAAATTTGGATCCGAAAACCTCTTATCTCACTATTCATTGTTTGCTTACAGTATGCACAAAGTAGGCTGTGTAACCATCATATAACAAACGCTTGTATATGTTTTTTATAAGCTCTAACAAGCCGTACACCCGCTGTGCAATGGATGCCGCCTGCCACCGGAGGCCGCCCCCTTACATTGAGCGACTTTCGTCAGACAAAAAGCCTAACGCATACACGGCATAACCTGGGCAAGAACTCTTGACGGAACTTCGGTATATTAATGACAACCTTATGGCATACGTTGCAACGTGATTTGTTTCTGAACACGCGCAGGGCAGCACTGGTTCCCCCCCCTCAGTTCCATCCCGCCCAGGCTATGATAGATCTAGAAAGATGTGTGGGTATGTTGGGTATTTAAAAAAATGAGTTAGTAAGCTCTTTGATTGATTCAAATTTTCGTCAAGATATTTTACCTTTGTTATTTGAGTTTTCGATAGCCATTGATCGCTTGACATGACTTGGATTATGACATTGAAAAAATTTTGAATTAGTATACGTTTATTACATCATAGCAAAGGAAAAGAAATTGGACTTGCCTTTGAACCAAATGGTGTACCGGAAAAAAAAAACGATGAATACGGACCGCCAGGTAAGCTTCTTCTTCGATGCGGAAAATAAAATTGCTTCCAGGGACAGTCAAGCAATGGATCGGTGGTGTCAGCTTGAGCAGGCAAAAAATATTGACGTGGCCAGAAGTGACGGTAACTTCGAGTTGGATTCCAGATATCGAGAGTCCCCAAGTCTGTTTTGCCGGAGCAAAATCGATGGTAGACCACTCGACGCTTACCTTTTTGAGGATGGTGGTCGATTTAACCAAGTTAGATACACGGGATAAGAATGGTCTGGATGATGGATGCGGATGGGATCTTGATACAATGATAGTGAGGGTTTATCAAGCAAACAGAAAGAGAGAGAAAAAATCAAAAGAAAAAAGATAAGATTGAAGACAAAAATATATGGTTTTCCATGGATGAAACAATAGTCACCCCACTGATGCATGAATTCATAGATCGAAGCACGTCTGCTTATGTATTATTCGATTCATTGAATTGAAAGAGAATGAAAGGACATATACAATATAACTGACAAAAAAATTGAATGATGCTACAGAAGAACGCCAGTCGTATCATCAACCACTTTCTTCAAAAAGAGCTCTACTCACATTTTTATCGAAAGACACGATGCCCTGTTTGACTACAACTGGCGCAAACGGCATCTTGCTGCTGATTGTTTCGCCTATTATTGTGGAAGTGGGCAGCGAGGCATGGTTGAAAGATAAAAAAAAAGAGGTTTAACAGGCCCTAATAACTTAGTGTAGATCATGTGATTTACAAATCGCCGAATTTTATAAGCTCTAATTGTATGAATTATTAGCCACCATATAACAAAACTAATGCTCCAGACTTTGGATATTTATTGATATAGTTAATCATTGCGCCCTATTTTTGTAAGAAATATTATAGTTTCAAATGATAGTGCCGATCAATGTTTATTGAATGGACCTGTCACGGCGAGTCGTCTCAATTTAGTAAGTAACATTTTGTATGGTGCACATCAATTTCCAAGGAATCCAAATAATATGGTATATCGTGCAGAGTTACACTGTATCATTGAAAAAGTAACAGAAACCGAAGAGTAAAGAATCAGTGAATCTTTCCTTTCACCGCCATTATTGATCTTTTTTTTTTTCGGTTGATGGTATTTACTGCGTGATGTACAGGAAAGGTAGTTATCTTTCAGAATCGTATGCGTAAGAAAAGGTCTAGGCAAGTGCATTTGAGTACATTTACATCCTAATGAGTTACTGTGAGACAATTTGCCGGATAGCGTAAGCCTGACTAGGATGGTACTGTCAAGAATAAACGTCATTAACCTTCTTTACTTCAATGATATCTGTGGAGCCACCCCTTCAGCGAATATTCTTCTTTATAACATCATCAAAAAAATCACTTCCTGATAAATTCATGGACTCACTGGGTGCAAACCTTCCAACTGCTTTTCGAGGTTTAAAAAGAGACTAATTTCCAATGTCTTCCCACGGCGCTGAGAGATAAACTTTATGAATAAGCCCCATTCTCTATCTGCAGTATATCTGCAATGGTTTTTTTTTTCACTGAGATTCTGGGCGCCCGCTGGCGTAACAACTCTGACTCCAGGAGCACCATAAGTGGCCCTTGCGACCTGCTGAGTGGTACACCTCAAGCTAAGGTTACTTATCCTTGTTTACTACATATTTATTGCATGTGCATTAAGAACATGGTTTTTTGCTGGTTTTTAGTCACTGCTGTTTATATTATACGAGGCGAAATTAACATGTTGTCAATGTTTGGCATGATTCCAGTTTCAAGGTAAAACGGATTCTGTAAAAGCAATTAAAGACGAAAATGGAGCAAGTGTCCATCTGGGCCATCGTCATTTGTGTATCCATGATCTCCATCTCGTGAGACGCGCAGGCAACCCACAAATTCGGTTGATTGGATCAAATTCATGGATCCTTTAAGAGTGATCAGGTGACGATTGCCTAAAATGGAAGTCTCCGAATCAAATTTGGGTGCCCAACGTCAAAAAAAGCCTAAACTTGTGTGGCAAGGGTTGAAAAAGAGCAAACACATTTTTGTGGTTTTCAGTGCTCAGTGCAGAGTTGCTTTTCCAGAGAAAAAAATGTATCGCTTCATCGCGCGTCCATTCGTTCATTTGCGTTCTTCCAATGTCGCTCGGGCATGCTTCTCGACCACGCCCTCATGCTTGCACAAAGCCAACGCTCGCAAACGTCTGCAAGGAACCGGGGCGGTCCCACAAAGAGCCGGTTTAGCCAACGACAAGCAGATTTACTTGGACTGGAATGCGAAAAAGACCAGTGTATACCATCACTTTTGGTTACGTGATCATTGCCGGTGCGAGCAGTGCTACCACCCCCAAACTCGGCAACGTCTGGTCGACACGTTTGCGATCCCACGCGATATTCAGCCGACTTCGGTCGACAGTACCCCCGAAGGATTGGCCGTGATATGGCCCGATGGGCATCAAAGTCTGTATGCTTGGGACTGGCTCCACACTCACTCTTACAGCCCCGTGTTGCGCACCTCGGATCCGTTGGAATCCAAGCAACCTCAACTGTGGGATGCTTCGCTAAACTTACCGGCGGTTGACCACGAGGAAGTGATGCACTCCAAGGAAGGACTGGCAAAATGGCTCAATAATTTGGAAGTGTACGGTATCGCCTTTGTCGATAATACCCCGACAACCATAGAGGCCACCGAGGCCCTGGGGCGACGACTTTGCTACTTGCGTGAAACCCACTACGACAGAGGAATGTGGTCCATCCAAGCTAACTTGCATCACGCCGATACGGCTTACACGACCTTGGGATTGGGCGCTCACACCGACAACACGTACTTTACCGAACCAGCTGGTCTGCAAATGTTCCATAAATTAGAATTTAATGGTAAAGGAGGCGAGTCCCTTTTCGTTGACGGATTCAATGTCGCCAAACAGTTGAAAGCCCTGTCGCCTGAAGCTTACCGAACTTTGTCGACGACGCATGTGCCTACTCACTCAGCAGGGGATGATGACATCCTAATTGTGCCTACCCCGCGTGCTTATCCTATCCTGAACCACGATCCCAATGGCCGCTTGTATCAGGTCCGCTACAACAACAATGATCGATCTGCCCTCGATCACTTGAGTTCCGCTCAATTGGAAGCTTTCTACGACGCCTTGTTCATGTGGAGCAAACTTCTCAAGGACAAGAAGAATGAGCTCTGGGAGCCACTGAATCCTGGACGTGTGGTGATTTTTGACAACTGGCGCGTATTGCATGGTCGTGCCGCTTTTGAAGGCCATCGTCTGCTCTGCGGAGCTTATTTCCCATGGGACGATTACAAGAGCCGAGCAAGAACCGTACGCTTGACAAGTGAAGATAAAGATCGCTTGTTGTAAATAGCAGAAATAAACTGATGGCTCTCACTGTCAATATCCAAAAAAAAAGATGACCTGTCAAAGTGCAATAATTTAAAAGGAAACATTTTATATTATTTGGGGTGGCAAGGAAAAAAAAAGGGAGAAAAAAGTAATAAAAATAAGACAAATAATGAGGGTTTTTGGTTAGGACGATGAAGAGGTATTTCTTGTTCTGACTTAAGAAAGTTGCGGTTGATCACTTTTGCATAGCAGCCAAGGCTTCATCGACTTTTTCTTTTAATATCGGTTTGCAGTGCATAATGTGAGCCAATTCACGGAGATCCAGGGTATCTAATAAGCGTATAGTAATCTTGGGAGCGTGCTTCACGCCAGTAGCCTGTAGAAACCAAAGTTTTCGATGAGCTTAAAAAAATAAAATAAAAAAAAATAGCAACTAACTCTCTTGAAAAAAGACATACCTTGACAAGAGGGAAGAGTTGATCCCCAAGTTGCTGCTTTTGTTCATGCACCGGTTTTCCTTCAAGCGAGGATAAAAGACGATTTACTTCCGTTTGCGTAGCTTCAGGGAGCTTCACCTTTTGTACCAAATCGGTGGTGGTGTCGGACTGCGATCCCGATGAAGTTCGTGGATCGACAATGGGAATCGCTTTGCTTGGTGGCTTCACAGACACCCTGTTGGACGCCGAGGAGATCGTATAGGGCACAGAGGCCGGCGGGACAGAGGTAGAAACCATGCTCGCACGATGACTGGAACTGCTGCAGAGACCACTAAACAATTTAGCACGCAAAGAAAATGACAGGACCGTGGTGTCTGAGCTTACCGTCGGCTGGTGGGCTGGACTTGAATTTCTTCCTCTTCTGATTCTTCACCAAACGTGGCCAAGGCGTCCAATGCCAACTGAATCTTGGATCTCAGAAAGTCTGGGTTAAATAGACACAGTGATCGTTCCTTGCGTTTCAACGTCCACAGCATATCCACGATTTCAGGCACAGCGTCACCAAAATTGCCACATTGCAAAACTGCATCTGTCAGCTTTTGACGTTGGAGGCCTATACTGGATTCGGTCATGACGGAAGCCACCGATTCCATTGATCCTCTTCGTCGCAATGTCGGTCGATGATCCCCGACTTTGTTGGTCTGATTTTGTGATGGTACATTGGGTGGAACTTGCACACTGAAGCCTGAAGCGAGTGACACCAGTGATGGTCCCGTACTGATGCCCGAATTGGGCGATGAAGAAAATGGAGGTGATAGCCGAGCATTGGTATGAAGATGATGAGACTCTACAGCTGAGACCTGATAAACCCACGATCCGATCAGCCGTTATGCTTTAGTTTATAGTTTCGGCGAGGCCTTGTACATTTACCTTTCGTGAAGTAAACTGCATTGGCGAGGTAGGCTTTTGACCGATGGAGAGATCTTTTACATTGGCTGTGTTGGAATCAGCATGTTCATGCGGTTGAGAATGATCGCCTACGGTGCACAGAACAAAAACAACCCGTTGAGCAACAATGGATCCACCATCTGATGTAACCGCATATATTGTTTACCATAAGATCGAAAAGGCGAATGGGTCACATCATGCGTATGTTTGTCCGAGGGATGCATATTGCCGTTAGCCGAGACCCCGTTGGTTGAGCTACCGTTGGTCACCGTACCATTGGTTGGATGCTGGGGAATAGCATTGGATGTAGATTTTTGAGGATCGTGACGTTGTCTTTTGGGTTCGTGATAGGCGACGATGAGCTGTTTGGATAATACCATGGTTCCATTCATGGCCTGACGAGCCATGGCGGCTTCTTCGGGTTTTCCATAGCTGACAAACCCATAGCCTTTGGATTGACCGGTGGCAGGGTTGCTCATGACTCGAGCAGACACAATGCGACCAAAGCCCCGAAAAAGGGCAAAGAGATCATTGTTCGTAATGCTCGGATCTAAATTCTTGATATAAAGATTCATGAAATCCACGTAACCGGTTTCGGTTTTATCGCCTTCTGCACTGGCCATCTATGCAAACCATATCAGGGACTCAAGAATTCATCCTCCGTGCCTGAAACATTTCAAATCGCATTCAACTCACAGTTCCAATCGGCGCGCAATTTGCTGTCGGCACGAATTGCGTAACTGAGCTATAAACTCAAATGAGATGAAAAAACCATGCCAACATGTTTAGATCAACAGGCACTCAAAACGATAACTTACATGACATTTCCATCCAGAATTTTGCCATGCTAAAAAAAAAAATGTGAGTTTTACGCAGATTGAATCATTAAAAAAACCACGTACCAAAATTTTCTGGGCCTTATCCGCATCCTCTTGTGAAAAAAATTGTATAAAAGCGGTGCCTTGAAAAGTCGAGCCTTCCATAATGGATTTGCATAAATTCAAGGCACCGTAGGGTCGAAAGATGTCGTAAAGGTTATTGTCGTCAATGTGGAGAGGCAGATTTTTGATCTGCAATAAATTGGCTTGCGCTTCCGGTTCCAGCGAACTGTCCTGATACATGCGCAATTGCAGTTTGGCGCCGTTCGTGAAGGTGAATCCATTGTACAACGAAAAAGCCCTATCGGCTACATCGAATGGGAATTTAGTTTCCTGGGAGATATTTTTCTGTTTTTGTCACAGAGACTGATTCATTGTATACCGTATTTGGGAGAACTAAAACGCAAGAAACCTTGGCCTTGTCGAATCTGCAATCTAAAGGGGGAGAGGATCCAAACGTTAATAAAGCCAGGTTCTATTCTTTTTCAAACACCTACAGGCGATACACACTCAATAGGCATGCAGTGCTGCAACAGCGCACGGATATCGGCTTCTTTTATCGAACTTGGAAGACCATCGAAGAAGAGGGTATCGGCAACAAGAAAGTCCTTAGGTTCGCAAATGCCAAATCGAAGCACATTTTGCTTATTGGCGGGATGAATCTTGGGTTTGGGCAATCGAATAACTGGCTGGTAGGGGTATGCATCCGCCATCATGGCCTTTTTGAATCTGAACTTTTTGTTTAACAGAACTGAGAAACTATCGAGTCTCACAAGGTGCGGAATGGTCGGATGGGCGTGCTCTTGATTACCTGATGATTTTGATAGGGGATAACCAAAGCGGGGTCGTTTGGACTGGGTCGTCTGCAAAACCCGAAATTTTTCTTTTATCGCCTTTTGAAATTTTTTCCTTTTTTTTTTTTGCGTCAGCCAGCTGAAGGGAAAAAGGGATCCCGCAACACGATATTTTAATTAAAAATCAGTGAATTCATCGTATGGCTTATTTTTTGGTCCAGAGGCTACCTTGACAAAAGTTGCCTTTTTTCATGTAGAGGAGGGTCTTAAGGGGGAAATCATTTTATGTGTTTGTTCCTGTGCAAAGCAATGATGATGATCTGTTGCACTGTCAAAAACTCTGTTTGATTTTGCACATAACAAAACGACGTATGCACAAGAAAAGATAATGATGAAATTCATCCCTCGGCCAAAAGAAAGTAAATAATAATAATAGTAATAATATTTCACATTTTCAGTTCAATGCGAGGAAACATATTGTGTAAATGGAAGAATGAGTTTGAATCAACCATTGTATATTGTATTCCTGCTATGCATGTTTTTTTTGTTTGGTTTTATCTCCTTCTGTAACGACCCTGATGAGAGTAACTGTTTCTGGGTGGCGGTGCTGCAGCAGCATTTTGTCTGCTAAAATGGTTTAACAGCGTGCTTTTGATCCATTCTTTATCGCGTGGTTGATAACTCTGTGAAAAAAAATCATAACGTGATCAATAATTTGCAACCATCGTATCACATCTTTTTTTTATTTATTTATTTAAAAAATAGACTTACTCTTGTAGTTGGATCAAACACAAGTGCTACGAATTCTTTGTAAGTGTCAATGAACCGGAAAAGATCTTCAGCTCTATCCACAAATTCCACACAATTAGTAAAACTGCTACAACTATCATGTTACTGCCGTTGCATACCGATATTGGATTTGACCCGCTCGTGGGTTTTGTCGCTGCAGCTCTTGTTCGTATAGACTGGCGATTTCTGTCGAAAACTCGGGTTAGTTTCCTTTAAACACACGCACACACACACGTCCCACGTTGGGCCCGTTTTTGCAAAAGGATAACTTACGATCCATAGCATCCGCTACAGTTTCATTGTCACTTTAATAAGAGTTATTCAGTATTTTCGATGAGCCATATGGTTTCGCAGTATAAACTTACTAGTAGGTGCGGGAACTACAGGCAGAGAGTGAGTATATATACTTTTTTCATCGACACCGACCAATGTCAAAAGAAAAAGGGAATGCGTTACATACCTGGGGGCCGAGTTGGGCTGTATAAGAATGATGGTGTGATTGGTCTATAATGAACGAGTGAGTCCACTGAGTAGCATGTTGACCATGGGTGGTTTTCAACTCACCATATTGAACAGTGCCACAAAACCAGAGGTCTTTCAAGCGGACAGGATGATCAGTCTAGCGTCGTGGCCGGCCCCGCCTCGTCGGTGGCTTGGGAGAGACTGCTTCTGCTTTTTTTTGGCTGCATGTCGGTGTGAAAGCGGTGCCTGATACGATTTTTTTTCGGATCGTTTTCTGCGTCGTTCTATCGTCGAAAACTAAGTTTTTTTTCTCTTTGTGGAAGCATGGCACCTAAAGGAAACGCAAAGAAGCAGAATAAGAATTGGAAGAAGAAGGACGAGTCCGTTACTCCAGTAACGAGTGATCCTCGTTTTGCTCGTATTCACAATGATCCTCGTTTCCTTCGTCCCAAAAAGAAGGACACCAAAGTCAACATTGACAAGCGATTCGCTTCCATGTTGAGTTCTAAAGAATTTTCAAGTGGCCGTAAGTGATTTGTCTATTTATCGACGGTCAATTCCGAATTAACCCTTTATATTTTGATTCTGCAGCCAAGGTGGATCGTTATGGTCGCAAACTCGACTCGGAAAATGCGGCCAAGGAATTGCAACGGTTCTATCATTTGGAAGATAATGATGAAAGCGATCAAGAGAGTGGATCGGAAAGCGATGATAACAAATCGCTTGAAGAATTGGAAAGGGAATTGGCTGCCGACGAAGGTAATCTGGAAGATGAAGAGAGTGACGAGGAAGTTGCTGTGGCTACCAAACGATACGATCCTATGCGAGGTCAAGGTGTGATTTCATCGGGAGAAAGTTCAGATGAGGAAATCGATGAAGAAGAGGAGGAAGAGGAATCTTCCGAGGAAGAACAAGTCAAGGTATAACATAAATTGCATTCTTCTGCCTGATCGTAAAAAAAACAAAAAGATATTAATCTCTCTTTGTCCTTCTGTGTGCCTCTCTGTTTTAGACCATTGCCGAAGGTGAAGAATCTCGACGTCTAGCCCTTGTGAACATGGACTGGGACAAGATCAAAGCCGTGGATATTTTGAAGGTTTTGAATGGGTTCAAACCCAGCAATTCCGTCATTCACAGTGTGACAATATATCCATCTGAATTCGGCAAAGAACGTTTGAAGCAAGAAGATTTGGAAGGTCCTCCCAAAGACATTTTCAAGGATAACAAAAACGCGGACGATTCCGATGACGAAGAAGTCACCGAAAAGTCCATCATCAAGAATCAGGTCGAAGAAGGTGACAATAGCGAGTTTGATCAGGAAGCACTTCGCAAGTATCAGATTGAACGTCTCAAGTAAGTGATCTAGGACGAATGAAAGAGAGATAGAGGTAGGAAGAAGCGATTAGATGGCTTATAAATATTTATTCCGCCAGGTACTACTATGCAGTGATTGATTGCGACTCTGTGCAAACCGCCAAAACCATTTACAAAGCATGCGATGGCACTGAATACGAGAGCAGTGCGAATTTCTTCGATTTGCGTTATATACCCGATGACATGGAGTTTGATGATGAGCCAAAGGAATCCTGCACGCATGCTCCCGAAGACCACAAACCCGCCAACTTTAGTACAGAGGTATGTTTGCTCATTTGCTGTCATCATGGATCGATAGGATGGGATGGGATACGGTGGACTGATGAATGATATTTCTAGGCTTTACAACATACCAGAGTCAAGTTGACCTGGGACCAAGATGATCCAGACCGTATTCAGCTCATGCGTCGCGAATTCACCACGGACGATCTGAAAGATTTGGATTTTGAAGCGTATCTTGCTTCATCTTCCGATGAAGAGGAAGAAGAAGAAGATGTGGATGCATTGCGCGAGAAATACCGAAAATTGCTGAAATCCGGCAACAGCTCGGCGTTTGATGATAAGACGGAAGCGGATGAGGATGGTGAAGAGGGTGATATGGAAATTACATTCACTCCTGGTTTGAGTGAAGCCGCAGGTCAAGCTGTCAACGACAAACTCCATGGTGATGACGAAGAACATGAAGAGACCACTATTGAAAAGTACATGCGTAAGCAGCGCGAGAGAAGAAAGGCCAAGAAGGAACGACAGATGAATAACGATGAAGCGATGGAATGTAAGTTGTGTGATTTTATTGTCAATGAAGAAAAAAGGTGTAAACGAAAGAGACTGATTGTGGTTTTTTTCTTTTCCGATTTCAGCTGCGGAATCCGAAGAGGATGAAGAAATGAAGAACGATCCCTTCTTCAGAGACACGTTGAAGGAAATGGAAGATGAAGGTCTTGTTGAATCCAAAGGTAAAGTAGATATAACGAACAGGGGCGGTTTTCGATTTGGTACTGATGCTTTCGTTGAATGTAAAACAGACAAGAAGGAGAAGAAGGATAAGAAAAAGAAAAAGAGCAAGTTATCAAAGGAAGAACGTTTGGAACAAGCTCGACAAAAGGCGGAATTATCCTTGCTTATGGATGATGCCGAAGGCAAGGGTGATGGTTTCGATATGAAGGAAGTCATTCGTCGCGAAAAGATGGAAATGCGAAAGGGCAAAAAGGCAAAGAAGGGCAAGAAAATGCAAGTGGAGCAAGACGATTTCGAAATCAATGTCAACGATCCTCGTTTCAGCGCTATGCAGGAATCTCATCATTTTGCGATCGATCCCACCAATCCTCACTTCAAGAAGACCAAGTCGATGAAGAAACTGATTGAAGCACGACAGTCCAAGATGAGAACGGATGACAAGCAAGTGGATGAGTGGAAGAAGGAAGGTCAAGCCAAGTCCAAGCAGGCAACCGAGGATAAGCCGGCCCAAAAAGACTCGTCCCTTTCAGCGCTGGTGGACGCAGTAAAGCGAAAGGGTGCTTTGTCCCAATCCAAAATGGGCAAACGCCAAAAGATGTAAATCTATTCATTTTGTCGAATCTGTATAATATTCTCTCAATTTCAAATCACTTAGACAACTGTTCTTTGATCATAGCATAAATTTTTTAATCATCTCATTTCACTATCTTGTTGGTTTCAGTTTTTTTGCACACCATTGATCCATGCGCAGACACTTAATATAAAACCAGAATCATTCCGTTCTAAATGAAGCACATTTCCAGCTGATCTGTTGCAGATGGAACCTACTCGAATAACTTGTCTTGACGTTCCACCAATCTGTATATCCCAAAACTATGAGAGACTCACTCCCCCATTGGCCACTTTTCACGCAAAAGATTTCGTTCAAGAGATAATTGAACGACTGCACACAGTAAAGACGGAAATCCGATCACAAGTGGAATGGGTGGTAATGAAAGTTTATTGCGTTTTCGAAGAGATCAAATAATCCACGATGGACAATTTACTTCTTCTGGGTCTGAGCCTTCAAGACACGCTTGACAATCTTTTGTTCCTCGATCAAGAAAGCACGGACAATGCGGTTTCTGACACAGTGAGCGCAACGGGAACCACCATAGGCACGGCTGACATTCTTTTGGGTCTTGGAAACAGTGGCGAACTCACGAGCACGGAGAGCCTTGAGCTGTAAGATCCAAAATGAGATTATTAACACACTTGTACGCTTTTGAAATTCCCCTTTTTGCATTATTCAAACTTACGCCAGCAAGAGCGACACCACAGTCACCGCAACGAGGAGCCTTGACGGGCTTCTTCTCGTACTGGTAGACGAGTCTGGCACCTACAAACAGGAGACAAAACCTTTTGTTAGTTGTTGAATCTCGGGCTTTTACTGCTCGAATTTTTGAATCACGTACCGGGAGTCTTGACAACTCGGACACGGTTGGAGCGAGTGTTATAGGAAAGACGGCGTCGGTAAGTAAGACGTTGAGCCATTGCGATGTCTATTATTGCATCAATCAAAAAATGGGTATTAATGAGCAAACGAAACAAGAAAAAGACATCCAAGCTAAACATCCTCTTTTTATGTAATGACCGTCCATCAATCGTATCTTTCCGATTCATCCATCTATCCTCTCATTTCCCCTTTCACTCTACTGTCTCCCATCATCACACCATGGTGTGTGCACTACATACCCTATGGTTCTTGGAAAAGAGGGAACTTCTCTAATTCTGGGATGTTGTCTTCCTCTCGACTCTCCACTGGAGGTTTTCCCGGAGTTCCCGCTCATCGGACAATCACGTGATTGATCCGAACCAACTAAAAGCGGATATTCAAAAAGTAACGGCGAATCCCAAGTGATCCTCCAAAGTCGGCAAGTGTTGCCTTGCTTTTGACTCGATTATGCCAATTTTATTTGTACCATCATTACAAAAGTTTTAAATGTTCCTATTGTGTAATATATTGACTTGCAGTTGCATGCAATTATAATGCGTGTCGGAGTTCTTGAAGTTCTTGCAGTCGTGCTTGGAGCTTGGGGATTTCCAGAAGCTGTTGCTCAATCTATCATATTTTTGTCAGTGTCCTTATTTTCCTCTTTCTTTGCTGTGAAAGAGTCACTGACCGCCACTTTTTCTTCCTGTAATGCAAAGCGTTTTTGTGCGTCAAGCTTGGTGAAGACATAACCGCCTTGTCCATCATATTGAAGGATAAAGTTGTGGTATTGCCACAGCGAAGGTCGGTGGGAGACGGTAAGCAGGGAAATGCCAAGATCTGCAAGGTATTAAATTAGAGAAATTTCCCAAGCCTGAGAATGAACACTTACCGGTGGCATGAGTGTACATGATTTTCTCGATTTCCATACTGACCGCACTGGTACCTGGGGATGCCAAGTCATTGGTATTAGATTGGGTGTATGACTTGTGGATAAGTTGGTTACTTACATTCATCCAGAATAGCATATCGGGGCGCATGATAAAATAAGCGGGCCATTGCAATCTGTAACCAAGGGTTCTCAATTTAGCGATAGAACAAACCGCTACAAAAAAAAGCATGTTCTTACACGTTGCTTATCACCACCCGAGAGCGCGTTACCCCATTCTTTCTGGCTATCCCATCCACCTTCACGCTCAACAATTTGTTCGATTTGAACAATCTTGAGAATATCCAAGAGATCATCATCAGTCACATTGCCTACAAGGTTTGAAAATCAGTCTCTGCAATGCATATTACGCCACCATTTAAGAAAGGCTTACGCTGCTGCATGTCTTCCACAGTATCTGGGTATAAAATTCTACAAGAATTCCCAGTTAGTGATCTGGAGACGGTGTACACATCGTTCGACGGAGTACTTACTGATCTCTAAGAGTACCCAAAGAAAGGTACGGTCTTTGTGGGATATAAAAGATGTCTCGATGGTGGGGCTTATGTAACGTTCCTCCTAAAAGGAGATTGCCTGCTTGAGCTAGGGTACATGGTTGTCCATGAACATGATACCTTACCATACACTGGCCATAATCCACCGAGAATACGGAAAAGAGATGACTTGCCACATCCATTGGGGCCAATAATCAAAAGATGCATCTAACAAGGTCGTGTTATAGAGGGGTACAGAACCAAATCATCTCAACAAATCGCCGTACTTACGCCTGGTTTGACATGGAAGGTCAGCTTTGGAACGAGCATATCACCGTTGGGACTGATAATAGGCACATCGATAAACTCAATATTGTCGCTTTCAATCACCGTGCCTCGTCCTTCCAGCGATTTTGCATTTTCCGTGGTCGAAGTTGATGAGACAAGGTTTTTCTGATATCGACCCGCCTTGACATCCTCCAAAACATTTAATAGATCCGTCACCTAGAAAAAAACCATCCATTTGATAGTTAAGAGTCTCCATGAAAATCAACTCGGATTTTCGCCACTTTATGCTTACACGACTGGTATAGCCCGCTAATTCCGTGATTTCCTTGTATGCGTACATGATCCGACCCACCGCATCGGAAGAGCTCATCAATAGACGACGGTTGGTAACGAAGCCTGATATAAAGGCTTTCAGTTCCCGTGCTTTGTTTATGCATTTTCAAAAGAGAATGAGCCTACCTTCTGTACGATTGCCAACGCTGTTGAGGTTGACGCCAGGCACTTTGAAAAAGACAGGTACAGAGCATAATAAAAGTCCACAAGCTCCCCAGAAATATTTGATGATAAAATCCTCCAACATGCCGTGTGGGACCCGTAAACGATAAATACGATTGACATGCTTGATTAATCCATAGTAACTCTGATCAAGGATCGCTTTCTCCATCTTTTGTCCCCTGTACAAGGCAATTTCTTCAGCGTTTTCAATAATCCGCGAATGTCGGAACCGGAATTCGCCTTCCAAGCGCTGTTCTTCAGCCACCATTTTACCAAAGGCGGGCGTATATTTACGCATAAGGACCGAAGACAGTTGAATAATAAAACTGGCAGCATAAACTCCTTCGAAACCAATGTTTCGTCCCAGCTGATGGTTGTAAATGAAGACATCGAGAATCGGTTTGGCGAGATTGGAATAGAGTTCGGAGAGTGACGTGGTGAATTTCATAATATCTACGGTAATACATTGGTCGGCATTCTTGATACGATCGTCCAGATTGCCAATAGCGTAAAACGACATGTCCGTGAGGTACTGGTCATGAACAAAGGTCGTTAACCGTGTACGGAACTGACTGGCCAGCTTGCTTTGCATAAAAGTCAACTAATGACCGGACAGTCAGGTTAGACATCATCGTTTTGTTTATGTTTACTAACACTGTTACCATGCTGTTTGTGTAAGTGGCAGGCACCGCCACGGCCATCCACCACACTATGCCGCGAAGAAACTCTTTCAGTTTGCCGCGTACCTAACAAATACCGCTCGTTAGCTGCATGAATTTCATGTAAATTGCCACTCTCAGTGAAACGTACCAAGGCGCTAACGATCCGACCATCCAGAGAAGCAATATATACAGAAAGGACTGTGCGAAACACTAAAAATATCCGAATAAAAAAATCGATGAGTTTCATGACCATCCTCCGCCCCCACACACTATGGCGACGGCCTACCTAGAAAACCAGAGTGAACGACCAGCATCCAGAATTCCTTTGATCGGACACCCGGTAAGACAATTTTCAATAGGCGATGAATTTGTCGTAGAAATGCCATGTCAACCTATGCATAAATTGTCGATCAAAACCGCATACGATGTTTCTGGTATTTCTTTTTCATACTTCGACTTTCTTCTTCTTCTGGGGCTGACCATCCATTTCAGATAGAGCAGGTAGTTTGTCGTTGGGTTTGTCCGCTTTTAGAAACCGTTGTCTTGCCCTTCTTATGGCCATGATCATCCGAATCAGCATAAGCAACTGCACCGACCTCTGAATGGTGGATCGGTGGGTTGCGTACAGCGGTCCCAACTGTTTGAGCGCCGACCTCCATTGAAAGGAAGCAAGTTTGGAATAGACGTTGGGCATTCAGCAAAAGTGGAAAGACCTAAAGGCCAGAAGCATAGCGTCGAAAATGAAAGAGGCATGCAATGCGGTGCTGATTTGTGTGTGACCTTAAAAAGCATGTGAAATTAAAAAATGACTAGCGCATGTGGAAAATATATAACCCTAAATGTGGGGTCAACGGAGTATGCTTTTCTCAGGCTTTGTGAAGCCATGTGCAACCCATGTCATCTGTCTCTCTCACCGATGGCTGAAATTTTGGAGTTGGATTAGCATATAATTCACGGTATATGAATGATTCCCTTTATCAACAGCATTTCAATAAATCAACACGTGCATCGATAAAGCAACAGTGAAACTGGTTTAGCCCTGGAAACCATATTACTGTATGCGGTGATGCTTTGAACAAAATAAGAGTACGTTGCAAAGGTATATTGTTGTATATAAAAACAGTGTACAGAATGAATTATGTATAGGTTATCTACTTGGTAGTTCAGGGTTGGGAATCGGGTTGATCAGTACGATGGGTCATAAACCGCATGACGTGAAGCTCGGTTTTCAAAATACTCAATTCAGCCTCAAGTTGAGCGTTCTTTTCTTGAAGTTGCCTTTTCTCTTCCATCCATTGCTTCTCTGCCGCTTGCCGACCGAGTTGAGCTTCTTTCAGTTGTTGCTCCAGATTGCGAACCAGTGACCAAGGATCTTGCCCTGAAGCTTTCATGGCATGCTCGGTCAAACGGGACGTCTCCAAGGTATCAGACTGAATGGTTTTTCATGATGAAAAAGTTAGCAACATGCAAATAAATCATTGGAACCATTACATACCGCTATCTGATCATGGCTCACCACCGACGAAGAGGTGAGAATGAGTCGTGTTAAGTGATCGATTCTGCCATATCCAATAGGAACAATCTCAGTCTCACATCTACATGGAATAACTTTCTAGCCCGCGATCTGTTATTCTTACCGTTCTTTCAACGCCGCGCGCACGTGCTGCATTTGCTTTAATTGCTGTTCATGCTACGATACGAGGTTTCAATACATGATTGTCAAATGTGTTAGTAACTGTGAGATTACCTGTTGCCTTTCTGCTGATAATATAGATTGTGTATGCTTCTTTTCCCGTTCCAGTACATCATTGGCTGTCTCCAGCTTTGTTTTAAGCTCTACAATTTCTCCACGGTACTTTTGAATCAATGCCTTGTCATCCATCACCTATCATGCATACATCCGATCAATTCCAAGTTCCCGAGCCGCCCTTATGATGGTATTCCACAGGCCAAAGACTTACAGCGTCATTTTTAGCAGAGATCACAATCTTCTTGACACGTGCGGCAAACTTTAGGGTATTGTTGGACTCTTCGAGAGAAGTAATAGCGGGGCTGATGGTGCAGATGACGGCTACCTTTGCATGCCCTGATAAAGCGGTCTGAAGAATTCGGGTCAACTTGGAATCGCGAAAGGGTATGTGAGAGTTTCTAGCAAAAGGCAAACATGTCGGAGGATAAGACAGCGTCCTTGTGTTTAAGTCAGAGGACTTACCCATGGTTAGGTTCAGTCAGTTTGGCAATGACAATACCAAGAGTTAATAGACTACATACATCGGGTTTACTGAATGTCTTGTTTTACCAACGCAACCACAATAGCCAATCTCACCTTTTATTGATATAAGCCCCTTCTTTCCGTCGGTCATGATTTGACACTGCTTTTTCCGAACCAGCCAAATCAATCAAATTCTAAAAAGATGAATTTGCGAGTGAGCAACATGGGATAACAGGATACATTGTCAAAAGGAGGCGGTGGAATTACGAGTTGTGATATCTTGGTCGCTTCACGCTGCTGCTGGAATGAATTTCTTCGTGAAATAGAGTTGAGCGCCATACTAGCACTGGATCGTTCCCTGCTTTCAATCACCTAGGCGGACATGATGCATTATTTAACAGATCCATAGCCAAGAAACAAAAAAAGTCCGAAAAATTCGAGCTTACCATTTGAAAGATGGTATGGCTTCGACTGCTGTGAAGATTATAGTCGGTAGTGCTGATGTGACGATTGGCTAGAAAGAAAGAAAAATCACGTCAAGATTAAAAAGAAAAAGGGTGGAAGTATTTGGGAAATCCGCACCTTCGCCTTTTTCAATCACCTTTAGGACATCTTGAGGCGATGTCACGACTTCTTCTGTCAATGGGCTCACAAAAAAGCCTCTCTAAGCATCATACAAACGTATTGAGCATTGATCAAATCTACAATTTAGTGAAGTAGCTTACCCTCCGATCTTCCCGAATTTTCAGGTCTGTGTTTTCGGGTGCAAGCAAGTCTCGAATGCTTTCGTTGTAAATTTCAAGATAGGATACACGGAGCAGAAATTCTTTGGTTACAGCCTGTCACCATACCATCACATTTTTAGTACCGTTGTTTCTCACTGTAATAAGCATGTTATTTCTAACCTGCTTGATGTACTCAAACACGTTATCCACTGCCAGAGGGATAACACCAGGCTCCGCATCAGTGCCTTTGTTGCATTATTATTGTTTAGATCGTTGTCTGCAACGGCTCGGATTTAATAGTAAGGGACTTACCTTTCTGCAAGTGAGCCATCATTTCGCAAGCAAAATGAGTACTCTTCAACGTCTAGATGAATAAATGCTTACCATAGTCTAATAGGATGCATCAGGATAAATTGCTCGAATCATCAACGGGTATTTAACACTTACATAAGTTTTGCCACTGGCTGTTTGTCCATAGGCAAACACCGTGGCTAGCATAAATATTGCACGTTAAAATAGTTGGCGATCTGATGCGTATTATTAGGACAATTACCATGGTATCCGTTCATTGCTTGACTAATACGAAAATAAAAAATATGCGTGAGTACATAGAACAAGCGAATTCTTTTCAATAGCAGCAGCCCTTTCCACTTACTTTACTAGTTCACGCACACTAGCATCGTATAGATCGATATTTTTACTTCCAGAAAACACATGGTCTGTCAAAAAATTATCCAAGAAAAGCTTGATCAACACTTGGACAGCGGGGGTAGCGGGTGGAGAGTGGGGTTATTTTTTTACTTACCGTAACTGTATTCCAGTGGAAGTTTGCCCTGGCGGCGTGCTGTTTCAGCCAGGCGGATTTTCGATTGTTCTGGCAACACTTCCCAGGCGTTGTCTGTTTTGCTTGCTGATTCTCTGCCAATCATGGGGCGGCAGCGTACGGTCACTTTGACATTTTCGCTGTTTTTAGATGCTACGGCTGATTTCGACATGGACATGGACTGTGTGGAGTGGGAATCTCGGCGGTTGGTGGTTTCCAGCAACGCTGATCGGGACGGTTGCATTGGGCCGGATAACTTTGTGGTGTTAGCATGAGTGATTGATTTTGAACTGGTAAGGGTGCGTTGTTGTCCAATGGTATACGGCAAAGCCGGCCGCTGAGGGCTGTCCATCGAAGCGCAAAAATGAAAGAAGCAAAAAAGGTAGTAAAGAATTATAAACCAGTTGATCGCTCTCGTTTTATCTCTTTTGTGAAATCCTAGGCCCATATATAGCTTTCAAATACAACTACGAAACTGTTGCCAACCACTTATTGTTACATAACATTTTATATGATGACACAATCGATCTTGTGCAAGAAAATGAAAATTAACCCAAATCAATCTTGTCTTCTTGCTGTATGGCTGTATTGCATGCTTCCTTTGATGCAGTTTATCTGACAATATGTTATCAACAACGATTATGCCAAAGAAGAACCATTTGCATGTAGAAGAAATGCATTTGTATGTGTCTCAAGGGTAGGCTTCATTTGAGTTTTCCACTATAAACAGTGTCAAATATGGTCATCAACTCCTGAAACGCACTTGCTCACGATGAAACGTAAAATCCAGGTCGTCTCGTGGGCCGCTGCCAGTCAATTGACGTGTAATCTTCTTCTTTGACTTTACACCGGTCTAATTATTTATATATCTAAATATTAATTAAGCCAGCAGAAGTATTGATCGTTGATAGTCCAATTAAAAAGCCTTTGACAGAGAAGAGAGATGGAAGTTATGCCATCGATCGAAAAAGGCAAGAAAAACCAATGTCCGATGGTGCGAGAACGCGTCACATCATCAATTTCATTGACAGCTCTAGGAAAAAAAAATCAAAGCAAGATCAAGACGATTCTCTACTTGACATGATTGAAGCAGTGACTCCCGGTCAACGTCTCGGCTATGCTGACGATTACATAGCCGGTCCTGGCACTTATATTCGCGACGGTTTGCTGTATGCTAGCGTCGTTGGTTTGCGCCACATTGAACCTGCCACAGACGGCCAGGTAAAAAGCAAAACATCCACAGATCGCATATCAGAATTGAGACTAAACCATTTTTTTACAATGGTAGCTGCCAACTATTAGTGTTTCAAAAGAAAAGGAGCAATCAGCTGTACCGGAAGTCGGCAATGTGGTACGTTGTGTTGGTTAGAATTGTAGAAACGAAAGAATCCATCAACTCACGGGAATGGATAGATTACCGGCAAAGTCATTCGAGTCAATCCTCACCAGGCTGTCGTTGCCATCATGGTGGTCAATGATGTGCCTTGCAAAGAAGATTTCATGGGTGCTATTCGGTTCGTTCTCCTTACAACGATAAATGCCAGTGGGTCAGGAATATAAAACTAAAAGTTTTTTTTTATTGTAGTATTCAAGACGTCCGAGCCGCCGAAAAGGATAAAATCAAGATTTACAATTCATTTCGTCCCGGCGATATTGTGCGCGCCGAAGTGATTTCCTTGGGCGACGCAAGATCATACTATTTGACTACAGCCAAAAATGAGCTCGGCGTTGTATTTGCCACTAGTGTTGCAGGTAAGATAGGAATTGGTCCTGGGGAAAATGGGGAAAGTGATCGTGTGGCAATGTGGATCAGACATTGACTTCTTCATATTTTAATTCTAGGCGCCACCATGATCCCTATTTCATGGCAAGAAATGCAATGCCCCATTACCAAAACAATCGAATACCGTAAATGCGCCAAACCGATGTAATCTCCAAATCACATAGTAAAGGGAAACATAGCCGCCCACTATTTGTAAATAACAAACAATACCGCATCGACTTTTTGTTATATATCAAAAACATTCACCATCATGACAGCTGTGGTAGTCTCGTCGATATAGCTGGATGTTGTCTAGCAACGATTATTTTTTATGTACATGGGAACGAGCGAAAGAGAAGCTATTAAGGCACACCCTGCAAGGGAGGCCAGAAAGAGAGAGAATAGAAAAGGGTTGAAATTTACAAATGGAAAATGATGATCCTTCTTATCATCAGAGAAAACGTTGTATAGGCTGTATAGTGGATGTCTTCTTAATCATGACTGTCGTCTGCACTGGTCAGCGGAAAATCATTGTAATTCCTGGGTGGTGAGACGTCCTTCAGGGAATCTCCATTCGGGATGGTATGACAGTTCAATGGTACTGTTTTCAGTCCATTGAGGAGAATCTAAGCAATCTAGCGTTAAAAAAAAAAGGAACGGTCAAACAATTTCTTTGTTATAATCGCTTACCAATGGAGGACGGATGAAAAAGTTGGTTTTGTATGTCAAGTTCTATTAGATTGGCGCGACAGGAGACGTCGCGATGAATTTGTAATTGATGAAACATCCGGCTTGGATATTTGCAGCTGTGGCCGCTACGATAGACTAGGAGTGTCAATGCTGCCTGATCTTGACGATGGTTTTTGCGAGACGATCCGGGAGGAGCAATGCATCGCTTTTCGAGTCCGCATTTGTACCATGGTAGGATAAGCGAGTCGACCACCGTTTTGTTATCGACGTCGAATCCAATAGCGGCGCCATTGCAGTTGGCCTTCTTGCCATATTCCGAAGGTTGAATCCCGTAATGCCGAAATAATCCAGGATGGGTATAACGTCGCATCGTGTAAGCACTTCGTGGTGACCAGAATCCGCCGCTATCGCGGATGATGGAAGGAATGTTCTTTAGAAAATCCAGAGTAACGAGATTACCAGCATCCAGCCACAATAAAAGGCCATCATATCGTTGACTCGCTTCATGGACAATTCCCGTTTTCCAGGCATATTCACCCGCATTGAGAGAAACGTCCCAAAACTCGGGATATTGCGTGTAATCGAAATGGATTAATTCGTCCAGCAGCCCGTTGTCTTTGAGCTGATCCAAGACAGGTAACTGGGTTCGATTCATGCCGATATTGTACACCACGACTCGAGGGTATTCCTCAGCCGTAAGTTGCGATCGAAAATGCTGAAGTGAATAAAGAAAATTTTCAAGAGAACACAAATGATTCGCACTGGCGGCGGTGACAATTGTGAAGGCGTATGATTTAGGTACACTGTCGTTAGATGATGATGATGATGGTGGTGGTGATGACGCTGGAGTTTCGTTGGATTTACTGGCGGAAGTAGTCCAGAACCCGGTTGTGCAACCGTTACGGTCTGTTGTGCAAGCATCCACTGCAGAAAGACTTTTGCTTAACTTGTACTCTAATTTGTCTAGGTTCTTGTGTATTGGAATATTGATATTTACCAAACGATCGACGGTATACATTAAACTTTAGTGTAAAGAGAAAGAGAACTCCAAGCAGACAAGCAATCACTAGTTGCATCACCAACACCTTTTTCGACAAGTGTTTCGATGACGAATAGCGAGGCAACAGAGAAATTGCCATGGCAAAAGAAAAAGGACAGGAAAAAACCGAAGGAAAAAGGTAGAAAGTTATTAGGTAAACGTGGACCCCACAGTTATACAGACAAAGTAAAAAAGGATTAGAAAAAGAAAACCGAAAAAAAAGGGTCGCTGACTCTGTTCAGCAGCAGGTAATTATGTATTTATACCTCCCCAGTGAAACCTTGAACTGGTTCTATTATATTACTCAGTATTTTTGAAGATCCATTCTAGACAAAAAAGGGGGACAAGGAGGATTGCAGCCCAAACTGTTTTCGGTGATGTCCCCCCTGCCGAGTATTTTTAGAAGCCCATCGCTCATTAGGAGGCAAGACTTTTTTTGTCTATGGATTCAATTTACCAAAATACATCCACCCACGCACACACATACATATTCAATAATGAGAGATGGACCTTACGTCTTCATTGTCTGTCATCACGGTAAACGATGGTTTAGCTATTCACAGGCTAGCTAGCCACTCACTAGGTCCTAACTTGACAGAAAGATTGAACAGGACAATGGCAGATCGGTTTCAGGCTGTTGGCACGAGGACGCACATGGCAGTTGTAATGTTACCTTTGTTTTCAGGGTATGCAGAGGGAACGGATAAAGAAAAATTGCCATAAACAATCACGAATCGAGGGCCGGATGTGGTTCGAACAATCGGAACGCATGAACTCTAGGCATAGGGGTTCACTTGGTCGCTCTTTCAAGTGGACGGTTTTATCTCATCTAAAATAAATCAATCGATCTTCATGAATACGCCAAGTCATATCATAGCCAGTAATCAAACTCGTTTGCTAAGTAGCACAGAACCGCTGTCTGGCCTATCTATTTATTTGCATTGACCAAGCGTAATGACGCGGCTTATCCCTCTGTGAAAGGAACTATGATGCTTGATGAACGATCAACATTGGCAGTGTTGTGGGAAACTCAGGCACGAATGAATTCTCGATATCCGTGCTTTTAGAAGCGCTCGTAGTTAAGGGGGTAGTTAAAAAGAGAAACCTTACTTTTTTGTGCAATACGTTTGACAAGAGTGCCAATAGTATTTTTATGTTATTCCAACAGCTGCGATCAAGCAAGTGAATCCCAAGAATGAGACACCCAGGTCAGTGACTTGTTATAGTCTAAAAATGTGAGTATAGATGACTTGAACACCTTTGAGGTTGCGTGCTACATTTTGGCGCAATCGCGACTTTTTAATATCTAAATAATGGCACCTGCGCACTCAACTGAACATGAATAATTGTGAAAACGAATAGAGGAGAAGCGTTGCAACCGCAGCTTTGACTAATCCAGGGAGTGTGTGTTTCGCACAGCGTTGAAAATAGGAGATCCCGTTTATTCCAAACATAAAGCTTAACATTGAGCTTCTCGGACCTTTACGTACTTTGCAAAAGGAGGAGAAAGAGAATAGCGGACTGTAATAAAATAGTCAATGCTTCTTCATGCAGGATGGCGGTCATGAAAAGCAGTGCAGGAGTCCAAAAGACAAAGTTTTTATCTATTCTTTTCGAAGCACAACATACATACACTTGAGACCCTTCCGCTTGGTATGCACTGTCTCACCACCCAATTGTTCAGGGCGAGCACCAGTCATGTCTTGTCTGCGCGCTGCCCTGTATGGTTGGAGATTGAGACGGAGAAAAAAATATCAGGTCGAACTTTGATAATTGTACCCCGGCACCTCAAAAAAAAAAAAAAAAATTAAAACCTTCAACCCCTTCACCGACATAAGAATATGACATAAATTTAGACGACACACGCTACCTTCGACTCGTTAAGCAACCCTGCTGTGTGTAGCACCATGGTATACACATGTTGTTTTCCAATCTCGTGATCTCACTTAATATTGAAAATAAGCTTTCTTCAGAATTCATTGTCTGCATTTTGAAAATTGGAGAAATGTAATTTGATGGTTCTTGACTTTCTAAATCAATTATGATATAAGCTGCGTGGCTTTCTTTGATAGTGCTCTATTCAATAAAATATGCATAAATCAACAGCGTCATCATTAATGAGATACAGTATAATATGATGCCTTTGAAGAATAACGTGCTGAAGTTTCATCCTGCCTGGGTTATCAGCCATGCCAGCTACGGTAACTGTCCAGGTTCGTCCTTAGTTCGCACTATTAACGGGTTAGTTGGGCCAGCTTCATTTTGTCCAAGGCTCTAAACTGATAATATTTTTTCACATGCTATACTTGTTGCGGCCATCACACCTCCAAGATTCTTTTCCCAAAGAAAATTGTACACTGAGAATCTTGGACCATCTTCTATGATACGATCCCATTTCTCACAGTGAAGCGTTCATTTTCATGACTGCTAATGACGACGCGCCCGCTAAAGTATCCGGGAATACAACTTCCATATCCCAGTAGTTCAGGGGAGGGACTTTTTTTTCGGATTGTTTCTGTTTCCATGTTTCAGTAGAATGCGGGCAATTTCCATGGAATGCAACTCAACAGTTTGTTTTATGTACATGAGTATATCTTTATTCGTGTAATGTTGTTGTTGACTGGATTACGAATGATTAAATAGATGTGAAAAAGAAGGAGATAAAAAAATAGATCGATATATAATAAATATGGCGACGGATAGATTCACAGAATCTACCAGTTCTTGCGTTGCCATCGGTGATCATACTTTTGGTTCAAGGCATAGAGCTTGACTTGTTCACCATCCTAGATACAAATGATTGGTTTGAGTTAGTTGATTGGTCGCTAGAGTGATTCAGGGCACATCTATTTTTCTTACCTTGATATCTTGCCAGGGATGGGAGTTATCCTTGTGATTCCAAACCACATCGGGAGCTCGGGCAGCGTGAGTACCAACATAGACAGCACCAGTCAAAGCGCAGCTGAGAATGGCAATGATAGGGTAGATCTCGGGCTTGGCCTTGGAGATCTTCAAGAATTGACTGAGGTGGCCCATGGTGATAAAATAGAATGGAATGTATGAGAAAAAGAGTGATGGGTTTTGCCGAGTGTTCTCCTTCTTGTTGATTTTATATTGTTCCTGATTGAAAAAAATCGCACCACATTTTTTTCTTCGTACGATAATCGTTCCTTGTAGAAAGTTTCCATTGTCTGGTGATATTATCTGGAACTGTGGGTTGACGGTGACGGAAAGTTTTCTGATTGGCTAAATTTCATTTGTGTGACCAAGTCAGTCGTTCTCCGCGTCTTGCTGACGATGGGGTGGGGGAAAATCAACAAACATTGGAAAAATTGTTGCGTGGTTTTTTTTTTCTTTTCGATTCCAAGTTTATCCATGGAGAAGGCCCACCGAGGAAGGGGCTTTTACTTGGCAAATAGCCAACACAATTTTAATGATAGGTCACATTTCGGAGTGAGGATATAGGATATTTACCACGATGCGAATAAAAGATCCTTGCATGCAAAAATCTACTGCTTAGGAACATCAAAGTATAGGTTATATTTTAATACGATATTCACATGCACCATCACAAAAGAGGGTGGATAAATATAATCGGAATGGCAAGTGCTGCGAGGATGTGAAGGATGGATCAGAGGCCTGTCTCGCAGAAAGAGTCTCGGCGTGATTTCACAAAGTCAATGAATTTCCACAAATTTCATTGTGACTGAGTTCCCAGATCAAAAAGATTTTTTTTTCTGCAAAGGCTTGCTGTGCTGCAAGAGTAAACTTGTTTAAACCATGACGGCCACGAAAAAGCAACAAGAGAATGCATTTGCGGTTCTCAAAGGAAACGACATGGTTCAAAAGAACAACATTGAAATGTTGTTGAATCGAGCCATCAAGTTTCGAAAATCTCGCTACGTAGACGAAAAACTCGAACTGTTCAAACGCAAGTTCGCACCCATCAATTCTTCCAGTCCACAGCCAAAGCAGAATATCACTCTTGATACAACCGCCACAGCTTCTGAAATGGAAACGGTGGATGCCAACGGCTTTGAACGTCCAGCAAAGGAATTGTTCAAAAAAGATAATATCCAGATCGCTTGGACTGCCATTCGACCGATCGGTTCAGGGCTTTCGGATCTTGGCAATACGTCAGCTTTAAATGCCGTTTTGCAAGTTCTCACATACACGCCTCCCTTGGCGAATCTGTTACTGAGTCGTCGTCACGGATCGAACTGTAAGCGAGAGAGAAAGAAAAAATGACCCGGACCCCACGAGCTAATTCTGTTCATTAGGCACGGTACAGGATTATTGCTTTGTTTGTGCTCTTGAACAACATGTCCGTGAATGTTTACTGGATCGACGGTCTGTGGTGGCGCCTCGAGGTTTCGTTGGCAAATTAAGAAGTGTGTATATGGATATTTCGGGAGCATGGAGAAAAGGAAACTCAACCGTCAACTTTTGTTAGAAATGTCCAACGGATCACCGAATCATGCATATTCGATTTGGAAATATTTCATGGAACAATTACAATCCTCTTTTCTCGTCGAAAAAGGGTAACGTTATCCCCGCAGTGTATGATCATCATGTTAATGGTTTGATTGACAAACAAGTATATTCAGATCCAACGATGCTCTCATTCAAAAAACAACCGCTTTATACCAGATCTTTGGAGGATACATCCAACAGAGACACGAATGTCCAGATTGCAAAAAGTTGGAAAATATCTATCAAGACTTTTTGCATTTAAGTCTGGATATTACGCAAGGCAATACCGTGGAAAAATGCTTGACAAGGTTCATGAAGGATCTTCCGCCAACAAATTCAAAATGCACTAGGTAAATATTTCATCTGTCATTCACTTCCAGCGAGTCTTGTTGTAATAACGTACCCTGATCCTGCAGCTGCCAAAAAGCGGTGACCCAATGCAAGCAACAATCCATGTATCGATGCCCAACAGTCTTATCTTTGCATCTTCGACGACTCGATGAAGGAAACGAAGAAGGGGACAAAATTGAAAAGTCGATTAAATTTGAGGAAAGCATGAATTTATCCCGACACGTCACTGAGACCGAGCAAGGTCAAGAGAATATGAAGTACAATCTGGTTGGTGTTATTGCTCACCAAGGAGCTTCCGGTCACTCCAGTCGCTATGCTGCGTTTGTGAAAGGAGCCAACGGCATGTGGTACTGCATGGAGAACGAGAATGTAAGAAGACTGAAGAATTTCACAGAATTTTTCAAAAGAAAAATATCTAAACTTATGTGTATTATTAGGTGAAACAAATCAGCATGAAACGGCTATTGAACGAGCAAGCGTACATGTTATTTTACTGCCAGCAACCTACATCCACCCCACGAACCGCCACAACGACCTCTGCTGTGAAACCAAAGGACGTGGCACAAACACAAGCCAACGAGGAGAAGAAAACAATATCTAAAGTGAATGAAAGTGATGAAGAGGCGAACGACGACGACGAAGAAGAAGACAGTGATCTGGAGCCTGAATTGGTAGACGATCAGGAAGAAGAAGAAGCTGAAAAACTAAAGGAAGCACTGGCGCAGGCGGCAACGAAAGCTAAAGTAGAGAATACGGAAGCGATTGTTGTGCAACATAACGAGGACATGCAATCGAAACGAAGCAAGTTGGAGGCGTTGATTGAACGAGAAGCAACGACCAGTCAGAGCGTGGCGGCCAAGTCTGAACTACTAAACAAAGTCATGGATAGCCAGTTTTATGAAAACGTTGGAAGATGGGATGAAGATATTGGTGCGGCGGTTCCCAGTGCGGCTAAAGACACGCAGAAGCAACTCTTGAAGCAACTGAAAACGAAACGCAAGAAAGTGGATATGTACGATTTGGATTATGATCGAGGAAAGGTCAAGAAGGTCAAGTCTAAAAAATCGGATCAATTTGGACGTCCCAACGTTTTCCAAATGGCGGCCAATGTTAATAACATGGGCAAAATGAAGCATAAAAAGTAGCCTCTCCACTCTCATATAGAAAAAAGAAAATGTAAATAATATCACGATCTGTCCCTGTAATAATACAATCAAGCATTCATACAGTAAGCATTTGCAAATATATTTGGGTTGTCTTGCTGGCCAATTTTTCTGGTTTCGTTCCCTCGCTTCTGTGAAACATGTCCAAAGAATCTAAAAAAAGACACAGCTGCACACACAAACATCGTCATGCATGTGCATTTCCACTTTCTCTTTTCCACAGACACTGTTTGTGCAATGCTTCCATATTCTCCATATTAAACACATACTTGCCTTACCATTGTATCTTTCATCTATAGCCATTCCTCTATCCGAAATAGCACGTCTGTTTGCCTATAAGTGACTTGTCAAACAGAACCCCAGCTGCATATCATAATTCTCCTCCTAGTCAATGGCCCTTCATCTCCTTCTGACTAATCTGCATCTTCATAAGAGGAATAGTACTGTATAAAAAATTGGATCTAAAGCAGGTCGTTTTGCAAGGGATTGCCAACCAGCAACTGTCCAGAATCAAAAATGGATCCGCGGAGAATGAAAATACGGTGAATGCGGGGATGTCAGATCAGCATGCACGGGTTTGCAGGGAAACTAAACATTGTTACTGTGCTGTGAAATTGTTTATGACCAAATCGAAATTGAATCATGGAATATGTTTCTCACTTTTCATCATATAGTATAACGCAATCGTACTGTGAAATAAGGCGAAAAAAATGCCTCCGCTCATAGGACGTCGGACTTTTATCCGTACGTCATTAATGTGACGGGGAAGAAGCAAGCAAGACACTACGGTATTACCCCACAAAAATTTTGTGGATGTGTTCACCGCTTTTTTTCTTCTCTTATAATTTCTACTTTTCTACTGTAATATATCATGTTTGCCTTGAGGAGATTGCCACGTCGTTCCATGATGAGAATGGGACCATCTATGGTATCCGTGCAAAGACACAGAACACAGTATTCCGTGGCGGCTTGTCGCTTTTACACTTCATCCTCACCTTCGTCCTCGTCGTCAGCCGCGGAAGAAGCGTCAGGAAATACAGCATCCGATGGTAGCGCCACCGAAGCCGATCATCATGCAGTAGTTTCTACCTTTGATCTATTCTCAATTGGGGTGGGACCTTCCTCTTCTCACACGGTGGGTCCTATGCGAGCAGCGAAATTTTTTGTGGATGATCTCAAGAAGCACAATATCCTTGATCAGGTGGACACCATTCGAGTGGGTAAGTTTATTTGCATTTCCCAGGTATCCATGAAACGAGCCTATTGAAACGGTTTCAATGATAGACATGTTTGGTTCCTTGGCATTGACGGGAACCGGGCATGGCACACCGGATGCCATCCTGATGGGTCTTGAAGGTGAAGTCCCCGATCTGATCGAACCATCGAGCACCAAATCCCGTATCAAAGACATTTATCAGAACAAATCATTACGCTTGAATGGATCCCACCGAATCGAATTCGATCCAGAGAAGCACCTCATTTTCAATTATTTCAAATCGCTACCCCAGCATCCCAACGGCATGCGATTTTGTGTTTTTGACAAAGCCGGTAACCTGAAAGCAACCAATGAATATTTTAGTATTGGCGGTGGATTTGTGGTCAATGACGCCACCCAATTACAACATGGTGACAACGTGTATTACAAGCATGAAGATGGCGAGGGATCGAAAGCCATGGCGGGACGTCGTAAGCAAGATGCCGCCGTGGTGACGTTGCCTTTTCGAAATGCGGACGAGTTGCTGGATGTGTGCAAGCGCGAAAAGATGACGATTGCGCAGGTGGTATTTGAAAACGAACTTCGATGGTCAACCCCCGAAGAGATTCGTGCAAAACTGCTGCGACTTTGGAACACCATGGATGAAAGTATTCGAAACGGCGTCATGGCTGCACCTAATGGTATGGATTTGAGGTTGGATTGCTCACTTGAAGCGGAGACACTAAAAGGAGAGAAAAAAAATAGATCATTTGCCAGGCGCATTAAAAGTGCCCCGACGAGCACCAGCTCTATATAGCAAGTTGTTGAAGGGATTATATGGCCCATTACCAGATAGAACCGCATACAACGATTCAAGAATCCCGATACCATCTACGTCCCTCACCGAATCCCTGAAAGATTCAAAATCGTTACACGAACAAGATCATGCATATTCCTCTGCCAAATTTCCTCTTTCTCTCTCTGTGTTACCAAAACGTCAACGGAAAAGATTCTTTTTACCAGGTAAATTGAAAATCCTCCAGATGATTTGATGGATCACGCTGCATGACACGTAGAATTGATCTGATGACCCATTATGGCAGCCCTTGATTATTTATCCGTGTATGCCATTGCCGTGAATGAAGAAAATGCTTGTGGTGGAAGAGTCGTGACCGCGCCAACCAATGGCGCCGCAGGCACCATCCCTTCCGTGTTAAAGTATTACCTCGAATTTATTTCAGAGCACCCTGAGCACGATGTCATGGAATTTTTGCTGACCACAGCCGCCATCGGCATGTTATTCAAGCGAGGAGCGAGTATATCAGGTAAAATTGGCAATGTCTGACAATGAAAGTCCATATTTTAGGTGATCTAACATCTTATGCAACTTGCAGCGGCCGAGGTTGGTTGTCAAGGAGAAGTGGGCGTAGCGTGTTCCATGGCCGCGGCTGGATTTACCGCAGTGATGGGTGGTACCGTAGATCAAGTAGAGAATGCGGCCGAGATAGGCATGGTAAGTTTCTTGATCCTGCCTGATAGTACCATGGATGGAGATGGCTCAACCTATTGTTTGCAGGAACACAACTTGGGCTTGACGTGTGATCCGATTTCCGGCCTTGTCCAAGTGCCATGCATTGAACGAAATGCGCTGGCGGCTGTCAAAGCTATTGCGGCGGCACAATTGGCGTTGAACGGTGAAGGCGACCACCGCGTATCTTTGGATCAAGTCATTGAAACCATGCGACAAACTGGAGCGGATATGATGTCCAAATACAAAGAAACAAGCCAAGGCGGTTTGGCCGTCAATGTACCCTTATGTTAATCTTTTTAGTCATAGAATATTCAACACAAAGAAAAGAAAAAAGGTCGTAATATTCATAAAACAGTAACAAATTTTTTTCTCTTGAACACCAGCACCCGAGGTATAATATTGACAAATGTAGAAAGTGATGATTAAAAAGTACTGTATTCTGCCCATATGTACTCATCCATAATAAATGTAGTCGCCGGTGCACGAAATGTATTTTTTTTATTTTTCCTTATTTTTTTTCTCTGTTTTTTTATCAAATTTCTGCTGATTCAATTAAATGAATGAGGTGGATGCAAAAATGGAATGATACGAAAATGATAATCCGTACTCAGTTAAAGGAGGAGGCAAGGATAAGATGTTATTTGGAGGGGGTGAAAATTTGCCCATCCTATGTTGTCAACTCTTTAGCCAATCGATTATTTCGTTGTGTTTTCATTGCTCACTTACCGAAATGGGACATGGGAAATTGGCATTTTGTCGGATAGTAATAGCAAAGGCAAACCCAAACACGCGAATCCTTGGCGTGAGATCGTAAATGATGCTCAGGTCTCGCTTTTCACCTCCCAACAAACCGCATTTGCTTGAAATATCTAGTAACATGGCTTGGTCGCCATCGTGGGCCGGATCGTACTTGACCTGGACTGGGAACGTAAAATTGGTCGTAGCGTAAGCCCTAATGTTCAGGTCCTTGATTTCGCCACCTCCTACAGCTTGGCGAGGTGACGTTGGATAGAAAGCCTGGAATCATGTCCTTTCTTAGAAATGCGGATACACCACCCACGAATCTCATTCATCGTCTGAGTTACTTACCACGGCTTTAATACTCTCGAAATAGGCACTCTCTAAGTTGGGATTAACCACACCAATCTTTAATCCCAGGTTAAACGTAAACGCAAGCGAATCCTGATCCTTTTGAAATCGAGGCAGACCAGTGGGATCATCGGTAGCCCCATTGAACTCGATGGTGGGAACCTTGAATAACGCTGCCAGAACTCCCAGCACTACCATCAATGTTACGGCGACAATGAATATGAAGCAACAGCTCCACCGCATCCACATCGGCAAACATGGGCAACATATGCAGCAAAAATAATCAGCCACCTTCTTCTTATCTTGGGTTAGGGGACAATCAGTTATGGTCAATCCAACACCATTCCTTCAGCAACAGTATGGTAAGGGTGTACCTTGATAGGGCGGAAGTGGTTGCCGATGCAAAGGATTTATATCGGCTTCTTCTTTATCGTAATCATCGAGACTATGTTCTGTTGTAACTTTCATGGGTAAAACAAAGATCCTTTGCTTAACTGTTTGCCCATTTTGTAAATCATTTTATATAACGAAAAGGTTGAATTTATAATAAACTGCACCAAGTTTTTTTATGATCTCGAATCACAAAAATGACCATCCACGATAAATTGGGGCAAACATGCTAAACCCAGGAAAAACGAATACAAGCAGCGTCATCCAAAATATTTTGTCGATGATATATCAAAAAAAAAGGCAAATAGAATCACATTCTCACATCTTTATATACACTCATGTGAGCTATTCGATCTTGTCTATTTTTACGTTGATTTGCTGTTGAACGACCAGTGCCACATTCATGCCACTCGAATTTCTGTCCCCGCCATTTCAGTAGGCCAATCATCTTCCAGCTGTGGTATGGCTAAAAATGAAGGATTGACCGAGGCCTCCAAAAACGGAGTGTGATCAATAACAACGAATACAATTTGTCATAAAATGTATCAAGGTTAGAGAGATAAAGATCCGATCAAGTTAGATCGCGTGAATACATTTATCAAGATTTGTGTGTTGAGCAATTGAAGAGACCTATTTTTTAGCGTTTTTTGCCGCTTGTGAATATGGTTTTGGCGGAACGTGAAATACCGTGCACAGCAATCAGACTTGATCGAATAAGGACGTCATGGCAGCATCGCTTTGTTTACTGATGGCCAAAAGCATTCAGATGACTTTTATACAGTCATTTTAAATTAGTCATAATGCTATTCAGTAAAATTTACCTTGCTAATGGTGGAGCTGTTTTCCGAGCAGATAAATCTTGTATGTTTGGCAGAAAACTTTGTTTGGAATGTCTGCCACTGAAAATTTTCTGAAATTTCGAAATAAAGAAGGAAACCCCGATGGAAAAAGATTGAGCTGTTATTCTTTTTCATTTCTTTTTGGTTCCAAACATGCCTCGGTTAAAGGCTTTTAGAAGTTTATTGCTTACCCTATCGTTATCCGCCCGGATATATGGTTATCCCATCGTTTCCACCCTAGTGGAAGAGCCAGCGATACGATACGGCTCGGCCGAATTCTACGAAAAGCTCGTCATAATCTTTGCTTTGGTGGTTATCGGCGGTGTCTTTGCAGGTAAGAATGAAAGACAAAAGTTGAATAGGGCTCCCTTTGGGTGCAGGTAACCACGGGATATTGGATGATAATTGAACCTTTGTCGACAGGTCTTACGCTGGGCCTTATGGGCCTCGATGAAACCAATTTGCATGTGCTCATCGAAACAGGCACCCCGGAGGAACAACGCAATGCCAAGACAGTATTGGAATTGCTGTCAAGGGGGAAACATTGGGTCTTGGTTACCTTGTTGTTGTCCAATGTCATTGTCAACGAGACATTGCCTATTATCCTCGACGGAGTTCTCGGAGGTGGTTGGCAAGCTGTCGTGATCTCCACCGCTCTCATTGTTATTTTTGGCGAGTAAGTTCCATCCTCACTTAACACACAGACATTGCATACTTTGGCGTGATCAACTCACACCTTTTTTTTTTCATTTTGTAGAGTTATTCCGCAATGTAAGTGAAATAATGGGCCAACATGTTAGTTTGCTTTTTCGTGTCGACCGACTCTTTTCTTTTTTCTGCTTAGCTATTTGTGTTCGATATGGTTTGGCCATTGGTGCCAAGACGTCAAAGTAAGTTTCGGAAAAAGCCCCCCTTGTTAAAAAAAAAATTCAGGGTTGACCATGGATTCTTTCCTCTTAGGATGGTATTGGCATTGATGTATATCATGTACCCCATTGCATACCCTACGGCACTGTTGTTGGATTACTTTTTGGGTGAATCGCACGGAACAATCTATAAACGACCTGGTAAGAGGAGCAATGACCGCAGTTTCGGGAATATAATTTTATATTGATGCATCGGGACCATGTCCTGGTTTGTCTCCCTTAGGTTTGAAATCGCTTGTTTGCCTTCATCAAGCGGTTGATGCCTCCGATGCCGAAGCATTAACGTTGGATGAGGTGACCATTATCGGAGCTGTGTTGGAACTGCGATCGAAACCTGTATCACAGATCATGACGCCTATTGATGATGTTTTTACGTTATCTACCGAAAGTATCCTGGATGAAGCTTTGGTAGACAAGGTAAAAATCTCTCTGGATGCAAATTGCCATGGCATTTTACTAAGTGATTGTTTCCAAAGATTTTGACGGCTGGTTATTCTCGCATTCCTATCCACACACCCAACGATAAAATGAATTTCGTGGGCATGTTGTTGACGAAACGATTGATCACATACGATCCCGAAGATGCCTTGCCAGCCAAGAATTTGCCCATGAGTACACTGCCAGAAACAGGCCCCGATACCAGTTGCCTTGATATTCTCAACTTTTTCCAGGAAGGTCGAAGTAAGTGGCAAAACCATCCAGGCGAACATTGTGAAAAAAAAAAAGAAGACAATCATCTCAACAAACTGTTTGGTAGGCCATATGGCTTTGGTATCGAGCGATCCAGGAGGTGATTCAGGTGCCTTGGGTGTCATTACTCTTGAGGATGTGATTGAGGAATTGATTGGCGAAGTAAGGCGACACTGTCCTGCAAACATTCACTTTGTCATTGTATGCTCACTTTTTTTCCATTTTGCTAGGAAATTATCGATGAGACGGATGTTTACGTAGATGGTACGTATAGATTTTCCTTTGGAATCAACGTGTAGCCTGGTGACCGAACCATTGGGTTTTTATAGTGCATAACAAAGTACGTGTGGTGCGTCGACAAGTGCCGAACCGCAGAGATAGCCGTCTAAGTCGGATGTTGACCATGCGCAAACGATCTTCCATGGGAGCCAAAACGATTGCCAAGCAGAATTCCAGTGGGGCTTTGCATATTGTCAATCCCGCCGAAAATCGTCCCGGTCATGGCAAGGTACTCGAACCTCATCTGAAAACTTATGGCGCAGTGACCATGGCCACTTCTCCGGATGTTATGGAACGCACATCGCTCCTCGGCAACAACAACAACAAGTAATCTAGATACCATGCTCCTCTCATCGCACAGGTCCTATGTCCATGTTTCCACCTGAAAAATTTACAATTTCATATAACTTATATATACGAAAATAAAAAGATTTCCATTTCTCGCTTCCAGCGCTTTGTAAACAGAAATAAAGATGCAACTCATATGCTGTCTATTGTTGTCATTCGGACAACAAAAAAAATCCACCATCCGTCTGCCGCATTTCCAGTATGCGCATATTTTTTTTTCGAAATCCCATGCAGAAATGTGTATATATTTTACTGTGATCCTGGTTAGATGCTTTGTATGATTTGATATGAGTATGCGATTGGACACCGCCAAGGGGGGAGAAAAAGGAACCGGTGCCCGCAGCACGCACGAGCGGCGTTTGTAGGAACATGACATTTTATTGGCTGAATCCGCCAATAGCCCATTTTGGGGATCTTGACTGTCAGGGGAGAGCCACCTCTTGACAAAAAGAAAGTAGAAAAAGTAACAGCATGTGGGGTAGGTTTTATTTAGCAGAGGAAGAAAAAAAGCAATGGCTATATTCATTGAGTAAAGCTTATTATTGTCCTGCTGCGTCTCATGTGTTGTGATTATCGAACTTGGTTTGGTACTCAACGACATTTTGGCTGTGTAGGTAAAGCAGTGATTTGCGGTAACTTTGCCTGGGACGAAATTGCCAAGAAAAATAAACCGGATGAAAAGTAAGAGCAACGTAAAAGGAAAACAAAGACAGAGGGTCACTCGTCGTTGACGCGAAATTGTATGACAGTCAGCTCCTGCTCACTCCTCACCTTATTCGAGAACTCGTCGATGTCCGGTAAAAGCAGACAACAGATAATGGCGCTAGCTGTCAAGTGTTGACCTGCTGATGAACAATGTTGGTTGTTGTTGTTATTATAGTGTGAAACACGTTGTGACCAGTCCGGTCGCTTGCCATTCAGTGATTATCAGTGAAGACGGTGATGTGTGGGTATTTGGCCGTAATGGGCGCGGTCAACTCGGTCTCGGTCATCACAATAGCGTCGATTATCCTGTGAGAGTCAAGTCCACCTTCGAAAGCCACATAGAGATTGGCGACCGTAAAATTGTGGCCGCCGCAGTGGGAAGAAATCACACGTTACTTGTTTCTGGTACGTTTTTGCTAAAGAATTTATCCCTTCAACAAAATCGAGAAAAGGAGCGCTTCAACTTGTCACATAGAATCCGGCGAAGTATTCGGCACCGGCGATAATCGATTGGGGCAACTCACGTTTGCAGGCGACGGTTACAAGTCGTTCAAGCGTTTAACCAGTCTAAACAAGGAAAAGATCGTTCAGGTCGCTTGCGGAGCGGAATTTACTCTTGTTCTCAATGGTTGGTTTCTCCGCTATCCATCAAAAGCTTTGTGTATTGGTGATGATGATGATAATGATTATGCCTTACACGATGCTCATAGATCAAGGCAAAGTATTTGCTTTTGGGTCTCAAGAATATGGCCAGGTAAACTCAGCATGATAATTGAAAATATGTCCCCATCGCATCAATCACCAACCAGTGAAAAAAATTCGCAGCTTGGTAACGGTGCGGATGGTCAATTCATCAAATCAGCCGGAACACTAGCCACTCGGCCACAGGAAAGACCATGTAAGGGCGCAACGTGAATGGTATGAAAAGGACATTCTATTCATGGGCTGTTATCTTTTTAGTATTGGTGAAAGCATTGATCGAACGAAATATTGTGTCAATTGCATGTGGTGCGAATCACTCTCTTGCTATGGATGATGGTGGCTATGTCTATTCATGGGGCTTTGGTGGTTATGGGCGCCTTGGCCACGGTGAACAAAAGGATCTCTTTGCCCCACAGGTCATTTCCAAACTAGCCGGTCCAGGACGTGCAACGCGTGCTTCTGCTATTGCCTGCGGTTCTTCATGTTCCATGGCTCTGGACGGCACAAACCAACTGTTAATGTGGGGAAAATGGAAAAACACAGGTGACGGTAGCTCGGGTCAACCGTGGATGGTATGAGGTTTTCTGTCATGGTATAGTCGAAAACAAGAAGGTTAAACTGTATGTTGATCCCTAGTCGCCTAAATATCTGTATGATTTGAATGGATGGTCCTTCCTGACCATGGCGGCGGGCGCTCGAAGTTTGTTTGCAGTAGCCGACACCGAACCTACGACCGTTGCTTGGGGTCAAGTGGCAAACAGTGAACTTGGTTACGGTGATGAGGCTCCTGCTAGGTCCTCAACGAGACCGCAAAAGGTGGAGCCATTAGAAGGCATTGTCACACTGGGGTAAAAGTGGTTTGTCTTGTCATTGGAAAGGATCAACCATGGGCTCAATCACTTTTCTTTTTGACGTAGTGTGTCCGCAGGCGTTGGTCATACGTTATTCTTGGTGAAACCTGACAATGAATTGGTGCAGGACCTACCGAAATGGCCAGCTACCGAGGTAGAGTTTGGGAATGCGGTGTGGGGAAGGGGAGGCAGAGAGAAATCTTATTGCCAATCCTTCTGTTAAACTTTTTTTTTCTACATAGACGGACGATTTCTGTGTGAAGTGCCGCAAAGATGATAACGAGGATAAAATCCTATTGTGTGATAAATGTGATGCATCCACGCATACTTATTGTGCTGTACCGCCTTTGCAAGAAATACCTGAAGGCGATTGGTACTGCGACAAATGTCACCCACCCCAAGAAGAAACACCCAAACCAGCACCACCAAGAAAGGGGCAAGTAGCTACTGGTGATAAAGGTAACAGCAGATATAGTGCAACGCTGAGGTTGAAAAGAGAAATCAAATCACCAATTTTTTTTTTCGTGATTTTGCAGTGCCATCCAAGCGACAGAAAACCAAGTAAGACGATTATTTTAACAACTCTACAAGTGGACGACCGGAAAAATAGTCGTTTTTAAATTATGGTCATCCTTCGAATTTATAAGAAAAGAAAAAAAAAAGAAAGGACGAAAGAAAAGAAAAGAAAAGGAGAAGGCAGCTTATTGCGAGATGGAGGAAACATAAACTTTCAATGACTCGTATTACCAGCGCATCACAAGAAACACTTTCATCTATATGCTCTTCTTAAATTTTCAAGGGTGACACCCTCATTTGTTAATATGGATGTATAAGATGATGAGACGGCGGATCGGGAGGGGAGGTTTGGTTCCGAAATATGGTTATGAAATAAAGAGGTGGGTGGGGACGAAAAAAGAGTTGGTTAGTTGATCGTGCCAGCAAATGATAGTGCAGACCCAACAAAGCAGTTACTGGGCAAAGAGGATAGATTCTTAGAATGTAGCGAGAAGATTGGTTGATATATTTGCACTGTAGCTAACCAATATTCGCCAGCGCTTCAGGGAGCAGCAGCATTGGAAGGCATGAACGCGGGTTGGCGTTGTTCAGGCACTGAGGTTTGAACGTAATTTTGATCTCCGCCTCATCGCGTGACGTCACTCTGAATCTTTGACGATTTGCCTACAGAACTTTGGCGATCACTCAAAGAACTGCGACTTTTTTCTCCATATTCCCTGAGTGTTTCCTTTGGACAATTTCTATGGCCAATAAATCGTCGACTGCTGCCACTTCGCCTTCCAAGCGTCGAACAATGTCTGCATCACAGAGCAACTCCAACGTACGTTTTTGGCATTCACTGTTGCGTAATTATCTGTGGTCCGCATTTCAAACTAACGCTCTACTTGTTCCACTCTGGATTTTTTTTTGCATGCGTAGAGCGCCGAATCGTCCACCTCACGCAGTCTTTTATCCAAGCAAACAAGCTTGCTTCCCAACGTGAAGCGAAAGAATACCGCCAAAGGCACTCCCATCGACGTTCCGAGCAATCAGGTCAGTGGATCGCACGCCATGGTGTACCTTTTTATATTGCCCAACTTTTTTGACTGTGCTCAAAAATTTAATATGCGTGTCAATTCTTTTTTGTTCAGGCTCAAACCCCGTCGTCGAAAAAAGATATCAAACGCATCTACAAGCGTGGCAGTCTTTCAACCAAATACCGTTCGTCCAATACCCCTTCGATGCAAACTTCCTTCCTCAAGTACCTTTTGAACAAAGGCTCCGAAAATTCCTCCGCAGCTTCTTCCACGACTGCGGCTTCCCCTTCTTCTTCCAAAAGTATGTGCAAATACTTGAAGCAATCACTCATCATCCACCAAACTTCTGACAACGCCTTGTTTCAATACTTTCAACAGATCCTACTCCTGAATCGAAATCCGAAGTAATCGTAATCCATGATAACTCACCCGACGTGCTGCGTAAGTTGCATAAACCACGGACACCCAAATTTTTTTGCAGACACGAAATTGGCCTTTTCACGTGTCACAAATCCCCACAGCCAAATTCATCCACCTTTTTTTTTCTCCTCAGAACCTTCTGGAACACCCAAAAAGGAACGTCTTAGTCTCTTTGATCCACGACAGCCCTGGTTACGTAAGTTTTGACATGAAGCTTGGCCATCTTATAGTAATGGAACTAATGAATGTAACTATAGAACCACTTCCTTCCTTGGCTGAATTAGAAAGCAAGTGTTATTAAAATCCCATTGAATAATATCGATAAGTTGTACTGACGTTCCGATAACCTGTATTTTTTTTTATTTTTTATTTTTATTTTTTAGAAATGGAGCAGGAAGAAGCCAAGTCCAAGTCGGCCCAACCAGCTTCACGCTCTTCCCGTAAGGCATAAGGATAAAATTTTCACTGAATAGATTTTCTCACTTGTCATTAATATAGAACCCAAGGGAACTCTTGATGCCCTCTTGGCGGAAATTGAAGCTTCGCGATCACAACGACCTTCAAAAGGTAAGAAAGTTTTGAAGAAAGCTTTTAAAAAGTTCGCATGACTAACAGTCTTTACATTCATTTCTAGGAAAATCACCTGTAAATAGCCATCCCGCAACATCTTCACAAGGTATGTTTTATCTCCATGGTCCTACGAGTTCGTTTGCTGACCTCAAGGAATAGCATCCAAGCCATCTACATCCCCAAAACCATCCCCAAAGCCATCCACCTCTCCCGCCGTCTCCGTCTCCGCCTCTCCCTCCACATCAACTTCGACATCGGCTTCCGTTTCAAACTCTCCCGCAAACCGTGACACCGCTAATTCTTCTTCTAAGAAGCGTTCTGCAGATGAAGTAATGTTGATTTATATTGAATCGTGACGTTGATCAACTTATTGATTACTTCTTATATTAGATGCTCTCCTCGGAACGTTTCAACCTTGGCTCCGGCAGTGAACAAAAACCATTTGGTAAGTCATATAAAAAATCAAATCGTCGTACCCATGACACCTAACTTGCAGCTCCTAAAGTAGTGGTTACTTCACGCCGCATCAAGGTAATTACTTAAAATTGCGGTTGCAAAGTAATTGCAAAATAAGGTTAATACTGAACTTACTCATCGTTTTATTTATCAGCCAAGAATCAAGCCTTGCGAACGATTCCAAGAGATCTTCCCTGATAAAGAGGTAAATATCCGCGTGTTTATCTTAATTTCTTCAGACTGACTAATACGAATTACTCAAAAGGAAAACAACGACAAAGACAAAGATAGCAATGTCACCTCGAGTTCAGCAACTTCCTCAAAGTCTTCTTTTGACATGGCCAAAGTGTCGCCCTTTGGAAAACGCTGTGCTGCGGTAATTAAGATCATTGGATCCTTCTTTTATCGTAATGATAAAACAATTTCTAACACGGATTGAACTCATTTAGATGCTGGCCCGGGCTAATAAGCGACCTCATGAATCTTCTGGTAAGTTGGGTTACATTTACATCGGATCGTCGTCAACAGCCGCTAAAAAAAAACCACTTTTTTTTTTTTTTTTTTTTTTTTTTTTTGGTTAGAATTAACACCTGCTCATCGTATCAAGGTAAGATCTGAATGATTCCGAATTGTTGTGGGTCAACCTATGCCCCATACAATAGCCCTCCCCCTTTATATCGAACTGATGTTATTTTTTGTTGCTAAAGCGAAAACTCGATCATTTTTGTAAGGTGGAACGTTCAATCAATCCCGACGCCATGGTAAATCAATGACACATGCATATGCTCTTATAATTATATCATCTAATGAAAAAAAATTTACATTCCAGTCTCCCCGTATTTCTGTGCTCAACCGAACACTGATCGGTAAACAATCTGACGTTGCCGACACCGAATTTACAAAGAAAGGTTCTGCCACTCCCCCTCCTCAAATCACCGCTTCATCGTCTACTTCCACTGTTAAAACCGAATCACCAACCTCCGTGCCCGACGCTACCGCACTCGCAACCTCAAGCAATACCACCTCCGCTGCTCGCGCATCAGCCCAATCCAACGTGCCTTCTGCCAAGCCTGTTGACAAGCAGCCGAATAAAGATACCGACTCATCCACTCGATCGTACATGGATTTATCCCATGAAGAATCGTCGTCCGAGGTGACCAGTCCCGCCCGAGAATTTGAAAAGAAATACCCAAATGCTATTGTATTCCACGACTTTCTGGAAGACATCCCAGTGGCCCCCGATGCTGAAGAGGAACTCGCCCGAGAAAAAGATATCCATCCTCGCGAAACAACGAAGCCGCAAGTGAAAGATATACCGCAAGATAAAACGGTGCTGCAAGTAGAAACGGCACCACAAGTGAAAGTGACTTCCAATACTACAGAAAACAAGATGGTTCAAACCGATACCGCAAAAGAACTTAATCCGACTCCAACGACGGAGAACACCGGTACTGAAGAATTTTATGACGCTATGGATTCGTTTATCTCGGACTCTGACAGCTCCGACGAAGAAGAATCTATGAAGGATCAATCCGAACTGTAAGTAGATGGGCTAGTTGAGTCACGGTCATATTCTCATCTCATATGTTTCCCAATGTTGTAGTTTATTTTCTTACCCATTCCAAGGGGGCAAGAATGCCGTGTCCATCTTTGGTGAAGATGTGGCACGTTTACGAGAAGGAGAATACTTAAATGACAGTATCATTGACATGTACATGAACTGGTAAGTTGAGGGTTACTGTCATAGCTCCAGCGGCTCCCAAGATACTCACCTCGTTGGTTAGGTTACTCAGCAACGGCAAAACCATCAGCAAAGACATTGAAGAAAGTACACATATTTTCAGCTGCTTCTTTTATGAAAGACTCACTCGATCAAGGTGGATTTAAAAAAGACTGAATCAACCCGATCTCCATCTCGTACTGACATGCTGTTTCTCCTTTAGCAATACTGCTTTTGAATACGAAAATGTAAAGAAATGGACCTCCGGCGTCGATTTGTTCAAAAAGAAATTTGTTATTGTTCCTATCAACGAAAAGTAAGTATGATTGGATGATTGATGCACCCAAGAATTGTGCGTATTGATGATATCGCTTTATCTAGTTGCCATTGGTATACGGTGGTGATCACCGATCTGGACCTCTGTGTCCCCACGCGAAAAGAAAAGGTATATGAAATTCATTTTTTTTGTGTTGAAAGGAAACCGAATGAATTGTACTAATTATTTCTCAAACATAGCTACCTGACATTATCGATCTGGATGCACATCATCCAGAGGACGGAAAGTTAGTGTCTCGACAAGCGTCAAGTGAGGGTGACAGTTATTTATAATGACGTTTACTTAGACCAACGATGTTTTTACTCGACTCGCTCGGCCGACGCCCACGCAAATGTTTCCGCGTACTGACCGAATATTTACAACTGGAAGCCAAAAACAAATTTGGCATTGAAAAGAAAGATTTCGTCACTCCTAATATCGTCATCAGCAAGGTTCCTCTCCAAAATAACTATTCCGATTGCGGTGTGTTCCTCTTGCATTCTATTGAAATGCTGTTATCGAAACCCGAAAAATACATAGAAATATTACGGGTAGTGTATTGATGGATACAGTTGACCTTCAAAGGAAACCAGAATTCACTTACGTTGCTTGTCCATAGAATCACAAGGAACGAAGCGACCTTGCTTGGAATACCCATTTAGTTCCTCAGAAGAGAGAAAATATCAAGAAACTGTTCAGAAGTCTGAAAAAGCAATACCGCCGTCAAGGTATGTGTGCCAGCTTACTCTTCCATTTGGACCGTCATTCTTAAAAATTGATCACAATTTATTTTATTTTGTTTAGGACGAATGAGATGAATTGAAGAAATCCCTTGTTTAAAAGAAGAAAGAGTGGCCTTCATACTAGAGGCCTTTTACATCTCGGATATAGGGGGCTCGCACACTTGATATGGCGCCACCCATCTTGAACAACCGAATCGAAAAGAAACGATTTCCCAAGTCGCTGGTGTTTCATATCACAGCCGCGACTGTATATGATTGCCATTTCGCTTTAACTTGTAAAGCCAGCAACAGTTTTAAAGTGTTAAAGAAATAAATTCTTATGTTTTTCCTCCTTTTTTTTCTCATTATCCAAACTCACGGACGAAAGAGCAATATCTCCTTTTAGCTAATCGAGCCCTGTTGTAAACTCGTTTTTTGTCTATTGCCCCTGTTGTCTTCTTTTGTGTGTTTACAGCAGTGCGGGACCTGGTATAAAGCGACATTTTAAGAGAACCACGCTTGAATGGACGACATGCATAAGCGGTTGTCCAGTAACATGTGATAAATTATACTTTATGCAACCAGCACGGACTTTGTCGCTGCAAATCATGAATCGTTGGTCAAAAGAGCACCCGTAAACGTGGTTGGCGAGCATGGCAAAGCGAGATTGTAACAGCGGTAGTTTTGAAAATATCGCCCCGTAATCATTCTGATCATAAATTGACCCTTTTCTATTCAATCACTAAAACTGTAATAAGTTCGATCGATAAATCTTTGGGCAAGTGTGGGTTTCTTTGTTTCATTTGTCCTACAATATACCAGGCAATGGATGCACGATATCACATGTAAATTTTTAGAGTGGCGTAAAGGCATGTGATTGGAGGAATCAAATATCAAGGATGCTATGGCAGACTCTCCGCTTCAGAGGATGAGAAGAAAGATTTCCATTCTCAACCCCAAAATGGGTTTCATGCTTGTAGGAATGAAGCCAATCCAAGTATGGACGTGCCAAAGCAGAGTTTTACTCGTAGAACCCTTCATTTTACGGCTGTTTTGCAGGGTGTCATTACGTTGGATGGTCTTTCCAGACAAATATTTCTGTCCAAGGGCACCGTCTCCGGTTCTGCAGAGAACAGACAGTGACACGATTTCCGCAAATAGAATCGTTCATCTCCGCCGGCACAATATCCGGTCCTAAATCGTCGTCAACATGTTTCAGTGGATGGAAACCTCGGGCAGTTAATCGCGAAAAAAAGGAAACTGTTCGTGGCTGACGTAGAAAGGACGTAGTCATTTATGAATGCGAGTTATTGTGGAGTAAGAAAAAGTGGGACTCCCCCAACATGCTTCCTATTCTTCAAAGAGACCTCACCCATCGACCAGTTTCAGGCACCGACATAGTGGGTGTACAAACGATTTCGAAAACGGTCTGGGACATCGAGCTCCGTGTCCCAAACAGGCGATTTTTTTTTCGGCCCGTTAGATAAGCCACTGATTGCCATCGTTGTGCGGCGGTGTAACCAAGGGCGTATCTGCAAGCTATTGCCAAACCCTATTTTAGCCCTTTCTTTCCCTTTTTTCTTCATCATCATCATCATTCAACATGACTGCTGGCACTGTTTCCACCACCAACGCTGAAGATATCGCTTTTGCTCGTGCCCTTCACGGCAAGGAAATCAAATCCGGCCTTTTAGCTAACCTTTCTTCCAAAAATGCCGATGTCCACAATGTCGCGACAGATACTTACCTCAAGATGTGGAACAAGTCAGACAAGGAGGACGAAGACAAGAGACTTCACAGCTACACTCAACTTGTCAACTCTTACTACAACTTGGCCACCGACTTTTACGAATATGGTATGTGTCTCCATCTCTACAACAATAATTCCTCCTTCCCCTCCCGTGTATCAATTTTTAAGAGCGTCGTCAAAGTAACCATAATCCGTTTCAAACTACAGGTTGGGGTACCAGTTTCCATTTCTGCCGTTATTATCCTGGTGAAGAATTTTTCCGTGCTATTGCGCGCCACGAACATTACTTGGCTGCAAATATCGGTATTCAGAAAGGCATGAAGGTGCTTGACGTCGGTTGTGGCGTTGGTAAGTTGATGTCAAAAACCTCCGGCCGTCGATCATTGTGGGACGATGTAGCGGGGAAAAATAAGGAGTGAGCGAGAATGTGCTTTTTTTTTATTAAACTATCTGTGTGATTTTTCGATAGGTGGTCCCGCTCGTGAAATTGCTCACTTTACCGGTGCTCACGTTGTCGGTCTCAACAACAACGCGTACCAACTTCAACGTGCCACTCATTACGCTGCCAAGGAAGGCTTGGAGAATCAAACCGACTTTATCAAGGTAAAAAATCTCGTCTTTTTTTTGGTTTTTTTGTTTGTTTTTTCTTCTTTCTCAGTCTCATGGAGAAATGGGTGTTCGTGTAACGTTGACGGTTAATGTGATGGGTCTCTCCATGTTAGGGTAACTTTATGGAAATGCCCTTTGAAGAGAACAGCTTTGATGCGGTGTATGCTATTGAAGCTACTTGCCATGCACCTACCTTTGAAGGTGTTTACGGCGAGATTTTCCGCGTGTTGAAACCCGGATCCAAGTTTGGCTGTTACGAATGGTGTATGACGGACACTTATGATGAAGAGAACGCCAAGCACCGAGAAATCGCTTTCGGTATCGAGGTAAAATCGCGCATACTTGTTTGTGACGGGATAGATAAACTGATTGGAGTGGATCGGTCGAAAAATAGAAAGGCAACGGTATTCCCAAGATGCGTCCTATTGGTGAATGTTTGCAAGCATTGAGGAATGTCGGTTTCGAAATTGAATTACATTGTGATTTGGCCAACATGGGCGACCGTATCGCATGGTACTATCCATTGGAGGGTGATTTGCGAAAATGCCAGACTCTTCGTGACGTGTTGACGACCTTGGCCATGACCAAGGCTGGCCGTTTCACTACGACCAACATGTGCCGCGTCTTGGAAAAGATTGGTTTGGCCCCCAAGGGCACCGTGGAAACTCAGAAATTCTTGGAAGTCGCAGCCGATGCACTTGTCGCCGGTGCACAACAAAACCTTTTCACCCCCATGTTCTTCTTCGTTGCCAAGAAGCCCGCCAACTAAAAAAAAAAAAAAAACATGTTGATTTCACCACTCATCCCCGTCCCCTCTCTAAAAAAAATAACAATTGGTCATTTCTCTTCTTTTGGTTACTATTTATCACTTATGTTTTTACTTATAAAAGAAACGCGTAATACGATTATTATTATTTTCTTGGTTCTTTTTGCAAAAACATGAAGGGAGGAGGTGGATTTTATTACAAGTGTTGATATCGTAGTCTGGGACGATGTTGTTGCCGAAGTTCGCAGCCAGTGACATATTCATTCATCTGATAGGCGGGGCAAGCGCCTTGAATGCATTTGACGATACTTTTGGCGGTATTATCGCCGTCAATCCATGCACCGTGAAGGAATCCGTAGTACTCGGCCGACATGGCTTCTCCGGCGAACCAGAGTCTGGGACGATCGTGTGAGTGAGGCCCGGCCAAAGGCGCCCGCATATTCTGATGATGGTCAGCGAGAACACCAATGGGCCAATTGGAGTAAGAACCGCGAAAAAGAGGATTGGAGTGCCAGCGGGGAATCAGAATGGCGGTAGGATCGGGAAGGTCTATCTCTGGAAACATGCGACGAAGCACCTGCATGATTTCACGTTGTACGAGGTCATCGTTCATTCGTTCGATCCGTTCTGATTGTTTATACGTCGTTGTCACCATCAAAATGTTATTGCTAGGTTGGCGTTTAAGGTTGCTAAGGTACCCTGGGGCATTGAGATTTTGCCATATGGTATAATACCCGCCATTCACTGTGTCATTATTGGCATACATTGCAAACTAGAAAAGATACCATTCTCAGTTATGGAAATAACCATGTGGTCAGAGACAGATTGTTCGTGGCTTTTTTTTTTGTCTTTACCTGCCAGTCACCCCAAAATTTTCTGTCAAACTTTAAGAAGATCTTGGTGTAAGTGGCCATATGGAAACTCAGCAAAGCTTCTCGTTTCCAATCTGGGAATGGCGGCATAAAGTTAACGTTATCACTTTGCAGCACTCCTAGTCTGTATGTATGTATGGGTTGAAAGCGGAATAGGAAAAAAGAAAGTTAGATCGAGATGACTGGATACTCCGCCCTCGCCCACCCTTGGAGTTGAGGGTTCCCATTCTAATCCAAGAAACGTACGAAAAGGTGCAAATGGCGTAATCGGCCGTCAGTATCTGGCCGTTGTCAGTGATCACTGTAACGTTGTCATCGCCATAAAAGATATCTTTGACAAGTGTGTTGAGCAAGAGTCGTGAGTCATCGTCTTGAAGGAACCACTTGGCTTCTTCTTTCAAAATATGATTGAATCCTCTTGAAACCCCTTGTTTTTAGTCTCACTGGACAGTGGTGGAAGCATTGTTCCATTATTTTTATTGTGTCTCTCTGTAGGCGGCTTACCGTTCATCGACGACAAATTCGTTGCCACTGGGAAAACTGCCGGTCACCATGTCGACGGTTCCTGTAGCGTAATCCAGTGAAGACACTTCGGCAGGTTCGGCCAACTCCCAATCCACGGCAAAATATTCCACAGCGGCTTTGAGTGGGGTATCAGGATGCCATCCCAGCAGTTTCAAAGCGGATCGACTTGAAAGATCCACTTGATGACGTTTCATACGTTGATCTTTTTTTGTTCACAAAATCGGTGGTTAGCAGAACGATGTTCCGCGCGTTCCCGTATGTATGTGTGGGGGGAGGGCTCTTATACACTCTGAGTGTATGTATTTCTTTTCTTTCTGTTCTTACCTGCGTAATCAACTAAATTCTCCATCATTTTTTCAAAAGTGTGATAAATCGCTTGACCTTGGGTATCAGGAATTTCTCCGTTGTCATCAAAATACGCCAAATTTTCTTTATTATTGGGCGCCGTTTTCAACCCATGCTTGGAGGCTAGATGATAAATAGGATTGGTACCTTTGCCGTAGATCTGTACAAAAAAGTGGCATATTAAAAAACAAGTCATCCATGCGATGTTTTTTCTTTTTCGGGTTTTTTCATCATTCTGTTGCCGGGACATGATCCTTTTTTTTTCTTGTTTTCACTTTACCCAGTTGGCACCTAACTCTATCTGATGGTCTCCAAAAGTTGTATGTTGTACCCTGCCTAGAAAAAAAAAACAACAATGTCAATGTTTAGGCAACTCAAAGAACCGGTGAAGTGGTGTACCTCCGATAAATGGCTGGGCGTCTAAAATGAGAAAATCCCGCATCCCCATGGCATGGAGTGTCTTGGCCGCGGAGATCCCCGCAGCCCCTGCTCCCAGAATCAGTACTTTGGTGTGTATCACCTCATTGATCTGCTCAGAGTAAGCATTATGAGTCCACAGGAGGACCAGCCACAGTAATAAGAATATCGAAGACGGTAATTTTCGCTTGATCATGAAATGAAGAAATAAAATCTAAAAAAAAAGAATCGCCGATGAAGTGGAAATTCGGAATAAGTTTATAATTCCTGGTCAGAAGATGAAGATCTGATCATCATGTGTGCTAAGCTCTTAACTTTTTTTTTTCGTCTTGAATGATGATGCTTTTTTTTACAACGTACTTGACTGCAGACACGATGTCACTACCGATGTAAGCATGCTTCTTTATTTCCTTTATGGTATGATCATGTTGGCGACCAAAAAAAAGGAACCAAAAAAACCACAGTTTAGATTTTAGGGGATGCGCGCCATGATTCCACATTGGTTCATTCATTCATGCAGGCTTACATGGGAACAGAACCAATCAACGATTTTGTTTATATGGGAATTTTTATTGAACATAATGGAATTTGCCAACCAATGCATTGAATAATATGGCCAATAATGAAAAAAGGGAAAGCATACAAAGAGATTGTGAAATAATAATAAAAAAGCTTACAAATAGAAAGATGCGCCAAAGAATAGATAAAACAATGGAAAAAAACAACATAATGCGAGCATATAAATATGAATACTAACAAAAAGCAAACAACGAATAGAAATAGATAAAGAAAAAAAAAAGGCATTTCAAATAATAAAAATGAAGCAATAAAGCATGACTGATAGCAGTGGTGTGAATACGAAAAAAAAATAAAAAAATCAACGACTAAAAAAAATTAATGGCAGGCGATATAAAGAAAAAAAAAATAAAAGAAAAGAAATACCACTGGATGCTTAGTAGAATGTCATGGAAACATCCGAGGGTGCGATGCATGAAGGAGCGTAGTTGATATCTTGAGGGAAATTGTAAGGATCGTAAATGTTGTAGTCCGACATGGGATTGAAGGTGGCCGTAGTAAGCATCGCATTATCCAGAAGGCAACCATGATTCATCAGGTGGGAAAAATCACTGTTGGGTGGTTGCGAAAGGTCCTCTTGGACAAATTCAGGCTTAAACGCAGAAAGGAGTGTAAGTGACGGTTGACGAATAGGATCTTGCATCATTTTATCCGTGAGGTCGTAGCCCGTAAACAGTGGTTCGTAGAGGTGACCGTGAATCATGGTTTGTTGTTGCGACTGTAACACCGATGTTGGTGACGACGAAGAAGACGACGAAAAGTCGTCCTCCATGTTGGTCATCATGCCACGCGAAAAGAGTTCCATCGGATGCAGATGGGTCGTAAATGATGGCGCGCCATTGCCTTGGTACCCATGATTGTCATTGGTCGCGCACCAAGTGGGCAAGAATTCGTCATGGAGACCGGTCGTTGTTAAAGCGGTCGTGGTCGCCGTGGTCGTGGTAGTCGTCGTTGTGGTCGTTGGCATGGTCGTAGGTTCGGTAGCCATTGTTGCTGAAGGCATTTCGAAATCCAAATCCAAAGTAGGACTCAAAGTACTGCATCGACTACTACTGCATAGACTGCTACTAACACTGACTGCACTGGTTCGTGAATGACAGCTGTCGAAGGAATGACGAGGGGAATAAAATTCAGTCGATGGCTGTTGCTGCTGCTGATGGTGTTGTTGTTGTTGTTGTTGCTGAGCAAACAAGGCAGGAGCGGCAGTGGCAGCAGCAGCGACGGCGGCGGCGGTGGTCGTATAATTGGTGTTCACACCGTTGTTCGGATTAAAATCGTCCATGGAAGAATCATCACCGTCGTTTCCGTGATCTGCATGCGAAAGTTCATTCTGAGCTGTATCGTGGGTTTTGTAATGCTGGGTTAAAGCATCCGAGCACGGGAATCGTTTGCCGCACATACTGCATACAAATAACTGCTCGTTTTGGTGGAGATTGAGGTGACGATCCAAATGCTCCAAACGACGGAACAGACGATTGCATCCTTCTACTGAACAAGTGTAAACACCGCAGTCGGTTTCCTCCTTCTTGTCCGTCGTTGCCTTTTTGCCCGAGCGTGACACCAATGGATGGCACGAATTGGATTGCATGATCTTGGCATTCATCGATGGCATCGGTCCCGTTCGTTTGTTGCCAAAACCGGCGGCCGCGGCGGCCAACGCCAAACGACTGGTCGTGGGCGGATGACCCATGGAATGGCCCATGGTATTGTTGCTGGAAGTCGTACGCGTGTGGCAATTGGCATGACGTCGGATACGGTCGGGACCTCCGGTGCCCATGGCATGTTGCATGGTATGAGCTTGCTGAAGCGCGGACGACGACATGGAAGCGGCTCGTCGACGACGTTGCTTATACGAAGGTGAGCCTTCAAAAAGAGACAGATTGCCAAAGATGGCCTTTGTCTTTTTGATAGCGTTGGCATCCAACGATTTGGACGAGATCACACTGCTATGCTGAACACCTCGTCGGGGACTGGCAATATCGAGTTGATCCACACCATCGACAAGCTCCTGTCCAAAAGATTTGCAGGAAGCGGAAGCGGAATTGGGCTTGGGCTTGGACATGGTCGATTTGGAGATCTCGGAAAATGCCGTACTCTGGTGGTCGTCAAACATGCAGAGCATATTATCAGGGGACGACATCATGGACGAAGCTGAACTGGTACGATGACGAGACCGGGATCGTGAAGCTGACGGGGTCAGGTATGACGACGCATGGCTGAGTCGATGATGGTGATGATGAGCGGCAAATTGAAGTTGTTGTTGTTGTCCCAAGTTGGCCGGTACCGAGTTCACGCGGGATCGCCTCGAAGTCAACATGGTCGATGCGCGTGAGGCCGGTTCCATGATGGTCGGTGAACAATTGGGTGGTCGTGAACTAGTCCACATCCAGCTACTGTCCATCTCTTCATCTTGCACAAACACCGGATTGATGATCTGTGAATCCGTGGGGGACATGAGTTGATCCGACGAAAAACTACCATCTGTACACCACAATGTTGTTAATTTAGCAAGAAAAAAAAAGGGAGTCAATATCAAGCATAACAACAAATTGGGGAAACCAACAAAAAAGAAACAGATGTCGCCTCTCGTTCCAATAACGATGACTACATCGTCTACGCGACCTTTTGCTTTTTTTTCGCTTTCTGTTTTTTTTATATATTACCTGAAGAGGCGAGAGAGTTCATGGAGACACTGGATAAGGGAGTAGGATTGCCTAGTTCATCTTTGAGGGCTTGAGCGGTGGCGGCGGCGGAAATGGACATGTTCTTTCTCAGCTGATCAAACAATTCCTGGGTGGTGTCGAGGGAAATGGAGGATGCAGGTTCGGCTACGGCGGTACTCGTGGGCTCCATTCCCATCTTTTCACGCTTCAGGTCACGTTCAAGCGCATCCAAAAAGAGTCGATCATGCGGTACCGAGAACCAAAAGAACACCTTTTGCTTTTTTTGTGTGCGGATGCAGTTGTTCTTGTACAGCATATCCAGTAACTCCGATTTGGGTTCCTCCAGACGAGCGTCGGTGCCGGGCTTCAAATTCCGAAGATCACTGAAAACGCCCTCCTCGAATTTTTTCGGGTTGGTGACGGGACGACCAAATGCATGGAACCGAAATGTCAGCGACCGTACGATATCCGTCCCACTGATGAAAAAGTGGTCGCTCCATAAGATACATGAAATCGCTTCCCCCGTCGGCAATTCGAACCGCTTCACATTACTGCTGTGATCCCAATTTTGCGTGGCCGTGGCAAAGAAGAACTTTAAATTTTCAATGAACCCAGAACGTTGACCGGCATTTTGAGCAGTTGGGGCAGGCATGCCGAACGACGCGATAGACGTGTCTCGTTCCTTTGATTGTTTTTTGTGGCTTCTCGTCGAAGAATCGGATTTTGTTGAAATAGTCATAGTATTTTTTTTCTTGTCAAGTCGTAAGAAAAAAAACTGATAACCGTCAAGAAGAAAGAAGTCTTTTGAAATAATTTTTTTTTGTTGTAGTTTTTTTTTTCAGCGTAGGGTTTTTGGTATCTTTGGCGTTGTTATACAGTTAAAAAAATAAAAAGAAAAAAATATATATATAATACAACTGGAAGGCAATAAAAAAATAAAAAAAAGGGAAAAAAAAAGACCTTCCAATGAAAATAAAGAGAAATCGAAAAGAGAAAAGGAAAAGAAAAAGAAAAGCCGGGAAAGGGAAGAGAAAGAAGATTTGAAAAAAAAAAGAGAAAATATTGAGTGGATAAATACGGAGTATATCTTGGCTGCCAGGTGCTGTACGGCGATAAAAAGAAAAAAAAAAGGGGGGGAGGGGATACGATGAATTGGGGGATGGGGGAGCGACAGTGAAAAGAGAAAAACGTAGAACGACAAGACAAGCTGGATAGACGGACAGACAGAGACAGACAGAGGGAGTAAAGCGATGTATGTGGTTAAGCAAAAAGGGGGAGCGGGGGTTGGGGGTGGGGGGAAAATGGGTGAAGTTTTACGTTTTTGGATGTGGTGGTGGGAGGTTAGGATGCAATAAGGGATGGCAGTCTACACAAACAAATCTGCCACGCAGGCGTATATTTTAAATCAATAAAGCTCACATCAAATACAAGAAAACTAGATTTCATCTTGTCAATGAGTGATGGAGATTTGCATAACCTTGCTCAATTTGGCAACTACCCTGAATCTTCTTTTTATGGCATGTCCCCTTGGCCGTCTTTGTACGCTATTGGACGATGGACAGGCATACGAAAAAAAAAACTTGAGGATCATGACGATGACGAATGCATATGAACATTCACCTTCCAACGTGCGGTGCAGTGCGCTTTTGACAAAAAGTTAATAAAGTAGACTTTTGGAATCTGAGCGATGCACTCGTAAAGTGAAAAGGATAAACACAGATTCAATCCAAGAGGTCAAAACCCAGGAAAAAAAAACATCAACGGCGGCCATCCATCGCCCCTACAACGGATTCCCCTTCTGCCACAAATATTTTTTTTCTCTGCTAGACCCCTCTTTGCCATTCAAGCTAATGTGAAATGCAAGCTTGTTGTTGTCATCACCCACTCAGCTACTGTAGAACGGCTTCTTAAATCTCCGTTCATGCTGGGTTGGGAATAAATGCAGATCCACCGCCAACATTTTTTTCCTTCTATCCATTTGCGGCTTCTATCCAATTGCGGGAAATGGCTTTTGTGTCACATGCATCACACTCGCCCATAGGGCATAGCACCCTCTTACCCAGGTCGTTTAAAAAACAGACAGCTGAGCGACCGGCCAGTCATCCATCGGCTCTTTTACCAAGACCAGCGCTTTAGCTTTAACCAGGAAATTCCCCACCAATGGGCACAATGAATCACGATCCCTAAAAAAATACTTTTTTAACTCAAAACTATATCTTATCTGTACCCCATAAAAAAACACTCATCTTCTCCTCCCCCCTGCATTGCCACAAATCAAATATCGTGTCAACCATACCTCAACAAGACGTAAAAAAGTTCCAAACAAAACAAGAAAAAACTTAACAGAGAGAAGCGGATGACGGTTCAGATATGGAAATGAATGGATGTTGAACCGCGTCAATACGAACGGTTGCTTTGGAATGCAGACTTGATTGTTATTATCAATATCTCCGCCATCAGATGATGACGCTCATTATTTCCAAAGTGGAATTTTCGCGGATGCAAAGCCGATGCTTGAGAGATGAATTGGTATTGCCGCTGCCACGAATCACGCGATACTTTTTTGGCGGGATGATGTATTTTGGGGGACAAGAAAAAACAAGTTAAAAAAAAAACATAGAAGAAGCATACACGTGTGCTGCCTCATCTCAAGGCAGGTTGCTGCCCTGGGGCATCACAAGATCACAAGATTACTATTGCCACTTTTAGATAAGCACCCCAGTGGCAGCAGGATTCTTTTAATGCGTTGAAAATGATCAAGCATCCTCTTGAGCTGCTCATTTGACTCGTGTTCAACTGTTATCCGTTGAACAAGGTCTGTAATACACTGCCTTGTTACTTTATCATCTCATTCTATTTCCTTTTGGCACTTTGGATCGGTTATAAGCTAGGCGAAAAAAAAAATGCATTTCTATAATATAAAGAAAAACCATCGGGTCCCGATAAAGGAAATCGTTGTCGCATTCCGATGACTCCGATCGATCACAAAGTAGTTGCGCATCTCATATACATTGCAAAGTGAATGCTTTATGCCTATGCGCCAAGAGGCAATGTATCCTGTATCCTTGAAGCAAGTCACAAGAACAAATGAGGTTATACCAGTATCAACTACCCCAAAAAAAGCAAATCCCAAATAATAGTGTACGTCAAGAAGCGCCAATTGTCTTTCATTGTTTCTTTATCTTTTTTTTTTTTACCGTCCGGTGATATTTTAGAATAAGCACACTATGGATGGACTCGACTTGTCGTTCACGTAGAAATACATTGTTTGGCCGCAGAGAGACGAATCAAATGATGACGGCTAGCATCGACCAAAAGACAAAACGGCTTGTTGATGATGAAAAAGCTGTGATGAGGTGCTCGTGTGATTGGTTCCTTCGGATTCATGCCATGGATGATCCGATCATTGGGAATTTTCATTGTGCGAAGCTGTCACTGAGCGTGACTCTGGGGGTCTCCACATTGTTATAATTTTAAGGGCGGGTGCCATTTTGGAGCTGACTCCCCTGATGAGATATGACTGGCTTGAACTTCTTTTTATATTTTTTCATTATATGCTAAACCACACGCAGTCTCTTTTTTGTTCTTTTTTATTTGTCCATATACTCGGCACGTTCTTTGGTTGTTCTCTCTTTTTGCACTGGAACACGATTTCGTGATTGGAGCATTGCAACGATTCTTGGTTTTTTTTCTTTAGTTGAATTTTCGTTTGTAATCCCCAATTTTGTTCCTTTCTTTAGTTCTTGCCTTAAAATTTTTTCTGTCTTGCTCCATCATAACGGCCTATTTTTCCTGGTGAACTTTTTTTTTTCCTTTCCTTTTACCTTTTTTTTTTTCTTTTTTCCCGCAACACTTTGATCCGACAAAATAAGGACGAGAGGAGAGAAAATGACGGAGATCAAAAAGGACGGATATGTGCAAGTAAAAGAGGATGGTATAAAAGCGTGGATGTGGTCCAAACGATATGTAGTCTTGCGTGATCAAACTCTCACTTTTCATCGAAATGAGGTATCTTGATCTATTTTGTCGTCGACCATTCCAAAAAAAAAAAAAGACAACAAACAAAGCATACCTAAAAAAAATTATGTGTATATTGATTTGTGGTTTTAAATTTTGCGCAGCAAACCGGTCAATGTGTGGCACTGATTATGCTTAAAGACATCCGTGCGGTGGCTCGTACAGAGCTCAAAACTCATTGTTTTGAGATCGCTACCAAAGGAAAATCATACTTTATCGCGTGTAAGAATGACGAGGAACTGTACTCCTGGATGGACGATATATACAATGTAAGTCGTCCTCCCACATCCAAACTTTTAGCCCACCCAAGCTCATCTGTTTTTTGTTACACATGGTTGGTCGCTCAGCGATCTCCGTCAGGCATGTCCAATCCCACGGATTTTGTTCACAACGTCCACGTTGGATTTGATCCAATCACAGGCGCATTCACAGTATGGGTCTCGTAAAAAAGTTTTCAGTTTATTTTTCGATCCCTCATATCTATTAAATTTTCAGGGTTTGCCCGAACAATGGAATGTGCTCCTCAAAAGTTCCAAAATCACAGCCCAAGACGCTGCCACGCATCCCCAAGCCGTCCTGGAAGTTTTGGAGTTCTTTACCGAACAAGCAAGAAAAGAAAACCACCACAACCATAATCTCCACAAAAACCATCCGTTACCCTCCACCCCGCATGATCTCCCGAAAAAGAAACATCAGGCACCGCAACCTACCCCTTGCCACTCCACCCCCACACTAAGACATTTCCGTGACACTCCTCCGCGAATCCCAAAGCAGAAATCCATCCCCACAAAAACAAAACCATCGCCATCCAAAGACGAAAAACAACAACAACATCCACCATCAGAGGTAATTCTCCAGGTCATCATGAACAATAGGCCCCTTTTGTGTAGTAAACAACAACCCATTAGACTCTTGCAGCAGCATCAAATGACGACGATTCTTTAACTAAAGCAGGGTCGGAGGTAAGTGTTGGGTCATCTACAACGCTTGCACTATCCATGCAGTGGCACTGATGGCTCGTTAATTTTTTTAGATCAAGGAGCCGGGGATACGCAAGACGGAAAGCCGAATGAATGTTCATACTCCATCTTCCACTGGGCTGGCCGCTGGCTTGGCCAGTCATACTGCGTCTTCCACATCCCGCATACCCGTACTGCAAAGTGCCAACAACAGTCGCACCACGCCACCCACACCTGAACCTTCTCTGTCACAGACTCATCCATCATCGCATTCCGAAAAAAACAAACCACTGCCAACCCCCACCGTCTCCCTTGAAAAATCACGCTTTGAACGCGAAAAAGAACGATTACGCCAAGCCGCAGCCACGTTGGATCGAAAGGGACGACCTTTTGACAGGAAACACACTGCCATCCCAGACAATCCAAAGGATCAGGAACGCGGACCCATACCAAGATTGCAACCGAGCTTACCGTTGAGAAAACCATTGACACCCCATCCAGAAACATCGACACCGCTGCTTCCTGGTGGTCATGCTGCCGCCGATAAATCGCCCCCTGCACCACGTCGACGAGATCCTCACGCCATCTCCAACGCAGAGAAGCAGATGATGGAAAGATTACGTAAGATCCTCTGAGTGGAAAGAATCGAACCATACTTATGAACTATGTAGGATCGGCCGTTTCGCCGGGAGATCCAAAGGATCTATACCATCGCATTGACCGGATCGGTCAAGGGTAAGATATAATCAATGTATCCCGGCATCGTTGCAATGGTTCTAAAGTGAGGCTGACCCTTATCGCTAGTGCCTCTGGTTCAGTGTATTTGGCCATTGATAGGATGACTCGTGAAAAAGTGGCAGTCAAGCAAATGGATCTAAAAAAACAAACGCGGCTCGATCTTCTTATCAATGAAATCGTCATCATGAAGGAATCGAGGCATGAAAATATTGTCAACTTCCTCGATGCCTTTCTTGTTCGCAACGATCTGCACGTCATCATGGAATTCATGGAAGGCGGTCCACTGACTGATATCATTGAAAATAATCAGTTGACCGAGCAACAGATTGCCACCATTTGCTTTGAGGTACAGTACCTTCTAACAAACCCCCATCCCAGAAAACCGACGAAGACCATGTCGGACACCACTTTTTTTCTTGCTATCCCATGTACTGACGCTGCATTGACGTATGTATAGACGATCAAGGGGCTTCATCATTTGCATACTCACGATATCATTCATCGTGATATCAAATCGGATAACGTATTGCTGAATTTTGATGGCCAAGTGAAAATCAGTAAGTTTATGAAACAACAGGAAACAATCCTCTTGTCCCAATTGACTTTTTTTCTTTTTGCGGATGGGAATTATTAGGTGATTTTGGCTATTGTGCAAAGCTAACGGCTCAAAACAACAAGCGAGCTACCATTGTCGGTACACCATACTGGGTAAGTGAAGGGAAAGCGTACATCGATGGCGACAAAAAGTCGTGGATTCTAATCGAATGGCGTTATCCTTCCCTTTTTGTCCGATTTGACCGATAAAAAAAAAAGATGGCTCCTGAAGTAGTGAAGCAAAAGGAATATGGTGCCAAAGTCGACATTTGGTCCTTGGGGATCATGGTCATTGAAATGATTGAAAATGAACCCCCTTATCTGGATGAGGAACCGCTCAAGGCTTTATTTTTGATTGCCACCAATGGAACGCCTTCGCTCAAATCGCCCGAACTCTTGTCAAAAGAACTGAAAAATTTTCTCGCAGTTTGTCTATGTGTCGACGTCAAATCAAGAGCTACTGCCGAAGAACTGTTGGAGGTAAAAACAGGCATTGCTCTTATTCCTCCGGATTGGGACTGATCTTTCTTTTGTATTTTCCCTGTCTGTAGCACGAATTTTTGAAGAAATCTGCTCCAATTGGTGCTCTTCCCATGCTTTTACGATTCAGGCGCAAGAATTATTTGCAATGACTCACTGTCTCACGTCAATATTGATGCTTAAAAAAAGAAGACCAATCCATCATGTTAATTTCTCTACAATAAAAATAAATGTATGTCATAACTAAATATTATATAATGTATAAAAACAAAAAACTCTACCGTAGATGTGATGATTGGGGAAGAAATAAATAAATATATCGAACAATGGTACAAGATATTGCGCTAGAGGTAAAGAAGCAAAACAGGGGGATCATGTCACCTGCAATACTTGGTCTTCGAATCCTTCAATATTGCTCGTGCGCCAGCCTAACGCACTGGGTTTGAGAGCCAAGATGAAGACCATGATCATGGCAACCACGACTAAAAAACAAGCAAACGCATTACGTGATCTCCGTTTCCACTGTTGGTCTATTAACCAATTGGTCGATGTTCGTATGTGGGGTGACACATACAGCGCTCCTGCTACCCAAAGCGGTGGGAAAAGGAAGCCCCACACAAAGTAGTGGAAAGAGCGCCGACAAGTGCTTTGCTTCTTCTCGCCATTTTCCGCCAATGATGCGGCGTCGTCAGGTTCCTCGGGAGGATGATAAAACGGGTTTTTGGCGTCGCGCTTGATTTGCTCCGCTTTGGCTTTCAGCGATTGCCAAGCGGCGGCTTTGGGAATCCACAAAGTGGCGTCGTTGGCTTCGCGAAACCCTTGGTTGTGGATGGTATGTAAAAGATCCATGCGCTCGCGCCACTTTTGCTGATGATCACGCTGCTGCATGTTATTGGATAAGAATGCCCGCGAAGGACAAGGTAGAATTTCCACCTGGGCGTCTACTTGGGTTGGCATTAATAACTTTAGCTGATCAATCGGTGGAAGGGTCGGTGTAGGAGCCGAGGACATGATCAACGATAACGCCTCTGGTTCCGGATCCCGTTCGTTCTCCTGTTTATGAATCACCGGTTGTTCCAGGGGTTGTTTCGCTTGCAATGCCGCTTGGGATCCAAAAGAAAAACGAGGTTCAAAGTATGTTTCCCAGCGTTGACCGATTTTTATCACCTCTTCTTTCTCGTCCGATAAGGCAATGGATGCGGAAGCAATGGATGATTTTGATTCGTGGCCCAACTGCGGTTGACTCATTGACGTGCGCATCGACATGGCTCTTTTTGATCGTGGAATGCGCACGCTGGAAGGGAATCGACCTGATTTTCGCGCAAAGAATGGCGACGAAGCTGCACCCTCTGGAGAAGCTGTCATGGTCAAAAATGGGAGAAAAAGAACCGTAAAAATTCGGCGTAATTTTTGAACCAGATCTCTCTGCAAATGGTTTTCAGTCATGTTGTAAAAAGAGCCGTATTTTCTCACATACAAACCTTGCCTGTGCCTTGAGCAGTAAGTTGATCCTGTTAGTGGTACCAAAACTATAACACCATTTTATACTGCTACGAGGCATGGATTCTTTTTGATTACACCGATGAAAGCAATGTGGGACTTTCATCTGCTTGGTCCTGCAAAGCAGGCGGAACAAACGTCAGCACGCGTGTGTAGTAGATGACATTACTCGCAAGTCTCTTAATATTTTTATTGCTTGCAGTATGAATGGATAAAGCAATTGCGGTGGGTTTTTTCACCCTTTTTTTGCTTTTGGGGAAATTTCCGAACTTACTGTACTTGGTGCACGTATAGAATGTGATGGGAGACTGCAACCAAAAGAACCAACACACCTATACTTACGACCACCATTTTTATGCAATATATGGAAATTTACAAGCGACAAAAGCCTTGTTCAATGAATTATTAGAGGTTGCTTTGAAGGATATTCAATCTGCTGTTCTCGCACGGTGGAACCACACCCTCGAGCCATGCATTGATCCTCTTTCGTCGGACTTTAAACGTCTCGAGGGCGCAACCCGTGGGCAATGAGCACAGCAGTTTCCCCATTCGCACGAAAAGCAAAAATGTCGTCTCTCTTGATTCTCTTGGCATTCAACGTTTCTACTGCTTTCCAAGTCAAAGAGGTATTCTGCCCTTGTAAAGTTGCCGCGTTGTTTCATTAAGCTGACATTTTATTTTTCGCATATAAGGTGAATGAAGTTCTGAAATGGTTGCCTGAACATGAGCATGCCTCCGTCACGCGTAAAAAATATGTAAACGATCAGCGGTTGGCGGTCGGAAGCTTGCTCTTACGGCGATATTTTGTATCCAAATACCTCGCTATGCCGTGGCATGATATTCAGTTTGATCGTCTTCCGGGAGGAAAGCCTACACTGGCTTGTCCAGACGGACAATACCTTGATTTCAATATATCGCACGACGGTGATTGGGTAGTCTTGGTCTCCACCATGACGAGAAAACTTCAAGTTGGTGTAGATTGCGTATCAATCAAGACACTCAAAGACCCGGTAAACACATTTGTAGATTGCTTTCAATATCAGGTAAACGTTTCTTTTCAGTCGCCACGATCCTGTTTCCAACGCCTCATCGGTTTTTTTTTTCCTGTGAACTAGCTGACTCTGTCCGAACGTCAAACCATTTTCAACGGCCAGGATGAAGCGACACAGCTACGAGCGTTTTACCAGATATGGGGCTGCAAAGAAAGTTACACCAAGGCCATTGGCGAGGGTCTTGCGTTTGATCTTCAACAGATTTCATTCAACAATCACCCAACTGTAAGCCTCGCCTTCTCAGCACCTCTCAACCTCCCCCCCAACAAAAAACATAATCGAATGACCAAAAATTATCTGATAGGAACGATGGATTGAATGCCAACATGGTAATCAATTGCAGGTGACATGGATGTATCACGTAAGCGATCTGGATGAGAAAACCGCTGTGGTCATCTGCTGCGGTGATCCATCAGCGTCCTCCCTGGATCACCGTCTGCGTGACTTTGGCCACATGACTCGCCGAATAGGGGAACCCTACGTCTCTCCAACCGACGCCTTTACGCGACTCACTTTGAATGACATCCACCAACAATACTTGCGAAATACACATTGTTAATGAACGAATATATTTGGATTATCACCGAGTGTATCATTAGTGTACGATGTAAGCAAGGGCCATTAGTTTGCATAATTGGTTTTCGTTGAAGAGAATCAAAGGTACGATAGAATAATATCAGAATAAGAGTAGCGGTAAAGAGGTACAATTACAGTATTTACAGTTTTCGGATTGCGTAGTGGACAGGTTTCATATATTACAAGATTCCGGAATCTTTTAAAGCGTTTTGAAGGATGGTTTCTTTGATGGCAGCAAACACCAGTCGGATCTATCAGATGGCATTCGAGTGAATACACAGATCAAGCTGATGAGGGGCAATTCCCAAGACTTACATTGGACGTATTTGTAGCCTGTGTCAAGCTACGAAAATAGCAAAATGATAAAAAAAAAATAAGTATGCACAGCATGAGGAGTCAAAAGTTCATTACGACATACTGGGGGTATATATCGAGTTTCGCACGGTTGGTTTGATTGAATCTCCACAAGATATACTTTGCTGCTTTGTTCGGATCCTGCCCACCTAGATGAAATACCGTGGTGCATCAGACAGTAAATTTCGAGCCAACCTGTGTTTTCATCCACCCTACCTTGATAATCTGGAAAGAATTTTTGTAATGGCACTTTGGGTAATTTGGCTTTGAATAAATCAATCTTGTTGAGAAAGAGAATAATGGATGTTCGCAGAAACCATCGGCTGTTGATCACCGATTCGAAAAGGACCAGACTTTCCATCATACGGTTCTATTGTACATGGTTTCAATAAACCGCCTCATTGACCAACGGCCCCCTAAAAAACGCCGATTTTACCTGTCGAGATTCCTCCAATAGCACTTGATCGTATTCACTGAGGGCGACACAAAAGATGATCGAGGTCACGCCTTCGAAACAATGAATCCATTTCTTCCGTTCCGATCGCTGTCCTCCAACATCGAACATACTAAAATATCAGGAAAAACGTGTGATTATGCCATACCAATTATCTCCCACTACCATTCGTTTCGCGTCCTTACTGTACACTTAATTGACCCATGCTGAATCGGGTTTCGATGATGCCCGTGGTTTTGGATCGAGCGCATAATACATCCTGGACGTTGGGTATATAATCGGGTTGGCCAATGCGTTCCAATTCATTGAAAAAGCTACCGAAAAAAAAAATCAGTCAAAGATCGGCATAAAAAGTGGGGCAAAGTCGATCTTACTAGGGTGCCGAATCCATAATGTAAAAATGGCTGGCTTCTTTATCCATAAATCGAGGAATCACCGGATCACTCCATATGCCGTTCAATGCTTCTACAAAGTCGCCGTCCAATCCCGAGCTAACATCGGCCAAACTGTATTCCATGATCCTCAAAGCGTAATTCTACAACGTTTTACCCGAATCCGTCCGTTAGTAAATACGGACTGGCTAACAGCCTGTCGCGCCTTACATGATTTTTGGTCACTTGGAAATGATATCCATATCGTTCCATGGCTTTGACCAGGGCCTGGGATGACTCGATAATATTCTGATACACCGTCGGTCGCCAGTGAAAGAGCTCTTCTTCCGTATATCCATTTTGGTGAATAATCTTCATTTGCTTCACAATGGTTGATTTGCCTGATTCACCACTCCCTACAGGTGAAGCGAGAGCAATTAGTTTTGGACAACAAAGAAGGCCCTCTCTCTCTCTCTCTCTCATTCTTTTCTCTTTCGTTCCGTTCTTCCTAGGTTGGAAAATATACCTAGAAGTAATATCTTGCATTCACGTTTAACCTTCCGATGGTCGTCTTCGAGCATTCGGTCGATCCGTTGACTATTCTCCCATTCTTCGCGTTCATCCGTCGACATGCATGCACCCATTCTAGTGTCAGTTGTACGTTTGTATGGGTGTACGTTCCCGAGAAGAGTGTAAATGTATGAAAATAATGAAGCGTAAAAGCGATAAGAATGATGGAAAAATAATAGAAGCCAACAAAGAAATTTAATCGAACATTTGAAAAAAAGGAAATTCCATTTTTGGTAAGCGAACAGTGGATGCTTATTTTTCTGAGGAACAATCGAACAGCGTGGTGGATGCAATTCACTTGAAATACCCGATGTGAATGAGTTGACATTGATATAAATAGGTGATTCCCTCTTCTTTTACGGCCATTTTTTCTTTGGCTATTGGCTTGGCAAAAATAAGGTCGTCAAAAAAGCCATGTGAATATTGGTGTCGCCCTACGAAGCTGGGATTCTGCGGAGACCCTGTCTTCCACCCATGCATGGCACTGTCTTTTCTCTATTCTTGTATTTGCCGTGTGGCTGTTGACGAAATAACTTTTGCTTTTCCAGTTCCTTGTTATTGGCATTTGTTATCAGTCATTTTGTTTTGTTCTCAGGCTCGTTTTATTCAGGCTTGAAAAAAATACGGCATCACGCATAATTTATAAGTCTTTCGTGCAGGTTTCATATTTCAAAGTCCGACATTTCTCGGCAGAAGCTGCCCGTTTCGGGCCTCACTTACTTTTTGGAATTCTCACCGACTCCCCTTGTTACATGTGTTGGTCTCCGAGAAAAATCACCATGCCTACCCTGAAGCCAAGAGTACATAATTACGAAGCACTTGGCAATTATTCTTTCCAGCCATCGATGAAGGGACCGTTTATACGTTGAAAAGAGTAACGGCGTGAACCATGAAAAATAAACGAAAAACAGACAGATAGTTTTTATTCAAAAGTAATACCCAAAATTCCAGATTTTTTCTTTACAATTCCTTCTTACAGGCTGTGGGCACTGATGAAGAACCACTTGTCAATGGAAGCATCAATGGGAGCAGCAGCTTGAACGTTTTCCTAGAAAATCAAAATGTTAGGACTTGCATAATTTAACACGGGTGATGAATTGACTTACGGCGGGAATGGAAGTGCAAGCGGCATCATCGTGGGCAACCTTGTAAGGAGATTCTTCAACGGAGACGTTGGCACTAAAGGAAAATATCAAATATATAAACATGAGAAATTCACCTTTCGTTTCCAAGCCAACTCCCATCCATCCATGGCAGCAGTTTCATAGCGATTTTATGGTAATACTTACGCGCTGATGTCCTTCTTGTCCGAAGAGCCGTTGATGAGACCCTTCCAGGCTTCGTGAGTTTCCCAGATCACATCGGTGGCGTATTTCTTGTTCTTGGCTTCACCGCTGAAAGCAAACACGTTTTCGGGCTTGCCATCGGGGATCTTGTAGATGCGGAACCATTCGTTGGTGGCACGGATAAGACCAGGGAGGTGCTTTTCAACATCCTCAATATCTGTACAAACTCAGTGAGTCAATGCGACGCGTTTTTTTTCTCTTTCTTTATCAAGCAAAGACTTTACCGTTCAACTTGGGAGCCAAGGGATCGTTGACATCGATGGCAATGACCTTCCAGTCAGTTTCCTCTTCATCCAAAAGAGCCATGACACCGAGAACCTTGACCTGCTTGATCTGACCGACAGTGGCAACCTGTTCACCGATTTCAATGACATCAATGGGATCGTTGTCACCACGGGCCTTGGTTTCGGGGTGCTTCTGGTTGGGATCTTCCCAGGTTTGGGGAAGAGCACCATAGTTCCAGATGTAACCCTTATGAGGGAAGCAGTTGCGAACAAATCTCAATTTGCCCTTCTTGGTATCCTGCTTGATAGGGTTGAAAGCATCTTCCTTGCTAATCTAAAAATGTGTTTCCCCGTTCGTGTCAATACAAAAAACTATCCAAACCACCCAAGTTTTGCATACAGAGAAAAACAAGCGAGAAACGTTACCTCGAGCTTGGCGTTGGTCCAGCGAGGAATTTCGACAATCATGTTGAAGATGGTCTTTTCCTCATTAGCACAGAGGGGAATGTCATGGAAAGGAGAGACGGGGACACCGTTCTTTTCTGTTGACAAGTGTCAAAAAAATAAATAAATAGGGTCACGTTAGAACTATCACTGTGCAAGCGTGTCTTTGTAACCAAGTCGTCCAGTCCATATATATTCACGTACCAAAGTAAACACGGTAGTCAAGGGTGTTGAGAGCACCAACCTGGCGAGTCTTGTATTCGGCCATCACGGATTGTTGAAGGAGAAAAAAGGGAAAGAACGACAGAGAATCACCCTGGTTGTGCTTAAATTTTAAGAAAAGTAGATTGTCGGAATAACAATCCCGTTGATGACGCCAGATTCACAATCTGATCGCCCGAAGAAAAAAAAATTACGGGAAAAAAAAGCCTCTTGCACCATTGAGCCAATAATATCTTGCAACGATTACGAAAAAGACAAGGCACATTCTGCAATTCCAAAAGTTTTCTTTTGATTTTTATTGAGAAAAAAAAATTATATGATAAGATGAGTACAAGATTAGTCCATGATGAAAATCGTTGGAAAGGGTATGTTGATGAAACCTATAGTCTGGCAATATGGGAATAAACTGCCAGTCTTCAAACGTTTCACCATAAACATTTACTATTGCAAGTGCTATGAAATAGCGAATAATACGCAATAGCTATGGAAAGAGCTATTACCTATTGTAATGCGAATGAACTTGCGTTTTTTTTTCCTGATTTTCATCATTGGACCTATTTCCATCTTTTTGAACCATTTTTCGCCTGCTTCTATTTTCCCACTGGAAATGCTTTGCCCATCACACTCGCACAAGCACGCCATATCACCCTCCGTCGCGACACCACACGTAAAATAGCAAATACAGCATTGAGGCGAACCCCATCAAAACATACTGACAACAACGATACTATACCATTATACGTACATTTTTATTCCATCATCAAAAAGAAGAAAGAGAATGTTGCAAGAGAAAGACTGACCAGCACTGCTAAAATTGCCCATGTCGAGAAAAATTTATTCTTTCACAATGGGTGGCTTGGTCCTTTTTTTTTTGCCTCAACTACTAAACACAGTCCAAAAATGTCCCGCTCCAATCAGGTTGACAATCATGGTGAGGGCTACCAACCACCAAAAAAATTGATTACTTGCAAAGAAAGATACATGACTGCATCATATAAAACTTGCGTTGAAAAGCATTTTTATTTAAGTCAGAGTTTGAGGCATGTAACATGTGAAATGGGAAAAATGATTCTACGTGAGAAGAGTAAAGAGGAAGAAGGGGGAAAGGGTAATTTAATGATGTTTGGGTGGATACGCGCCTTGGTTGGCCGGACCATCGATACGCATGTACACTTCTTTGTGCTGTTTCACCAAGCGTTGGTCCCAGACTTCTCGGTATTCGGTGGAGGGGTCAGTATTGGTGAATTGGAATTTTTTGGGTGTGTAGCGTCGGCCGTTGCTGTTGATCATGACAAAGTTGCCATAGTAGCCCTCGCGGGTCTTGGACTGATCAGAACCATAGTTTTCCAGGAAACCGTAAGGATGTTCAAGCCAATAAGGCTGATTTTCTGCTCGGAAAGACGCAATCAGATGCCACTTTTTGCCATCCGTACCCCAGTAACCGGTGTATTCGGCATAATTCTCGGCCTCGCTCACATTGGCTCGCACACGGAAGTGTACAGTGTCACCGGCTTTCCAGTTGTGGTGGAGGTAAGACTGGCCGCCTGTGCCTTCGCCGCCAAATGTGCCAACATGCACATTCTTACCGTGGCGGATAGGTTCGACCTTGGAGCCATGGCCATCGTCCCAGATGGAGAATAAAATACGGCGCTCGGTATCCGAATTGTGCTGCATACCCATGTAACCGTTGCCAAAACCATTGGCCATCCAATAGGTCTTGATAGGATCCGAGCCTTGGGGAACCCGGATGGAAGATCGTAACTCGGCAATATCACCAAAGTCGCTAGGCACATTCCACCAGTTGTGAACAGAAACGGCAAGAGCTTGGCCAGCAAGCAAGCTTGTAGCGACGATCGTAATCAGAGACTTGAAAGGCATAACAAATATTTGAAATAAAGATAGGATGGAGAAAATAAATCACCACATCTTTGACAGGTGTTATATAGTCCATCGTCAAGAACATGGTTCTGATAATTGCCTTTTAAGGATGGGTTCTCCTGGCAACAGTCCTAGATAAATTTCAGTAATGCAATTTCGGACAATAATGTCTGTGCCTTGCATCTCGTAACCCAGCCATTCTGACTTAAGGGTTCGAAAGAAAAAGCTGTGCAGTTGCATACCCTTTTTCCGTAATGCCTGGATTTATCTGATGCTGTATTTGTCCGGTTTATCCAAATAATCGTAACAAAAAAGCTCTGATGGGTTCCTCCTAGAAATTCGCTACGTTTCACAATCGATCAAACGAGTCATGTTCAACATTGATCAATTTATTGTTCATAAGTGCATGTAAATGAATTGACCCATTTAGCTTGACATCTCGAATGCTCTTAGATTTAACACTCCCGGCGCATGCTTCTTAATTCAAGCGTCTTGCGCATGCTTTTTTTTCCATTTTGATCATAAAATGGCGATTTTTGGTGATAATAATGTATTGGCATATCAGTAGGACGCTTTATAATTTGTGTAGTGAAATGCATGCGTGCAACAGGGACTTTTTTTTTGTCTGTACCGGCTGATGTTTCAGTTGAGATGAAGTTCTGGATTGTCACAACGTCACTTATTACAATGTAACGCTTGGTTGGCCTGTCCTATCATACAAATGGCTGTGTTGAAGAAATAAAGCACTTGCGGACTCACACCATCTGAGCCGAAAAAATATATTACTTTAAAACACTTGAGTAAGCTCTGGACTAAATCACGCAAACGGGGCTACAACGCTCAGAAAATAATAGCTTTAAAAAAACTAAAGCCCTGTTCATTGTGTATCATTTGATTGCATGGTTGGACGCACGACATCAGTATTTCGAAATGAAGCTATGATCACCAAATTGACCGAAAGCTTGCTTTCACTTTATATATCATATTATTCTCTGATCATAATTTATAGGCGTGCAACATGGTGAACAGATTTCTTCGATGGGACTTGATATAGAGATTCGTGCTTTTCATCAACAAGAGTTTTTAAGAAACGCATCGAACTTCACAACTTGTATCAGGAAAACCCTGAAGATCAATCCTACTCTGAATGATATACTATCTCTAGATATGCTAGTCTCATGCGAAAAATAATGTCGAATTTGTGAAGAAGAAGCCTGTCTTTTTAATTCTTGGGTTCCGGTAAAGCAATGATATGGTCCTTTTTGCTAAGAATTACAGTCTCATGTTCCTGATTTATTTCAACATGAATACGTATGGTGAGTACGCTGCGCTCAAAAACTGTTTGAGCACAACTTGTTGTGCACAGTGATAAAGAAGCTCGGGTGACAAAAATGACAAGCGGTTGAGATCCGAAAAAACCTTACTCAGCAGAATCTTGTAAAATTATACGATCTTTTCTTCACCGAGTACAAAGTTAGGAGAAATGAACTCTTCCAGTTTTGATGGGTGATTCTGTGTAACTTTGATCCTTCATTTGTGCGAATTCAAAGTAGCGTGCTTGATATCGTCATGTCGGAAAACATTCTGCCCTGATAACAGGCGGAGTTGTATAACACTTGCCTCTGATTCGTGCCTTGCTTGTTCTCCGATATATTGAACTGAAATCAAACTTTTTTCTTACATCAGCATCATAATCATTATCGGCTCGCTATCCGCGAAGATCAATCCGCGCTAAAGGTTTGAAATATACGCGGCATATAAAGTGATTGAAACAGCCGGAACTTAAAAAAGATAAACTCATTAGCACCTTGCCCAGCAACCAAAGCTGAATTCAGGTACTAGTTTCTCGGAATGGGAAATAGTAACGAGGGAAACCACTTCCTCTCAAGTGACAGAATCCTATACGCGAAAACATGCGCGATGGGTGTGCTTTGCTATGCAGATGGAATAATAGAACGATATAGTTGCACGAAAGACCATGCAAAAGTTTTCTGATAGGCGGATTGAATCGCACCTGTTTCCTTGTGCCTTGAGAAGATAGAACAAAGCGAATGTCCACATCTAGGAGCTGCTGGTGTTGATATTGATGTTGATGCTAAGTTGCTTTCTACTGCACCTGGGATATTCTCATAGCGCACACTAGTATCACAAAGATCAACGCATATTGCTTTATCACAAGTTAACGGGTTCCAAAATTCATATGGATGAATCTTAAGTGAATATTAGTTCGTACAAGTTCCTGTCTTAAAAATTCACTCAATCGATTTACAATGATTCAATGAAAAACTAGTATAAAAAGTTTGGAAAGAGTTGCAATTGTAATGGTGGAGGGCAAAAATTTGGAACGTGGAGGGAAAAGGGGTTGAGATAGGAAGGATGCATTTCATTGCTGAATGAATATGCATTGGCTTTTTTTTTCTATTATTTCTTTGTCATATGGTACAGGTGGCTGTAGAATGATATCACTGTTTACGTTTGAAGACCATTTCAGTCTTAACATGGTTTTTGGATACCCAAAATTGGTAGTGTCGGCATGAATCTTCCGACTGTGCCCGTGAATGCCTGGTGGTGAGAATTTTGCAACGGTCTCCAGCGGAAGACGCCGATCTTCCCCAGGTTAGCAGTACGACATACGAACTGTACACTCGGAGTAAATAGGACCAAGTTCATGCTTCCACCATCTCACCATCTTAAACGGAAAAATAATATGGCAAGCATCATAATGATTCATTCCTTCTCTTTCTAAATGCGATTTTTTTTCTTTTCTTTTTCTTTTGGATCCTCAATAAGCAAATTGATGCTTGAACCTTGTTGCCTGTTTTCCCATACGCAATTAACGGACGCTTCAGTGAGTTGAGGGGTGAGAAGAATTAAAAAAAAAAAGATACAAAATAGGGAAATTCATGAACAACAACGTGATGAAAATAAAAAAAAATAAGCTTGAAACATCGGTTTAAACGTTATTCCAAAGACTTCATTGCGGCTGAGATCTTCAGAAGATTGAGTTCGTCGTGAGAACCATTCCAACAATTTGGGGAAATCCACATGAAAAAAAAAAGCGATCTTTCCCTTGCTCTATGTTTGTGATGTTTTTTCTTTTTAATTTTATTCGCAGCTACAAGACCATGGGTGGCTGCATGATAAAAGAATATAAAAAGATCATCTCCATGCTACTGTCGTCATGTTATAAAACCAATCAATCGGTCACAGATTTTATTCGTTATTCTATACGTGTCAGGGGCAACCTTTTCTCTGAGAACGAATTGTTGGCGAAGTATCATACTCCAGTGTACAAAAAAAAAAAACGGGTTTAGCCCTTTAAGTATAGTAAGGAACCCAACCTTGCTTCCGATCTGGCTACTGGACTTTCCGATGCGTCACAACCCATATGTCTGCTGGAATAGGCAAGCAGCAAGCTCAAGAAACTTTATGAATGATCCGAACGGAATCATTTTCAATCCCCACGGTTCAAAAAAAAAATCCATTAGTTGCAGCCCTCACAGAATATGCACATGGTTTATTTGGTAAAAAGCATATGAACAAAACGAAACTCTCAGTGAAACCACTCTGTTGCAATTCTGCTGAATAACAACGTAGATTCAAAAAACCAGTCGGAAATTGAAATCCGGTTTTGGAACCAAGGAAAATGCAGTGCATCATTGGTTTCTCAATTTTTTTTTTTAATCTTGCAAGCATTGAGAGTCGACAACGCACCGAAAAAAAGGGTACTTGTCGTCATAAGCATCGGCACATTGCGCGGAGTGCAATAGTACTATTTCACTACCCAATAAAAAAAAAGCAAGATAGAAAAACTGAATTTGGTGCCTATTTTTCATGATGGGCTAGAATTATGGTATTGACAAAACGGAGCAAGGTGTTGTATCCTCATTTTTTTTTTACTACCGGAATGGGCTCCTTAAAAGATCGGTTGACAACGTGAGTCAACTCATGCAAAAGGGGAAGAATGGGTTCTTCTTTATATATGAAGGATCTGATCCTTGTTAAGAGTACGGAGATTGAATTTATTTTCAATATACCTCATGTCAAAATCCAGCAGATATAGGCGGTCCCTGGATAAAAGATTTCAATGCCAATTCCGCCGTACTTGGCAGAAAACCCTAGGTCTATTTCAATACCAAGAACAAAGATGGTAGACAGTGAAAAATGAGTGATGATGTGAAAAGGCCGTTAGCAAGGAATGGAAAAGGCATGGCTCTTTCCATGTGAATATGAACCATGAAGCATGTGATGGGGACACCAAATCCATCTTTTGCCCAATATTCAAAAAAAACTGACTCGGTGAAATAACTCAGTGGAAGGCCAGTCACGAAAGAATACCAGTAAGCTTTCGAGCCTTCCGCATATCTCCACACTTTTTTGATGATTCAACCACGTATAAATATATTTCGGTTCAAGACCAGAGGATCCGTCTTGCTCTTTCGCTCAAACATGTCTGTCCAATCTCACTCTTCTCAATTCAAGTCTAACATCCCCGGCGTGGCCGTCCTTGCACCCGTCACTGGTGCTCAGACTGAAATCCTTTCGCCCCAAGCTTTGCAGTTCACCGCTACTCTTCAACGTATCTTCAACCCTACCCGTAAGACCTTGCTCCAGAAGCGTGTCTACCGTCAGCAGGAACTCGACCGTGGTGTGCTTCCCGACTTCTTGCCCGAAACCGCTCACATCCGTAATGATCCCACCTGGCGTGCTGCCGCCCCTGCACCTGGTCTCCAGGACCGTCGTGTCGAGATCACTGGTCCCGTCGACCGTAAGATGGTCATCAACGCCTTGAACTCGGGCTCTTCTACCTTTATGGCTGATTTTGAAGGTAAAGTTTTCTATGAAGATCCCTCTTTTTAAATGACATCATGGTTCAAAATTTCAAACTGGCTTCCATTACATTGTTCTTCCTTGTGATTTCATTCGTTCCCTCGGTTTCAATTTTTACTTTTTATCTTACGCTTTTGTCATGATTTTTTCACAATAGATTCCAGCGCTCCTGTCTGGGAGAACATGCTCAGCGGTCAGGTCAACCTTCGTGATGCTGTCCGTGAGGATATCAGCTTCACCAACCCCAATGGTAAGAAGTATGAACTCCGCAAGGATGGCAAGGCCGCCACTTTGCTTGTCAGGTAAGAACTTTTTTTTTTAATCTTTTATTTATTTAAGTTGGACTATTTTGGAAATGGATTGAAAGGGATAAAGGGAAGGGTGGGGAAGCGTGACACGGAAAGAAAAGGGAAGTTACCTTGGCACGTGAAAAAGGATTTCTGGTGAGGAAAGACATTTACGGCGAGTTCCGATACAATGGGATTTTTTTTTTTCGGTTACGGTGAATTGACATTATTGCTTTTTGTCTTTATGTAGACCCAGAGGTTGGCACATGGTTGAGAAGCACGTCCTCGTCGATGGCGAGCCCATGTCTGCTTCCATCTTTGATTTCGCTCTCTACTTTTTCCACAACGCCAAGGAACTTATCAAGCGTGGCAAGGGTCCTTACTTCTACTTGCCCAAGATGGAATCCCACTTGGAAGCTAGGTAAGCACATTTTTTGGCCTGCTTTTGTTTACAGATATACTGACTTTGATGGATAGACTTTGGAACGATGTGTTCAATGTTGCTCAGGATATGCTCAACATTCCCCGTGGTACTATCCGTGGTACTGTGTTGATTGAAACCATTCTTGCCGCTTATGAAATGGAAGAAATCATTTACGAATTGCGCGACCACTCTTCGGGTCTCAACTGTGGTCGTTGGGATTACATCTTCAGCTTCATCAAGAAGTTCCGTCAACATCCTCAGTTCGTGCTTCCCGATCGTTCGGCCGTCACCATGACTGTTCCTTTCATGGATGCCTATGTCCGTCTGTTGATCCAGACCTGCCACAAGCGTGGTGTTCACGCTATGGGTGGTATGGCCGCTCAGATTCCTATTAAGAACGACCCCAAGGCCAACGAAGCCGCCATGGCCAAGGTCCGTGCCGATAAGCTCCGTGAAGTCACAGCCGGTCACGACGGTACCTGGGTTGCCCATCCCGATCTTGTCAAGATTGCTCTCGAAATCTTCAACGAACACATGCCTCAGCCTAACCAGATCCATGTCCGTCGTGACGATGTTGTGGTCAAGAACACCGATCTTTTGGATATCAACTTCAAGGGCTCGATTACTGAAAAGGGTATCCGCGACAACATTCAGATCGGTCTTGCCTATATGGAATCATGGTTACGCGGTGTCGGTTGTGTTCCCATCCACTTCTTGATGGAGGATGCTGCTACGGCCGAAATTTCCCGCTCCCAATTGTGGCAGTGGGCTCGTCACCAGGCTACCACCGCCGAAGGTATCAAGATCACTCCTAAGTACTTGTTGCAAGTGCTCGATGAAGAAACCGATAAGATCCGCCAACAGCTCGGCAGCAAGTACGGTAACTCCAAGTACGAAGCCGCCAAGAAGGCTTTCGCCACTCAAGTCACGGGTGAAAGATACGATGATTTCTTGACCACCTTGTTGTACGATGAAATCGTCTCTGTCCAATCCAAGGCTCGCTTGTAAAAAATGTTATATGTTTCTTGTTTTAAAAATTTTCACTCATCCCTATTGGTAAAAATGCTATATCCGTCAAACCTACCATCATCTCTCTATGTTTGCTGCTGGTCATGTCAGCTTTCATGTAATTAAAAAGAAAAGAAAAAGTCTTATATGATTTGTTACAATAAACCTCTTTACTATACTTGCTCTATTTAAAAAAAGCAGCAAAAACAATTTAACGAGTCGCCTTTTCTATAATCTCTAACAATCTGGTCAACACCAATATGCTAATTAAGGTCACACTCAAAAAAAAAATCAACCGTCGTTTAACAGGTGGAGACAACGGAAAATGGATGTATTTTCAAGTAGAGCAGGGAGTTAATGGCTTGTTTGGTTGTCCAGCAAAAAATTGGGTAATATAAGCGTATTACTGTGAAATTAAACGAAGCCCTCATACCATCCGCTGCTTTTCTACTTTTATTCTATGAAAACAGCATTTGGTATGGATAACGGGAGTTGTCTCGGAAACCATCACGGCTAGTTGGCCTTAGGCACGAAGCCGATCCTCCAATTCCTTGCGACGACGTTCTAAGAACAAGAATACATTCGATTAAAAAATTTTCATTCATCCAATGATTTCCAAATGGCCAACGATGACTTACCTTTGAGGTTCTTGGCGTCCTCAGAGGTGGCATTGTACTGAACAATGTTTTGTTGGTTGAAAGGATTTTCGGGCGATTTCTGGAAGGCCTTGTAAATGATTTCCTTCAGCTGACTCTGACGAAGACCAGGGTGTTCCTGCTTAAAGCGAGGCATTTCACGCTCTTCATAAGCAGCCAACGCAGCCTTGAAACGACGCTCAGGATGCTTTTCAATATCCTTGGCCTTGACAGGACCCGAACCATCGTCATTCAATGATAACAAATCGATAGCATCGTCAATATTGCTCGCGGAAAATTCAGGAATGGTACGTCGGGCATGGCTATCCGCCTCCACCTTGGCACTCTTCTTTGCAGCTTTTTTCTAAAAAATAAATAAAGAAAAGGCATTCAACGATCCAATGCACGGCAAGTTTTACTACGCTTTTTGCAGGGGCTCATTAACACTTACATCGGATCCCTTAGCGGTTGGCTTGAACTTTGACAGCTCCTTTTCTTCTTCGGCCTAGCACCCCACGTCAAAAAAAAATGAGTTTCCTCTGTTATTTTTATTGTCACGTTAAAGGGAGGCGATTGTTTCCTTACCAATTGACGAGCAGCTTCCTGTTTCTTGGCCAAGGCAGCAGCCTACAGGTAAAATGACAATGCAGATTAGAATATGCTGGAACGGTCAGGTCGCGTGAATGCCAGTTGCTGAGTCATCACCTTCTTTTCTGCTTCTGCCTCTTTTTTGTTCTTGCCTTTGGCACCTTGGGCCCATTTATCGGCTTCCTTGGCTTCCATTTCCTGCTGCTTGGCTCTATCTTTTTCGGCCTTGACGGCGGCCTTCTTGTCTTTGGCCGCTTCGGCTTTGCTGTTACCTCCTTTCTTTGCCATGTTCGTAATCGGGAAAAAAGCTATTTTTTTTAGTCTCTAGTCTTCCAGCTGCGCACCCGCCTCGGAAAATGGCTGAACTCGGAAAATGAAAATTTGTGACTTATTTACGTTGTTCATCTGAGATTTAACAGGTATGTTGTGAACCAGCCAAAAGCAACTTCATCAGATTCGACTACGCCTCTACTGGCAATAGCGACCGCAGTGGATCTATTGGTTCACATGGAAAACATATAAATACTCCTTGATATTCAAAGAATAAACCATAGTTCAGTTTTGGTTTGATCATCTATCTTTTTGCGCGTCTTCCTCTCAAGAAATCTGAAGTCCGACAGCCGGCTTTTTTTGGAGTACAGATTCGGTCGCCTTTCATTTTATATCATCTTTTTTTTTGTAATTCTTTTTTTGCTTTACTCTCGCATACCTTTTTCATGGCGATCAACGACTCGGGTCAGTGGATCATCCCACTGTCTCAAGAAGTCCCCTCTGGGTGGGACTCCATGTGTAAAAATGAAGAAGGCTGGGTAAACATGTCACTGCTGAAATGGACTGTCACCCGTTGCATTGAACTCACCATGACGCATTCATATATTAGGGCCCGTTCTCCACTATTCGTATTCCAGACTTTACACCATGTTTCCAAGACACGTAAGCCTTAAGAATTTCATATGGTCAAAACTGTGGGATAGAAATAACTCTTAGGATTATTATTTTTTAACAGTGTCGTGTCTACCGTGCCGTCTGTCTTTGTGCTTGTTTTTGGTATGGCTCGGTTTTACATTCTGTCTAGACGTCAGACATTGCCGGCCGATATGACGCGCAATTGGCTTTACTTTGTGAAAATGGTAAGGCACAGCCAGTATGGTACGCTTGAAAATTAAATATGGCTCGCTCATGCAATTGGTGTGTTTTTAGGCAAGTTTGATGTTATTGCTATTGACCACCGGTGCCAACTTGTGGCTCGCCAGTTTACGATCAGACGATTGGATCGATAATGCCCAACTTTTAGCTCATGCTTTCAATGTGTTTGTGCTGGTATGTTTGATTCGATCCCTGTTGTGAGTAGAGTGTGACCGTCCATGATGCTTATACGACTGCATTTTTGACCTCCTTAGCTTTTCGTGGTTGCGCTGCATCATGTGGAATATACCCGTAATCGTATCTCCTCTGCCGTTTTGTTGTTTTACTGGCTATTTGTTATTATTGCCGACGGGATCAAGCTGCGCGCTCTTCTCATGATGGATCAACCTTCAACGGATCCGGCTCAGTTTGTCTTGTTTGCTGTCAGCTACGGACTTGCTTTGGTCATTTTTGTATTTGAAAACCTCAACCGACCTAAGAAGCAGTACATCATGCTCGAAGAAGATGAGGTAAGCAAAACAGCCATGGGTAAAATCAAATTATTTCATGGTACTGAATCGAGTTGGATCCACAGAACGAGTGTCCAGAGGCCCACACCAATATCTTTGGCAATTTGACCTTTGGTTGGATGACTCCATTGATGCGACTTGGTTATCAAAAGCCATTGATCATGGATGATTTATGGTAAGCATATGAGATACCATCGATGACTATTTTGCTGCGTGATCTGATGTGTGTTACCTAGGAACCTTAAACACGAAGATCAGTCCGCCGTCATCGGAGGAAGTTTTGAAAAATACTGGAGTCTGGAAATGAAGAAGGAAAAGTAAGTCGACATCCCATGTCAGTGCTGCGATACATGGTCTCACACATTGAATCCTATCCGCAGACCTTCACTCTTCTGGGCCCTCACTTACAGTCTCGGTGGCCCATTTATTCTTGCTGCGGTAAGTCCATCTAGGATCCGTCTAGAAAGGCACAGAATGCTGACAAATTCATGGCGATTTCCTTTTTCGGAGTTTAGCTGTTCAAGGCTTTGCAGGACGTTTTACAATTTACCCAGCCGATGCTTCTCAAGGAATTGATCGGCTGGGTCGGTAGCTATGCCACCAATGACCCTGACCCTGCTTATCGTGGTGTTCTTATTGCAAGTAAGTTGATAAGTACCGGGGGTTCGATGAATCGGTCCCCTTTTTTTGCTTCACCATTTCGCTGTATGGTTGACACTTTTTTTTTGTGCAGTTGGTATGTTTGTGACGGCGGTGTGTCAGACCATGTTCCTGCATCAATATTTCCATCGTTGTTTCACCACCGGTATGAAGATCCGTGCGGCTTTGGTCACGGCCATTTACAGAAAGACATTAAAGTTGAGCAATGCCAGCCGTCAAAAGTCAACTGTGGGCGAAGTAAGTCGCAGACGCAAAACCTTTTCTTCGTCATATGCCAATAGCTAACCATGCCCTTACAGATTGTCAACCACATGAGTGTGGATGCTCAACGTTTGATGGATTTGTGTACTTTCTTCCATATTGGTAAGTAAAGATGACCGCGAGGAACGCACTGGAGTTTTTCGCGTTTTCATTAACCGGTTGTTATAGTGTGGAGTGGACCTTTCCAAATTGTCATTGCTCTGGTGTTGCTCTGGAGAACCATGGGTCCCAGTATTTGGGCTGGTGTGGCTGTGCTTATCTTGGCCATTCCATTGAATACCTATATCGCCAAAAAGATGCGTACTTACCAAAAGACCCAGATGGGTAACAAAGACGCAAGAGTTAAATTAATGGTAAGCTGTTCGACCGTCCTGTTGTCGCAGTCTGCAATTATTTTTACTGATCCAATTTTTTTTATATCGCGTATGTTTTGTAGAATGAAATTTTGAACGGTATCAAGGTCATCAAACTCTATGCCTGGGAAACTCCGTTTTTGGAAAAAGTAAGTCAAGTTACAAAATGATAGGGATTCATCAAAACGCGTATTAACGAGTGCATCATCGCGGTTGTAGATTAGTTTTATCCGTAATGATCTTGAATTGGCCATGCTCAAGAAGATTGGTACATTGTCGTCGATTCAAACGTTTACGTGGACCTCGATTCCGTTCTTCGTTTCTCTCAGTACCTTTGCCGTGTACGTAGCAACCTCAACGGCACCTTTGACGAGTCAAATCGCCTTTGTCGCTATTTCGCTGTTTGGTCTCTTACAGTTCCCTTTGGCGGTGTTTCCGAACGTAATTACATCCATGATTGAAGCCTCCGTCTCTTTGTATCGTATTGAAGGCTATCTGTCTTCGGAAGAACTCGATCCCAATGCCGTGACTCGCATGGATTATCGTCAACTAAATGATTGGACGCCTGACGTTCCCTTGCTAGAAGTGAATCACGGTACTTTCAAGTGGGCCGAATCCGATCCTGCTCCCTCGTTGAAGGATGTCTGTATCGGTGTGAAAAAGGGAGAAGTCACCGCCGTGGTGGGACGCGTGGGGTCCGGTAAATCGACCTTGATGAGTGCTTTGCTTGGTGACACTGTGAAGTTGGAAGGTCAAGTGATTTTGCGTGGTTCCGTAGCCTATGCTCCACAACAGCCTTGGGTTATGAATGCTTCCTTGAGAGACAACATCATTTTTGGCCATCGCTGGGATCCCGATTTTTACGACAAGGTACTGGAAGCGTGTTCGCTCAAGAGCGATATTCAGATTTTGGCGGCCGGCGATCAAACGGAAATTGGTGAACGTGGTATCAACTTGTCCGGCGGTCAGAAAGCGCGTGTCTCGTTGGCCCGCGCCATCTATGCTCGTGCCGATATCTATCTGTTGGATGATCCCTTGAGCGCTGTTGATGCTCATGTAGGCAAACACATCTTTGATCATGTCATCGGTCCCAACGGTTTGTTGAAGAACAAGGCTCGACTTTTGGTGACCCACGGTATTTCGTACTTGCCCAAGGTGGATAATGTGATCATGCTTCGCGAAGGCCAAGTGGCCTTGAATGGAACTTATGAGGACTTGATGGATCGCAAGACCGAACTGTATGCGTTGGTGACGGACTTTGGCAATCAACTAGGCAAGGAGCCTGGCCAAGACGAAGAAGGCGATGATCACACGGATGAAACGCTCGACGGCTTCGACGAAGAACAGGTCTTGTCCCCGGATATTGGTCGCAGCGAAGAGGAAGCGTCGTTGAACCGCGTCAATTCGAGAGAGCGACAAAACAGTATCAGTAGTATGAACAGCTCCGTGACCCTGCGACGTGCTTCTCTGGTGTCTTTGGGCAAATCGTCCAAAAAGGTGCAAGTAGGAAACGAACGATTGATGACCGTGGAAGAAAGTGCCAAAGGCAGTGTGGATTGGAATGTATACAAGCAGTATGCCAAGTCGTGTTCTATTGCTGGTGTGGCCGTTGTTCTTTCTTTCCAAATTGCCGCTCAAGCTTCGTCGGTGGGTGCCAACTTGTGGCTCAAACACTGGAGCAGCAACAATCAACGTGACGGCACCAACAACGATGTATGGTTCTACCTCGGTATCTATGCCTTGATTGGCTGGTCGTCGACCTTTTTCACCGTCATCAACAACTTGACCCTTTGGATCAAATGTGCTATCCGCTCATCCAAAGTCCTTCACTCGGAGATGCTCGAAACAATTATGAGGTATACTGACGGCGTCTTCACTGAATGATGTTGGAATAATGTAATCTCACACGATGTATATGTTTTTAGATCGCCCATGTCTTTCTTTGATACTACTCCTTTGGGAAGAATCTTGAACCGATTCAGCAAAGATCAGCACACCGTGGACGAAGTTCTGCCAAGAACCTTCAGTGGTTATTTCCGGTAAGTGTTGGCATCATGTTGCCCTGTGTACTGACTGAGAACTATTGTCTTTATTAACGTTCTTTTATCAAAACAGTGTTTTATTCTCTGTGATGGCTACTGTGTTTGTGATTGCTTCGTCGACTCCTTTCTTCCTTATCCTCATCATTCCTTTGGGTAAGAAACCACAAAAAGAGGCCTTGACTGCCCTGAAAAGTACCATTTTTTTTCTCATCTTCTGATGGTTGATATTGTAGGTTTCATTTACATCTATGTTCAGCGCTATTACTTGGCGACTTCGCGTGAATTGAAACGTTTGGACTCGGTGGGTAAGAGTCCCATTTATTCTCACTTTCAAGAAACTATTTCTGGTGTGACGACCATTCGTGCGTATGAGCAGCAACCTCGCTTTGCATTTGAAAATGAAGTAAAGTTGGATGACAACCAGCGTGCGTATTATCCTTCGATTGCCTGTAACCGTTGGCTCGCTGTGCGTCTCGAGTTCATGGGTTCCATCATCATCTTTGGTGCGGCTATTTTCGCCGTGATTGGCGTTATTTACGGTAGCGGTTCTTCCATCGATGCCGGTCTGGTCGGTCTCAGTGTATCTTATGCACTGAACGTCACCCAAGCCCTCAACTGGGTCATTCGATCCTTCTGTGAAATCGAGGTATTTGCTCAAATGAATCGACTGGGTTTGGGATTGCAATTGACTTTATTTTTTCTTTTTTTCCTATCTCTTTAGACCAATGTCGTGTCCGTGGAACGTATCAAAGAGGTAAGTGAAAGTCAGGGCTGGATGTGAGGAATTGTAATGCTAATTTATTTTGTATTAGTATATTGATCTTCCCACTGAGAAATACAATGCAGTTCGAGGTGTGAATCCCATGTGGCCCGAAAAGGGTTTGATTGAGTTCAAGGATTACTCCACAAGATATAGAGCTGGTTTGGACCTTGCGCTCCGTGACTTGTCGTTTACGGTGGCTCCTCGAGAGAAGATTGGTATCGTTGGCCGTACCGGTGCTGGCAAGAGTTCCCTCAGTTTGAGTTTGTTCCGTATTGTGGAAGCTGCCAAGGGCAGTATCTTTATCGATGGTGTGGATATCTCGACCTTGAGACTGTTTGATCTTCGGTAAGTCGTCAAAACCCATGGTACGCGGCTTGTACGGTGACATTCAATAACGTTCTTGTTCTTTTTCGGTGGGTAGATCTCGCCTTACGATTATTCCTCAAGATCCGGTTTTATTTGCTGGTTCGGTTCGTGAAAACTTGGATCCTTTCGGTGCCCATGACGATGTACAGATCTGGCAAGCTTTGCAGTTGGCCCATTTGCATGATCATATTTCCAAACTGGACGGTAAATTAAACGCGGTCGTTCTCGAAGGTGGCGAGAACTTTTCCGTCGGACAACGCCAGGTAAGCCAACAAGAAAAAGAACGAGAAAAAGGACAAGACAAATCTAATCTGTGAATTTTTTTTACTCTATCTTTCTCAGCTTATCTGTCTGGCTCGCGCACTTTTGCGTCGCACAACTGTTCTCATTCTCGATGAAGCTACTGCAGCGGTACGTATTGTTTGCTCGAGAAATCAATTTAATGGAAAAAAGTAGATTTCTAACATGATGCCGCCCACCTTATTAGATTGACGTGGAAACCGATGCGATTATCCAGGAAACGATTCGTTCCCAATTCGCCGACTGTACGATTCTTACCATTGCACACCGAATCAACACGGTCATGGATTCCGATCGGTGAGTTTTGTGAGACGATTTTGCCTAGTTGGATTATATTTACTCATCCTTCTTCATAGTATTCTCGTCCTGGACCAAGGTCATATTGCTGAATTCGATAACCCCGAAAAGCTTTTGGCCAACAAGCAATCCCTGTTTTACTCCATGACCAAAGAAGCGGGACTTGTTGAGTAAATGTAGTAGACTGTTCACCACTGTATTTAATATATATGTATTTCATTTTCATTCACCTCAAATATAAGAGCGTATGTTACTGCTCAAAAATCAGCACTGTTTGAATGTTCTTCTTCTCTCCTTTTCTGAGTTTACTCAGAAAGGCTCCTGCATAAGAAGAGGGTGTAGATCGGTCAACATCCCGAGAATTGACACCCGACCTACTCCTAAACGCCCCGGTTTGGCTAAAAATGGAGGTATTACCGGAAAACACAAAGACAAAAAAAGATAAAAAGCAGAAAGTTTACAGTGTACAAACACAACGAGTCTTCTATCATGGTCGTTACATCACCGTGACGACGATGAGGGGCCGACGGTTGCCATGGCATGAGAGCACGGTCGCGACAAAATGGGCGGTGGCAACGACCCAATTCCTTGAGATGTACAGCATGGAATGCAGTCATCTCCATGGGTTGCAAGTGAATCACAAGTAACTTTATACGCCAATTTAAAATACCAAAATGAACATACTGTAATGGTGAAAACATACTTTTGCTTTTTTTTATTCCTACAAAATAGCGGATAAAGCAATTTTTGAGTGGACTCTATTATAAAAGGCATATCAAATAATCGATGGTCTTTTTTCCGATAATAGCAAGGGGTTGGATCGATCAAGGAGAACAGACTTAGAACTTCTTGCCGAACATGATGACTTGGAGCTGATCGTAACCAGACAAGACACCAGCACCAGCAATGGCACGGAGAATGTTGGCACCGGCACCCTTGAAGAGAGACTTGGTACCTTCCTTGGCAACGATTTCCTTGAAAGCGTGGAGGGAAGAATCGTACTTGACGGCAGCACCGGAAGTCATCATCATACGTCTACGGACGGTATCGATGGGGTAAGAAGCTAATGAACGCAAGGAAAAATAGATTTAGTATTCAAGAATATGCGCCACCCATGCATCACAAAGAAAAGGAATCTCTTTTTGTTTTTCCCCACATTATTTTCTGTTTTCCATTTCCATTTTCCATTTCCACGAGCCATGTCCCAAATAAAGGAAAAAACGATGATCGAAAAAACTTACCAAGACCAGCACCAGTAGTAACAGCCCAGCCAAGCAAGAAGGAGGCCAAGAAAGAGTTCTGGAGGTTGGTAGGCATGATGGGCTTGATGGAATCGTACATACCGAAGTAGAGACCACGGTAGACAATGATACCAACACAAGAGATGTTGAAACCACGGTAGAGACCGGCAATACCATCAGACTTCAAGGTCTTGCGGTAGACATCGAGAAGACCGTTGAACTGGCGTTCACCACCCTTCTTGGCAGACTTGGCATCGTTGGCAAGACGAGTACGAGCATAATCAAGAGAGTAGACAAAGAACAACGAACAGGCACCAGCAGCACCACCGGAAGCCAAGTTACCGGCGAACCAGGCCCAGTAACCATCCTTCTTCTTGTCCTTGTTGAACATACGCTTGAACTTATCCTTGAAGGCAAAGTTCAAAGCCTGGGTAGGGAAGTAACGGATGACGTTGGCAGTGTTACCTCTCCACATGGAGATGAGACCTTCATCCTTGACGGTACGGCTGAAGCAGTCGCCAATACCCTTGTAGGGAGAAGCGAGACGACCCTGCTTGATCATTTCATCCTGGTTCTGGATCAAAAGCTTGATACGCTCGATGGGGGCAGCAGCAGTCTTGGAGACAGCGGCGGACACACCACCCATAAGGAAATCCTACAAGACCCCAAAAGAGCGTAAGCGTACTGTGTCTTGTTTTTCTTCTTTGCAATAAGAGGCAAAACACGATCAAGTAATACTTACAATGACGAACTTGTTCTGCTCGGTAGCCATAACGGAAAAAAGGATGGAGAAAGAAGTAATAAAAAACGGGTTTGCAATTCAGTTTCAGACTTTATAGGTGGGCCAGGGGATGAATTTTTTTTTTTTTTTCTATGGCGACCAACTCGGTGGCCGCTTGCCAGGGGTCACTGTGTAAACAAAAAAAAAATTGCCATCCGTCGGAAACAGAAAAAAAAGCCAGACAGACTGTTTATGGTATAGTTGATTGAGACGAGATGGATTCCAACTGCTTTATTCACCTTTGTCAATGAACAAGGGAGGAGAAATCAAGGCTCCAGTCTAGTATAGAAATATACATGTTTTCTAGTTTGGTAAAGCGAAGTAATCGATTTCTGTACATGGTGGAGTGGATATGAAGCGCTTGCTCATTGGCTCAAAAGAAGATCACAGAGTGAGAAAAAAGGGGAGGGGGGAGGAAAGAGAGGGAGAGAGCGCGGCGGAGAAAGAAAACGTTCTAGAATAGAAGCCGTCTTAAAAAACAGCTTTTTAGTTTTGGGTAATCATATCGAGATCGATATCGTAGGAGATATTGCAACCACAGCTGTGCTTTGCATTGGGGTTTTCAACCACTTGGAATGTCGATCCAATCAACTCTTCCACAAAGTCCACCTTGGATCCTCTAATAAATTGAAGTGAAATGCCATCCACCACCACTCGTACACCGTCCTTCACAAAAATGCTAAAAAAAAAAAAGAGTGTGAGTCAAGAGATGAGTTCTTCCCACCCCAACAGATCGAAAAATCAAATGCTTACGTATCATCTTCGTCTGCCGTGTTTGTTAATTCCAATTTATTCTGGTAACCGTGACATCCACCCGAGTCGACCATAATACGCAGCATTTGATCAGGTTCGTTGTCTCTTTCAGCGATGTGTTTGAGTTGCTAATTTTTTTTTTAATTTTAAAAATAACCCAAAACCCCCTTTTAGTCAGCCGCTGAATAATTATTACAGTTAAGAAAGAGACGTTATGGCTTACCTGAACCGCTTTGTCGGTAATAGTTAAACCACTACTGTCGTTGGCTTCTTTGACCGTGGCAGCACTCGTGGAAGCCGATTCTTGCGCCGAGCTTGTATATAAGCGAGCTGATCGCCACCACGGAGCATGGTGAGATGCTGTGCGGGGCAACGGTTGGCTGGCCGTGCGCAGTGGTTGAAGAAGTGTACGGCATGGTCGACATGTGGAAAACGTTCGCGCAGCCGGGAATCGAGTGGACAATGTTACGGACCGAGTGCAAAGGATCGGTGCGAATGTCTTGTATAAACAGCGTGCCTTTGATGAATTGATCATTGGTGTAGGAGAGTCAAGATGCCAGCCGGGACGGACTTTGGGGTTTCTTACTGCTGCTGTTGTATTTCGAAAATATCAAGTCACACCCGCGGAGAATCAAAAAAGCCAGCATCCGATTCGTCCTGCTGGAAACCATACTGCTTTGTGAACCCACAGCAGCACTTTCTTTTTTTAATGCCGACTCCCAAAAAGCACACGCAGTGAAGCATTTGATTGTTGAACGTTTTGCTTTTGTATCCCATCGTATTTTTCCCTATATTCTGCACCTGCATGAATTTGCGTTGTATCTGGTTTCATAGCCTCACCTTTATATTTATTTTTTTATCATGGTTGTTTCTTCCCAAAAGTCGCAATACGACAGAAATGGTAGCCCGTGCAGTATTGACTCTGTTGGACCGTGTATTTCTTGTATTCGTTGATGCATCGAAAAACCCAAAATCATCAATTATTCGGTTTTTTGCTCATTAGTTTCATCGGTCCTCATTTCACACATCTCAACTGCAGTCCCATTTTCCGGAACCGCTTTGGTATCGAAAGGGCTGTGCTGTTCCCAAGTGTTGATGTATGATCATTGATCAAAGGCTGTTTTTTATATCTCGTATTTGACTGCGCCAGCTGAGTATTTAATTCATGCACCAGCAGAAAGATAAGATTATTGGGAGTGAGGAAAAGTCCTAAAATTGCCGACTTTTAAAGGTCCAAGGCGAGTCTTGGATTGTAAGGTAGCATGTATGCTGTTTCTCAACTCATTAATAGTTGCAAGTGATGATCATAGGTTTGACAGTAGTATTAGCAGTTCATTTTAGCCTGCTATTCAGTTGTGATTTATGGCTTATCGTATAGCTTCATGATCATTTGTTTTACCGTGACCACTGATGCCTGGATTGTAGTTTGCATAAATTTCCAAGTCGGTGGTTGGGCAGTTCCGCGTATACGACGAAAAACGAGAGATTTGACTGGCTCATTTAATAACTCGCGTATACGGATGAGACCATGGTTGAAGGAGGAGACGTCTTTCGCTTTGACTGCGTAGATGATATTGCATGTGAATTTTTCGAGTTCAGCATTTGTCAGCGAAAATGCAAAGGAAGATCATGCCAATTAAAGCGTGGTAAAATTTTAGACCCCACTCACTCTTTTTCATTTGTTCTTTCGGTTCACTCCACAATTTAATATGCACATTCACGGAAATACGTTCATTGTCACCGGAGGGTATGTCAATCACGCAATTCGATGTAACCGCTGATCTACTCACGCACCTTTGCAGCGCTAGCGGACTCGGCGAAGCAACCGTGAGAGAACTTGTACAGCATGGCGCCAATGTCGCCGTAAGTGATGACTGTGGTTGCTATGCTCCGCGACGCTAGTGTTAATGTATCGTCTTGTCTATAGATTTTTGATATCAATGACGAGGGAGCGTGAGTTTTATTGCAACATTCGATACCAGATTTTCCCTCGCTAAAAACTAGACCCGATGATTGATGCAGAGAAAACCTGGCTCAACAGCTCGGGAAGCAAGTGTTTGCTGCAGGCAAAGTCGATGTGACATCCGAAGTAACAGTTTATTGCATTGAAGTTTCATGAGCGCGCAATTGATTCTTCTTATATTTTAGGAAGCGGTCAAGACAGCTTTAGACAAAACAGTGGCCCAATTCGGCCGAATTGCTGGTGTCATTAATTGTGGAGGCGTCGCATCGGCAGCCAAGGTAGATCAATGTTTCTTTCATTCTTTCTTCATCTATTATATATTCCATTATGTATTCCATGCATCAACTATAAAATTATGTAGATTGCTCGACGTGGCAAGTCGTCTCATACCATGACGCTGGATCTGTTTGATTTCACGGTTCGCGTCAACCTTATTGGCACCTTCAATGTATGTCGCCAAGTAGCGCAAATCATGGCTAATCAGGACGCCTTTACCGAGGATGGTACGTCAATGGATGGTAAAAAACAGAGGGAGGAAAGGCTGATCCAAAAAAATAGGTGAGCGTGGTGTGATTATCAATACAGCCTCGGTGGCCTGCACCGACGGTCAAGCCGGCCAAGTGGCGTATGCTGCATCCAAAGGAGGTGTGGCTTCCATGACCTTGCCTATGGCGAGAGATTTGGCCCCGGCCGGTATCCGCGTGATGACCATTGCCCCAGGCATCTTTGGTAAGCGATCCATCCGTCTCTTACATTTATTGGCAAACCGCATTGATATTAATTTTTTTCATGCAGAAACCAATATGACGTCTCATATGAATGAAGCGGCCAAGGCCAAAATTATTAAGGATGCGATTTTCCCTGAACGCATGGGTCGTCCTCACGAATACTCCATGTTGGTGCGCCACATCATTGAAAACAGCATGTTGAGCGGTGAAATTATCCGCATTGACGGAGCCAGCCGACTGGGCAAACTGTAGAAGTTTTTATTCGATAACGCACATACCGGAATAAAAAGAAAATCGACCCGCTCTTTCTCTAAGCAATGACTCGAATTCTCGCATATTGTTTGAGAATAGAAGGTGAGTTGGTGATGTTGTAAAGCTCATCAATGAGAGCCGCACGGAAACTTCCAGGTCCGTGAACCTCGCTTCGATTCGCGGCCAATTCGGACGCCACATTCAACGTCAAAATACTAGAATCATCTCGAATGAGTTCAATTGCATCTTTTATATTCAGTATGAAAGCTTACCCGCCAACCGTGGCTAACAGGTAATCGGATCGGTTGGCTGCGGCGAAACAGGCCACCACCGAGGTGGCCATGCAACCACTGCCTGTGATGCATGGCATTAATTGATCCCCGTTTTCAATAGCAAATACCCGCTTGCCATCAGAAATGTAATCGATGGGACCCGTCATGCCTACAATACAGCCTACAGTATCACCAAAAAGATCCATGAGAAAGACGATGAGGGTCCAGAGTTTCATTCATTCGTGATCCTACCATGTTTTTGCGCCAGTTCTTTCACGGCGAGAACGGCATTTTCTTCATCGGTTTGGCCAACCGAGTCGACGCCTCGCGAACGACCGCCTCGTCCGGCCATGGACAAGATTTCACCTCCGTTGCCCTTGATGATGGTCAAATCACATTCCTTCAGGAACCGGTCGGTGGTGGTACGTCGGAATTGGGTGGCACCGGTTCCAACCGGGTCCAATACCACCGGATTGCCATGGCGCGCATTGGCTTGTGCGGCGAGGATCATGGTACTGATATCATTCAATGTACCCATATTCAATACAAGAGCGCCATTGACGGCGGCTAATTCTTCCATTTCTTCCCGATTGGTGGACATGATGGGTGAAGCACCTAAGCACAACCAATGCATTTACCCGTTAGACCACCCCCCCCTTGATGCGGCACCCACACATTCACAAGTTTTTTGTACTTTACCCACGGCAAGGGTTGCATTTGCATTATCGTTGATCACCACGTAGTCTGTAAAGTCAAAATTTAAAAAAGGATATCCAGTTATCGTGTAGGAGAGAGAGTGAGAAAGGACTTACTTGTGATGTGGTGTACCATGGGCGAGTTGGCTTTAATATTGGAAGCCGCTTGAATCGCGAAAGAAACGGCGTCATCCACGTCTGTGTGTTCTTTGATACCGAGCTTGGCGCGATCGGCACGAATGGTTTCGATCCAGCGGGCGCAAGTGGCCTTTGGATCAGCCGAGGCCATGATCGCGGAAACAATAGCAAAACCGTCCAGGTGCAACTTGTCCGTGCGCGAGCCTACAAACAGTTCTGAAGTGTTTTCAGGCGTGATACCTCCAATAGCAACGGTTGGAATAGGATGCGACTCCATCGACTTGAGAATGTCTGGATAAAAGCGATAGTTAATGTTGACAATTCACCACCGCTTTCTTCAAGTCTTGTGCTCCACTTACTCTGGACACCGACAACACCGAGGGGTTGTTTCTTGAGTTGCTTGGTCGAAGTGTACCAGACCGCACCAATGCCGAGGTAGTCGGCGCCGCCTTGAATGGCGACGGTGGCTTCTTCAATATTGTTGACTGAGACACCAATGATTTTCTTGTGACCCAACATTTGGCGTGCCTTGTGAAGTGGCATGTCGTCCTGACCAATATGAACACCGTCAGCATCGACGGCAATGGCCACGTCGAGACGGTCATTGATAATGAGAGGCACATTGTATTTCTGCGTGAGCTGTTTCACTTGCAAAGCGAGCTGGATAAAAGGGCCTGTATCGCTTTCTTTTTCGCGCAACTGCACCAAGGTGACGCCACCTTGCAACGCTTGTTCGATTTGGCCCAAAAATGTGGCGCCTTCCGGGACAAGGCTGCTGTCAGTGACAAGGTATAAAGAATAGTCGACGTGTTTCGGGGACATGAAATTGAAAAAGAAGGGGATGGGCTGAGTAGAGAATTCAGAAAGATCGCTTCACCCGCTCCATCAGAGGATGAATCATGTTTCGAGATCCGGCAATCTATTTGCCATCCAAAAGCGGACATTTCCGAAATTCACTTACAGCATCGGCACTCATAGTCCTACCACTTCGTAAAAAAGTGTACCATGTCATCTTGAATGAATCCCTACTACTGTCGTCAGTGCGAGTGAATTTCGTTGTACGAGATCATCAACTATTTAGAGATTAGAGGGCATTTTTATATTTATTAAGTGATTTGAACAGTTTGGTGGACTGTAATTAGCAAAAATCCCGCTTTTGCTTTGTTTTTGACACTGTTTTCGTAAGCCCGTTCATTCAAGAAGTGGCGTGCATAAACTTTATTTAAACTCCAATTCATCATTTATTTAGCTTGATCTTGCGATCGCATCGACTAGGCAGCTTAAAATAGTACCACATGTAATTGTAAGATCAGAGTTGATTGTGTATCCTGAAGATTGCACTACAATCTCGGTAATAACTTGTATCTGATCGAATGTGGCTAGATCTTCTCGATCCCATGCCACATGAGCATATTGGTGTGGCAAATAATCTCCACTTATTTTCAAGCTTCCGTAAAAATTATGGACTAGGACTCGACAGTTATTGTATGCAGGATTTGTTACTCCAACGTCTATCTTGTTAGTGAAACCTGGCAGAAAGCAGGCTGACCCCCACCGATTTTCCTTGATCGGTCGTTCCTGAATTAACACCCTTTCTCTCATCTATGGCCGTGCATCGAAAGAAACCAATCGCCCCTGAATGATGGTTTTATGGATCATTGAAACTGAAAAAGTATGCAACTTTTGAGAACTGATGAAAAAAACAACGCAACATCTGGTAAGTTCTTGATACATCAATTTCACTACAGTATTCGCGTAGCATCCGTAGAAGTGCTCACGTATTCAAATCTACGACACCGCATTTGAATTTTGGAATAAAATGCGGACATAAAAACGTAATAAAAAGAGCTTTAGCCATTGAGAGAACATTATATACTTTTTATCCTTCGAAGGATGGATGGATAACTTGGTGATTATTATTATGCAGTGGGGTTTATTTAAAGAAATAAAAGCTTTCAACAAATGAAAGAATAATTGAATGAACTATTAAATGAAAGAAATAAGACTCTATCTAGCCAAAATAATGACCTGTTGCCACAGCGCAGCTGTTACTGCTTCTGGGAGCAACTACGGTCGACAGCTCGTTGTCGTTTGTCCGAGGAAAATCTCCAGGGTCGAAACGGTACTGTGCGGTGGTGCAGGACGCCTTCCAACTGCAAATGACGTCTTGAAGTTTCTGAACTTGCGTCAAATAAAATGGCAGTTCTTTAATTGACATGGAGATCTGCACGTGCGCCACTTCAAACATGATATACGTAAACTTGGACACATGATCCATCATGTAAAAAGTGACGTGGTTACCTAAAGCTAGATATTTTAGTACAGTGCCATATCATATAACATATACAGGATAATTACCGACTGCCAAGTACGAAAATGCGCATTCGTCTTATGCTGATCAATGGCATTCTTTGTTAGAAGACCCAGTCGGACAAGTCGGAACCAAGTTATGTTTCATTGCTTGGTATTGGGCTTTGGGCTCTCCGAAGCCAAGAGAACTGTTCGTAGGACCGTCCAAACGGTTAATCATGGCATCGGGCCGTGCTCTCATTAAGGTGGCGCCTGCTGCCTTGCATTCTTCGTTGGTGACTGATGTTCTAATTCGTTTTAAGAAAAACAAAACGTTACAGAATTTAACGTTAATGGCTTCTTTTTCCTCCCATCATATGTTCTTACAGGCGGTGGCTAATATTGTTATCCAAATCATTGAATAACGCATTGATGGTGGGCATTAAGTACCCTGTCACCAGTTCTTATTAATGGATGACATTCCCCGTAACATCCATTGGCAAACACTCAACGCTACATACAAAGAATTTAGCGATTTGATATTTAAAAATTACAGTAGTTGATGTCCTTTTGCCCTTCGTTGTTGCAACTTACAGGTTTCGTACGGGCAGTAGAATTGTGGAATTCATTGTCCAGCTTATTTCGTCAATGAGCTTCGTGACTTCAAGGGAGCTACGAGCTCGAGACAGTTCCTCTTTTTTGACCAACTAAAAAGCATGTTAAAGACGAGTAATGAGATAAAAGTTAATATCATACCGTAATAATATCTTCCAGCTGCATGCGGAGGTCAATGCTGAATTTTCTGTTGGCACGTTATGAGTGCTCAACATGTAGGAGCAGCTGTTGGTCAAGGAAAAGGAAGGTCTGCTCCAGGAATTGATGCAGATCAGGATGGGTGCAGGCGTGGCTTCACCACAGAATCGGGGACAAGGCAAACAAATGTTGCACATGGCTCTGCATATACATCTGCTTGGCCACATTAAAACCGTCCAGGGTAAGCATTTTTGTGCCATCGGAAATGGGGAAAGTGAAGCCTGGCTTTCCGTCTCCCTTGTGAACATGAGCACTTGATTTCATGCGGGTCTGTTGCTTGTACTGCACATCACCAGAAGACAGTTGTTTGCTGTTCAGGGATGCCGAATTCACGGACTTTCATGGGTGCACTCTTCAGGGAAATCCAGGTTCATTGGATGGACTCGCAAGGATGTCAATTTTTTGGAAAGAGGCGCATCGTGGAAGGTGAAAGAAAATTGTTCACATTGTAAATAAGGGGTGTGACTGGAAATGGACTTCATTGATCAAAAAGTGGACATTGTGGTGTCTGGGTAAGCAGGAAACTGCAAGGCAAACAATGAATACGTGGGTCCGCCCCGGTGGTGCGTTGACATTTTCTTGGTCAAGTTAATGGGATGATTATGAACCGAAGGTCTAGACCAGACCTTCCTTACGTTTTTTCTAATCAAGTTTTATCTATATGACAATAAAGAAAAAAGAATTACGTGCCCCCAACAATTTCTTATCCAAAGTCTTGTCTTGCAGTGAAGAAAATTGTAAAGCCAGACCTTGTCTTTTTTGACATCCGATATCACACACACGCTCACCATGACCGATGCCAGTGTGACAAACGCGTTTTCATGATATCGTCAAAAGATGGAAGAATACTCGACAGCTGTATATGGGAAGTCATGTGCACCATTTATTTGCTCTACCGCCCATCTTGTTGGTGAAGCTTGGTCAGAACATGCTGAATTTGCATGAATCCATTGAATTTATTTAAAATCCAGCGTTGAAATTCAAGGGCAACTCGAAATACATACTGACGGTACCAATATCAACTTTTATGCCATTACTCGTCTCGTAAATCTTTTTGCTCCCTCGAAAAAGGCGAACTATGGCTCCAACGGTAATGAAGCCGACGAATGCAAAAGACCTGGACAATGAATCGTGGTTACTTCCGATTCAATTAAATCTCTTTTAAAGAATTAAGGCGTCCATACAAACGAAGATGGGCAATACAATTGGTAATAATTTAGTGAGAACCTGGCTAGATACTGTGCTCAGCCATTTAGAAGGCTGAATGTTCCCGTGCAGGACAGTGTCAAGCGCTGAAATACCACATGATTTTTCAAGCTGATTGTGTCCAACTCGGCCAACGAAAAAACGCCATTGCTCATCATATAACAAAACGTGGCATTTCTTATTTGGCCAGTTATGTGGTGCTGTACTCCAATATTCAATTTTACGAAATCACATCATATCTTATATGATAGACTCCATCATCGAATTCACGTATATAATGTTCACAGTAGTTCATGTACAGAATCCAATGTCCATTAAAGAAATACTTTTTTATTTGGCACAGTTACAAAATGCGTAAGATATTATTTGCTGTTGGGAAGGGTCATGCGCCAATACAGACAACCATTTCGGTCCCAGAGATTTACTTCCGACCACGGATGAAGCAAGAAACAACTATACTCGTGCTATCGCAACGACCCACTACCACAGTTACTGTTACTGTAGCTCATTCATCCAATATACCGGCAGTTTCATGTCATTCGGTCATTTTATTTAAACACTGATCCGTGAAATCCAACAGTCCCCACCAATTCCATTTGACCCAAGCACCTACAACCGAGTGATTTGTGCCAACCGGCCACTGATGCTACAATGGCTTGGATTTTTTCCCTGTAACCTGCTATTGTTTGCTCTGATCATGGATCCAAGAAAAAAAATATTCAGTTACTGTATGGGTCACCGGCGCTTCCAATTAGAATCAATGATCCTAATGGATAATAGCGAGTTGTTTTGACAAGCAAGCAAGGTTATCGGGGAGGCTGGATGAATGGATTGCTGCTTGTTTGAGAAATCAGGCTTTGGCCTGTATTTTACAAGACAAGCTCCTTGACGTTCAGTGGAGCCAATAGAAAATGCGCATTTTATTGCCTCCTCGTATCGGATTGTGAATAAGATTATTTCTGCCACCGCTGGTATACTTTTATGATCTCTGTGAATGACACCATATGACACGCTTTATAGAATGGATAGTGCCGATGCATATTTAGAAATGTGCGTAACTGATATCATCTTCATCATCAAGAGATCATGTGGCATGTTGTGTTCAAGAAAGGTAAGTCGAGAAAAAAAAGAAAAGTTGCATATTTTTTTTTGTTTTCATGCAGATGTTCTCCCTACTCCTTAACTTTCTTCTCTCTTTTGGTCTGTCGAATAATGCAGCTCTGTACAGCAGCTGCTTATGCCAGTGTCATGATCTCGAAAGTTCATACATAATGAAGTGGATGTCGACGGAGTGTTCCAGGAGTACTGAAAGACGCAAAAAAAGACTTGACATTTATGAAAACAAAGTCCTTATTTGCCACTCTGGCGCCTTTGATGGATCTTACAGAACCAATAAGAGCAATCCGATATATCGTTCGCATGCATTTTATGGAGCACAAGAAAGACAGACAAGAAGACTGTCACGGATGAACATTTGTCATTGAGCGACATTCATTATAGATACATCCCCAAATGCGGTTGATTGGGTACAAAGTATTTAAATTCATTAATGAAAAAAGGTCGCCAGAGTTGCATAAACTGTAACACAGATGGTCAAGAAATTTGTATTCTGATTGGCAAGTCCCATTTTTGTCCATTGAGGCATTATCCTTTCTGGGAACAGTGTTGACTGGCTTGATCATGAGCAGTCGTTTTTTATTTTTATTTACCTAGTCAAGCCATGGAATGCAGAATGCAAAAGAAATAAGCATCCTTGTTGACCATCTGCAAGAGACGCGTCATGCCAAAAGAGAAATAAAAAAAACACACACTCAGCGATGAACGTTGTATTAATCTGACAAACCGGTTTTTGTCAAAGATGAGCGTCTACATGAACCAGGAGTCATGTGCATTGCCACTGGTTATCGCGTGGGAGGGACCGCGCTGAGCGAATTACCTCCTGGTTTTTTTTTCTTTCTTTCCAAAGCGAGCATGGCCAGAGATCCCTCGAAAAAGAAATAAAAATACAACTTACAAAGAAAAAGTATACTTCATTTTCGCTTTACTTCTTTCCTCTATTTCTATTCTCATTTTCTTTTGGACCCAGCCAAAGAATGGATGTAAACGAGAGAACAAGATACCTCACGCATCGCCATTCTTTTCCGCCTTATAATGCTCGTCGAACTGGTGTGAATGTGGCCGATCTCGGACCACTAACGGTCATGTCCATCGATTCATCCAACACATCCATCACGTCTTCGTCGTCATCGCAAGATATCGAGGAAATTCAATGCTGTTCCTCTTCCTATTACCGTCACGACCCCAACGAATACTCCATGTGGATGCACGAATCCATACTCATCAGTCCACTCACAGAAGACAATCTGAAAATTCACACGGAAATGGTAGGTACAAAAATCCTTGTTTCGATCTGTCACTTTTTGTATGTCCACGGGAAAAGCATCATCCACCACGCAAAAAAAAAAAAAAAAAAAAAAAAAAAAAGAAATCGGAAAGGAGCAAAGTTGGGGGTGAAGGAGCGAGGCTGAGGGTGAAAAGATCGAAAATCGGGCTCCAACACACTGAACTCTAAAGTAGGGCGGGAAAAAAACATGAACGTTGCGGCTTTTTTGCACTTCTTTTCCTGGGTATGCCGTTTAAACCATTGGAAACTGATTTCTATTTGATTTTGTTTTTAGCATTACAGTCCGAGTAGTACAAAGTTTGGATGGATCGAATCGTTTGTTGAATCGCAAATCGAGATCCTAATTCTTGAGGCTGAGTTGGAACGTCGACGATGGGCCGACATCCGATCATTAATCCCGCTGGATACTCAGTCGTTGGACGACGGGGTGATCCAAGACACATTTCCGATCGCCGAAAACGATCAGCCCAATACATCTTCTTGTAAACGTCAACGGAAGAAATCCCACTGGTTACGATCCCTGATACATCGAAAACCGCGCTCTGATCGTCCTTCTCCTCCTCCCGTGGCGGGATCCACTCGATTGGAAAAGCGACCTTCCATGGGATCTTTTGATCAATATCAGCAAGAAAAAGCCCGGTTGATTCAGTACGGTTTATGTGGTTTCCCACGATCGAAACGTAGCAGTGATAATACAACATCGAGTAGCACACAGCACAGTTTGGCATCTTTACTGTTTGCCGAAGCATGTCAGCAAACCATGGTAACCGAATGGCCCTCCTCACCGTCGCCGCCTACCACGCCAAAACGGGACTCAGGTATCTCTTTATTTGCCGCTTTATCTTCCTCGGCTTCCTTACGATGGTCGCGGCGTTGTCGCCGCTACAATGAAACTTCAAAACATGGCGGTTCGTCGTCGTCTTCTTCCTCCTTATCATCTACTAGTCAATTCCTCGCTATTCGATACCCCAAACTCGTCCGAATGCATGCACTCCGTGCAGCTGCCATTCAGATTCTTTCCACCAATGCGAAACATGCACATTATGCAACAAGCCATGCTTGTTGCTGTGTCAACGAACCATATCAATACAATCATTATTTATCCTCTTATTCTGTCACCCAACCTCCTTTGACTTTTCATCCATATTCTGCATAATTTTTCTTTTTCACACTGTTGCATTTTGTTTTAAAAAAATATTCTCAATCGTTTGCTATTTATGAATATTCTTGTACATACATTTTAATAAACATATTCAGCCTGCTGTTCTTATTTTTATCATTATTTCTTCTTCAAGGTTCGAAAATCTTGCATCATTGCTGTCTGCCTGTCAAATCCAATCATCTCCGCGAGTCAATTTAGAAAAATGCCAGTTCTTTTTTTGTTTGTTTCAAACCTTGGTCCATTGGCGGTGAACTTTGTCGCTCGATACCCATTTTTGCCGCCCCAATTTGTCAGTATAAACTGTCTTGTTGGCAAAAATAGTAATTGTCCCATGGGTGATAAATGAAACACAATAACCGATCGTCCATTGTATACGTACGTGGTGTTAAAGTTTGAACACTTGTCAAAGAAAACACATGCCATTCACAGAAAAAAAATAAAACGATTTCAGCGGTTGCTCAATTAGGTTGACTGAATGCGAAAAGGCAAAACAGCGGCGGAGTTGATTTGCCGAAAATTTGTTTGTTATTTCGTGCATCATGCATTCGCAACCAATGGTGATTTTTCTCCGTCGACCGAGTTTATGGGATGCTGACACCTAATGATCTAACACCAAGATGGTGCACATTTTCCATCCGTTCCCTTATAAGACCCAGCGCGCCAAAACCTATTTCCTCTCTCCTCTCTCATCATATTGTGCAGCTTTGGAGACTTTTTATCAATTCAATTGAAGAATTCGTCCTTGCATGCATAAATGCTATGATACATATTTATCTACAGTCAAAACTAGTTATGCCATGCCTATTTACTGTATCTTGGCAGCAGCATTTCTATCGCAAATAAACAAAAAGTGAAACTGTCATATCAAAATGATGGCTTGGATTGCCGCTTGTGTTCAATGCGTTCCTCAATGATTAACCGCTTTTTTTTCTGGCGGAAATATTAACAAGTTTAAAAGAAAAAAACGAGGAGGAGGAGGTTTGAGAATCAATAGCGTAATATGAAACTGTATCAAAAAGTCAATACTTACAGTATCCTGGTCACGAATGAGCGATGGCTAATTTTTTCTTTTGGTAACGAATCAAGGGCAAAAGTTTATTTTTTTTTATTAGTAAAAGAAACGAGTCCATCAATGAAAGCAGGTCGGTCGTTCGAAGGCTCGGTTTCAGAGACCCGTCATGACTGGGTAAGATGTGAAAAGCTGTTAGGTCCATTAGAGAAACTAGCTTTGTATCAAAAAATAAAAGGGCCAGAAAGTCTCACGGAAGCCCACCGTACCTGAAACGAAGGCAGAATTTGATAGGACCACGAATAGGCGGGGAATCAAGTGAGACATCACTACATCGCCAGGCAACCAATGGGGTGATTCATCTGATAATAATTAAAGCGAGACAAACCTGTTGAAAAAGGTCCATCCTATCCACTTCGGTTGGAGTTTCTTATTTTTTTTTTTTTGTCAGAGCCGTGTCTATAACCCCGTAACCTTTTTTTTTTCAGTCCCTTTTTCTTTTGTATAAATATTAAAGCGACCTTTTTCCCCCTCACGCTCGATTTCCCGAATTTTCGGTTTCTGTTGATTTTACTTTTCATCAGTCACTGATCTATATCCCTTTGCTTTGTTTTTTCTTTCTACAACCTACCTACCTGTATTCTTCATCTGTTATCACTTATTCCTCGCGTTATTCTAATGGCTTTTGACGTACCCGAGACCATTTTGTTACAAATTTTATCCTATTTACCTCTCCCTCAGCGTTGGCAAGTGGGCAGGTAAGCCGGCTTCTAATGACCATAATTACAGGGATCAATTTTTTGCTCACATACATTTTGTTACGCAGAGTCAACCGCACTTGGCACCGAGTCAGTCTTGACCCTTATCTGTATCGTGACCTGCTATTTGAAAATTTAGAATTTAAAGAGTTGCTATGGGCCCTGCAACGGGTCATTGACATTGCTCCGCGGGTGCGTACCTTGACGATCGACCGGTGTTATTCCAATTTTATACAGAATATCGTGGTGCCTGTGCACTTTAGCAACGACGCTCCCAAGCGACCTCAATTTTTTTCTCACATTCGGACATTGCAACCAGCTCGTCGTCGACAAGAATACCTTAAACATGGTTTTGAATTGCACAACCAATTCTCAGACGCTATCAACCAGTTATTGGAAATGAACCAGAACACATTGGTCTCGGCCAAAATCCTCAACTGCGACTTGGACTTTGAAATGACCGAACTGTTTTGTGCTATTGCTTGCTTTGGTCAACAACTCACGACGTTTGAATACGCAAACAATGGCGACAAAGGATTGCATTCGTCCGGACTCTTGCAAGCTATTGTCACATCGTGTCCCAACATGCGGCATTTCCGCGGACTTCATGCTGGTATGGACGACGCGGTGTTGATGACGATTGCTAGGCATTGGCCTCACCTGGAATCACTGACCCTTTGCAGTATCAAGTCCAGAGATATGTTGGACCATACCGAACTGATCAGCAACGGTCGCGAACTGCGAGGCGCTTCACCTACCGGCAATATCTCCAGTCGAGCTTTCTGGGAACTGCTTTCGAAATGTCGCTGTCTTCATACTCTGGAACTGCACGATCTGGCATGTGTCAGCAACCGCGATCTTCTCATGTACGAATCCCTTCGAAAAGCGGCCATGGCCGATGCTGCCACGACCACGACCACGACGACGACAACAAGTACCGCCATCAAACGTACCGCCAAGGATGATCGTCGATTCAAACCTTACACGTTACAAAAGCCAGCTCATCCAGCGGAAACCTGTCCCCTGGATTCGTCTGCTTTTGCTGGTGGGTCAGTCCGCAAACTTCGTATCACCAAATATACCACGACCCCTCTTTCCAAGCCGGGATTCGAAACTCTGCTTCGCGTGTTCCCGAATATGACGCATCTCGAGTATACAACGAATTTCCAAACGTTTGACAACCAATTCCAGGATGTGACTCGGGAAATGTTTGACGCTGAATCGTCTGCTGTAGAACAATGGATGGCCACCCAGCATCATCTTTCCTATATCGGTCAATGGGATGATCCCACTACCGATGACCAACGCCTTATGGCCGGTATGACAAGTGTCTAAATAGTCGGACACGCTATGCCTTAATATTAGATACCCTTTTTTTCTTTCTTCTCTCATGGAACCGGTATCCATAGTATTGTTCATGGTTTTTCACTGCCACAAAACAGTTCATTCTTCTATTCTGTTTTTGATTTCTGATGTTGTATTGTAACTCTATCCAAACTGTCAAGTATGCTATTTTTTTTTTCATTGTAATAAAATCATTCAACCGAAAATGAAAATTGGCCATTCTGCACTATGAAATGTTTGATACCCAAACGTCCGCGTTCAAAATTTTACGTAGATCGGCAATCATCATCACCATGGGAATTGGCGTACACCACAAATGTGAAACAAACATCTGTTTATGAGATGAGAATAATAAAGGTTATTACCACACATAATACCTCAATTAATCAATTCATTGAATGATCAAAACCAAACACATTATCGTCACGATGTTGCACTGTATGTTGATGTATGAAACAATGAAATTACAACTACAATTACAATTACAATGGGGCATATTGTGCAGCTCCAAAAAAAAGCCTCCAATGACCCAGCAAAAACACACAATGAGATGACAACCACGTAAATCAACCGCCTAGAACCAGATTGCACTGGCACGGCAACGGTTTGGCACCATCCATCGGCGTATTGGTGACCAAATGATGCCATGCAGCAGCAGATGCCGTTTTAGATGACAGACTGATATAATCAGGAAATCCACTTTTATCTCAACTTAATGCAAAACATGTTGTCATTTTTCATCTATAGTATTTTTTTGGATGGCGACATGAAACCGGGGACTTAGCTGTTCCCAGACATCTGGGTGCCCCATTTCGGATTCTGGTGACGGAAGTTGAAAAAACAAAAAGCAGTGGATGGAAATATGCCTACTTTGGCTAAAAATCGGTTATGGATTTGAATTGATTAAGGGGAAAAAGGAGTTGTCAAGGCAAGATGGGACCAAAGACTCTGCAGGTTCAGATATGAAAAAGGAGTCAATAGAATTGCATAAAGAGGGGAGGGGGATTGTGTTTCAACCTTGGAAAAGAACGTCCATCGTTCATGCACTAACGTGAAAAACGGAAATTCAGCCGCCGTGAACTATGTTTGGCTCTCTCTCTCCAAGGGCGGAGGTCGAATGACACTATAAAAAGAAGGTTTAGCGCACGGTATCTTGTGAACCCACTGAACGATGTGTTTTTCCTTGTTTCTCGGGAAATGGATGGGTATAAGAGCATTTGGTACAATAAATAAAAAGGGAAAAAAATAGCCAACTGTTTAGTATCGAAGATTATCGATCGTGGGGGTTTGTCATTGTCACACAAACATAGGGAAAACATTGGATTATTCATAACAAAGAACATGACAAAGAAGAATCTTTTTTTTTTTTTTTTTTTTTTTTGCAGATAGGATAGTCTAGTCTCGCGGATCGCATCGCACGCTAGTCATCATGCCTCAAAATGGTAACTGGTGTGAAAAATCATGCATTGGATTTAACAACATAACATACGATGATTCAATTGACTTTGGATGATGATGAATGACATGTGTTAAGATCTGAGCCAGATATGCAGGTTCGGTGGGTTCAGGCCAAGGGAAAAACAGCCGATTCTACAAGACTTTTCTTTTATAAATTCACATGGAAAGTGGTTTGTCCCACCATGAAGGAAAAAAAAGAGATTACCGTTTCAAAGGCAGCATTTTTAAAGAGAAGCAGAGTATGAAAGAAGCACGATGACAATGAAGAACTTGCTTTGTTGTTTTACGTTTTTGTTCAATCAAAAAAGAGACCATCGGTCAAGATTTATTGTTCTGTTCGATCAAAGAAGGCGTATGCGTCATGGGGAAGGAAAGGGATGATCTGCGGGTGTAACCGTTGCGATAAATGACCTTCTATTTATACGTAATCTCGTCAACTCGGCCTTTTCCTTGTTTTATCGCTTTCTCCTATTCTTTACTATTTGCACGTTCTATTGATTGCGGTAAAATTGACGTTCCTGCCAATTCACAATTAAGGGCCATTGCTTTAAATACGCGCCACGTCTTGCTAACCAGCGTCTTTTTTTTTTCCTCTTTTTCTTTCTCTTTCTCTTTCATTCGTTTTTTTTTTCTCAAAAAACCCCCAATCCATTCCTTTGAAAGCTCCACCAAAGCCTTTCCTCCCCCTCCTCTTCTCTTCACTTCCCTCTTCTTCTCCTCTCACCCTAATTCTCCCGCCCTGGCTCGAGCCAAGTCTTCTATATCCTTCTTTCCGCAGCATTTCATAGAAGAATCCCTTGGTTTATTATTATTATTATTATTATTAATATCTAGAGCCCCATTCCAGCTTTTTTTTTGGCACGCATTTTTAGACAACCCCACACTCTTTTTTCTTACCAAAAAAAAAAGTACACACCTAAATGATGAACGATCCATTTAATGCAACCCCGATCATGCTTCGCCATCCATCCTCGATGGTCGCGGACGAGAAATCAATGATAATGAAACTCAATCAGGTAAACAATAACAACGTGGTTCGTCGTCGGTGGTTGGATTGACGCGGTGGCACAAATAACGTAGCAAAATTACGCTTATTTGGTTGGAGGACTCGTGCTACCATAAATTGGGAAAAATCAAGCAGGGCAAAGAAACTGACGTTTGTCTCTTATTGGATAGCCTCGTTTTCTTGATGACGATGACGTTGATGAGGATTATTACGAGACCATTGATGTGCCACAACATCTCGCACCCGAATTGTACCAGTACGAATTCCCACCGAAATCACGCTTGGAAGCGCTAGCCGAACTCGACAAGGAGGATCCATTTTCCTTCTTTGACGAATCGTCCTTTACCACCGCATCGACTTCCAGTGTGGTCTTTTCATCTTTACGTGGAGAGGACAATCACGGCGACGATTTATTCGATGATCTCGACTCTCTGCCGAAAATCGATGTCAGGGAACATCTCGATCGTTTCTTTGCGTCGACGCGAAACGTCGATGAACCCTGGGGATGTCACAGCGCCTACGAAACTGACAGTGTCGATGACATGCTTCGCGAACTGGAACAAGACAAGGCTCGGCATGCCGAGTCGGATTTTGTCGACGACGGCCGTTTATCTCCCCTCCAACTCCCGCCTCAAATCGTTCGTCGCTCGCAAAATCCCTCTTACTTTGATCGCCCCATGACCCCCGATTCTATCGCTGCAGGTGAGTATCGCGGTCGTGAACAATCGTACGACTCGGTCAGTACCATCCGGCCCAGCGAATGTCTCGAACAACGCACTTCGGCCCCCTACGCATCTGTCCAACGATCCCTCCGAAATTTGGATCGTGTCGATGAAGAAAGCGTTCACTGGAAAAAAGGTAAAAACCCGATGCCTGAGCTTTCTCGCTTGTTTTTGTGATTACGTATTGAACCAATGTCTTTATTTTATTTTTCCAGACGATGGTTCGGTGTACCTTCCAGACAACGATTCGGTGTACCAGGGTACATCGCCTTGTCATTATTTGGATGACGAGTCGGCACTTCCAATTTTCCGCAGCGAGTCTGTGCTTTATTTGGAAGATGATCATGACAATCACAGCGATCTTAGTTCCACTTCCAAGGTGGTACTGATGAAACTGCCTCGGAACAAGAATATCGCACCTACCCTTATTCAGCGTTGCTCGACGCGTCAGACGTACGTGGGCAGTGATGAAGGATACGACGATGAAGACGAGGATGACTTGTACGGTCATCACAAGGAAATGCCGATTGACTCGGATTCTGTCTTTTTGCCGATTTCCGAACAAGATCAGTCTCCGCTCGTCTGTCGGGATACATTGCGAGATTCGGCGGCTACGAAGATCCAGGCCGTGTGGCGTGGTTACCAGTGTCGTAAGACAAGACCCAATGTTTCCAAACTGGTCATTGACCTTGTGCGCGTGTGTGACGGTATTCATCGGCGCCATCTTCATCAAACCGATACCCGCGTTCGTCAACTGGAGGCCCGTCTACAAGAGGAAACCGCAATGCGCGTGGCCTTTGAAAAGGCCATGGAACAAATGACGGTCCTCGTCGACCAACGGGAAAAGGTCTTGTACGATCGAATTGAACAAGAAGTTGCGATGCGGGAAGCCTACGAACGTAAAATGGAATACACCTTGTCCCAAATTCAGCCGCTTGAATCGAACCTGAAAAGAGAAGTCAAAGCTCGTTATGAAATGGAATCCATGCTGTCGCGTGTCCTAGACCAAATGCAATCCATTGAGAATGCGCGTCAACAACAAGCCCAAGATGAAGCCAAAGCAAGAAATGTGATGCAACGTCAACTCGACGATGCTCTTTACCAACTGGCCGAACTGAAGAAACAGCGAAAACAACAGCAAGACACACCACCCGCCAAGATCCGCGCTCATGAAGTGGGCAACAAGAGCACCTTGTCCGTCGCTTCCTCTGTTCGTCCTCATACCCCGAGCGCGGCGGCAAGGCCCGTGTCTCGTTTGACTGCTCGATCCACTAACAAAGACGTCTCACCTCCTGCTACGACCGTTGCTCGACCTACCACAAGTATGCGTCATCGGCCTCTTCAGTCTACCACTGCCCGTTCCCTTGTTCAGCCCAAACCATTGGCTTCTGCTACCACAGTGTCTACTCGCGCTTCTCGCGCTTCCCTGAGATCGCCTCTGACCGTCCGTTCCACCGCCAGTCGTACAGATATCCGACAAGGTACCATGTCCACTGTCAAGCGAACCACCGCCATGGTCAGTAGCCGAGGTTAATCCCCTCTTTGGTTTACTTGATTAAAACGACATACGCTTCTCCTTTCTTGTATCCGATCATTCTCGATTCCCATGATCCATGGACTATGCTGTTAAATTTCATTTTATTTTTTCTCCGCGTTCGTTACTTCTTCATCGTTGCATGCCTTTTTTCATCATTTGTTATTTTCTTCTTCATCCATTTAATGTTTGTGTATTTTTTTATTTTGTTTTTCAAAATGACCCCTTTTTTTTCTCTCTCTTTTGATAAAAGAAAGAAAGAAGTACGAGTGACTATGCAGTGCCTTAAAAGCTATATTCTCTTTATTCTTCTTCCCTTATTTTTCTCCCCCTCCTCCCGTTTTATTAGTTTTAGTTAGACATTTATAGACATTTAGACGATGGCGATTGATTTTTCACCATTACATCATATAATAAACAAAAAAGATAATTAGTAGAATACATTTGCCGACCAAGGATGTTGGTTACGTCGACAATAGAAAGTTTTGATCAGGATTTCATGACTTCGCTCAATACAATGGTGACTGTGGCCGAGCATGAGCATTTGCTTATTTCTTTGTTATCCAGGGAGAGACAACACATGACACACTTACCAATAATGGTGATAAGAATGATAAGCGCCATAAAGATGATCCGGAGTTTCCACAAACATTGATGATCTTGACTTTTGCCTTTTTCGATATCCTTTTGGTTATTGTTGACTTTTTTTTTTTTGAAAGAAACATCTTATTAACCCATCTCATCATTTGTTTTCAAAAGTTGCATGCAATCTCACCCTGTTCAGACGACTCGCGTCTGGGGATATCTTTGGCTGCATCTTGCAAATCGTCCATCATCTGAAATAGAACCTCTTCGGTTTCTTTGACAGATTGCTTGGGCGCTTTACTGCCATAATACGGTATTGACGTACAGCTGTCAGACATGGCAGCTAATGAATGATTGGTTCCCAAATATCGTGCGGGGTTCCCGAGTTGAATGCAATAGACGAACAAGGTCCGAAACCGATTATCAATAGCCAAAAATTGATGAAAATAGCAAAATCAAAAGAAAAAGAAATAGAAAAAAAAAGAGCCGTAACTGAATTTGACATCATTTTACTGCAGACATTACTTTAATTCTGGCTGCATTCCTTTGAATGACATCAATGAGAGTGGTAGCTGGTTCAATAGCTTTCTGCTTCAGGCCCGCATGTTGTCTGGTGAAGTATTTCCATGGATACAATGATTCGACCATGGAAATTAAAATTATATCGGCGACAAACTGAACGCCGCAACGTGCGGATCAATGCACGAGGTCCATTTACTAATAAATGGCTTTATCTCAGCCTTGCACAAGCGACCACGTTTTGTGGAGAATTTTTTTGATTTCAATGTCAACTTGCTGTCTGTGCCACTTGTGAAATAAATAGCATTCATCTGAATAAGAAACCAATCAAAGAAAATATTGCACGGTAGTCCCTATCGGCTGCTGTATATCCGCGCCTACAATGTTGTGAATCGGCGGGTAAGCGGAATAAATGACCCGATGCTTTGACACCGGATACATTGAGCCTAAAATAGCCTGTCAAGAAAAATGGTCCAGAAGCAGTGATACCATACCGTGAAAGTTCAACCTGGGGCACTGACGAATTTTTCTTTCAGTTTCATAGAGTCGCCGAAATTCAAGACTAAAAGAATACAATATAATGAAATTAATTGCCACTGACGGGTGATGGCTGTAAATAGTGTTACATTATTTGACGAATCAACAAAGTTGCCCCTTTCCAGTGAGCAATTTCATTGTATCAAAGGAAAAAAACCAACTCAGTGATGAATTTGCCGATAAACAGTACGTACGTACGTATACTGTAATCCTCATTATCTATTAGCAATCATGCCAATCCATTCATCATTCAGTTGCACAAAGATAAAGAAATACCGATCCTCCGTCTATCGGCAGACTGTTCGTCCTGTTTATTGACATATTTCATTTATTTTTAACGAAGAAATCCCCAATTTCAATGAGCCGTCACGTTATTCTGCCATATCCCTCAATTTACCTCACATTAGTGTGTCTGTTATGGATCACATAATCAAGTTCATGTACAAAAGCTTCAAGATGTCATTTTATGGGGAAAGGTTCGTGTGTCGACCCAGGTAACCGTTTCGATCCCGGAGGCTTTCCTCCAACTATGAACCAAGGCGACGGGTCAGCAGTGCTTGATGCAAGGAATAACAACTCTCGTGCTTTTGTCGACGAGCCACCGCGCCACGGTTAGTGTTACTGTAGGTCATTGATTCATTATATGGCAGTTCCCAAGTCACTCAGTCCATCTTGTTGAAAGAGTTTTCCAGGTAGATCGACAGTCACCACCGACTCCGTTGACCGAAGCACCAACCGACTTGTACAGTACAGCGTTGCTCTCTTTCGAACCATCCTCTGGTGATAGCCCACCTGTGTTTTTCTGTAACACAACGGTGAGGACACTTTGATAACGGAAATCAAGGAGGAACGATCCTATCCTGAGCATCGCATTTCATTTGTACATCATTGCTGATTATCCTATCTGTTGGCAAGCAAGCACTTTGAATCTCATGTTCCTAATGCCCTCAAAGAAAGTCATGGCAGGTGTCCCCACTATGTTGCCCAACATCTCTTTTCATCAAAACGATAAAATTATCGTATCAATTTTCTTGACGTTAAAGAAAAGTTGAAAGAGAGGATGTTGCATCAACTGCTATGGCGCAAATCTCGATCGATGATTTCAATGCATATTTTTGTACAGTATTACAATCATACAACATAGGATAATTACCAACTGCCAAGTAAGAAAAGGCGCATTTCGCCTTATGGTGATAAATGGCGTTTTTGGTCAGAAGCTCCGAGTCGGACAAGATCAGGTTGTTGAATCAAATGATGCTTCACTGCTTGGTATTGCGCTTTTGGCCTCCCTGAATCCCAGGAGAATTTGCGCTTGTGCTTTATAAACGAGTGATCACAGCATCAGACAGCAGTATTCTGTATACGTAGTTATGCAATTCATTGTTCGCATTACTTTCGTCTATAAGCTTCGCTACTGCGAGGAGTTCACGAGCTCTGGATAGCTCTTCTTTTTCGACGGATTAGGAAAAGATATCTATCTATATAATTAAAATCTTTGAAAAATTAGCAATTTGTAAATCACATGACTTCCACGGAACCTTTTTTTTGTGCCTTCTCTCTTCAGAACCTCTTATTATTCTTTTTTTTTTTTTGTGCCTTCTTTTCTTCTTCAACTACACTAAGCTATCAGAACTTAATATCTTTTTGCAATACACTAAGACATTAGAATCTCAATTCTTTTGGTTGGTGCCTTTTTTTTTGTTCATCTTTGAACCATGCCTCGCTGCCCATCTTGCAACGGCAACGATCACCAGCGTTCTACCAATCGTCGTTGCCCAAATTTCTCTCCACGAAACACTACTATAAATAATGGGCGAAATAATGAGCAGCAAAATGCGGTTTGCACCAGTTGTGGTCAAACAGGACATCGTCGTCGCTCAAACCGCCATTGTCCCCTTCATAATCAAGACGGAAATACAGAAAATTTCAATTCTAGGCCCAATGTGGCTCGCGATCCTAATGTCTCGATGCCAAATCTTCATGATGTAGGAGCCATGAATGTCATCTGCAGCCACTGTCAGGCACGAATGTGGAGTGGAGAAAAAATTGCTGGAAGTACTATCACTGATCCTAAGTTTCAGCTCTGTTGTGGAAATGGTCAATTTGTACTTTCTCCTCTCAAACCCACCCCTCCTTTGATTGCCTCGCTTTTGACAGGGACTGGGGCGCAAGCAAAAGATTTCCGGCTCAAGATCAGAGCTTATTGTAGTGCTCTCAGTTTTACTTCTCTTGGTGTAAATTTAGACGAAAGTGTAATGAATGGCAGACGGGGCGCTTACTGCTTCCGTATTCATGGAAGTGTTTACCACTTGATGGGATCGCTACTTCCTGCTAATGGCCAACGACCTGCATTTGCACAAATATACGTCCATGATACTGACAACGAAATATCAAATCGACATGCAATTGCAAGCCATCTCGCGCGAGACACCTTGGAAGTACTTCAGCAATTAATGCATGAAACCAATCCTTTCGTCCATCTTTTCAAGACAATGGCCCAATACATACAGGATAATGGTGGTGCTTCCAACATCAGAATGATTCTTCGAGCTGACGATGCCCCAGATCCACGACGCTATAATGCACCAAATGCTTCTGAAATTGGTGTCATTATCGGTGAAAACGCAGAGTCCTCTGGAAGGGATATTGTGATCTGTACGCGTAGTAACCAACTGACATCAATCAATGAGATGCATCGCCTGTATGACCCACTCCATTACGTGCTGATGTTTCCTGAAGGCGACCCTGGGTGGAACATTGAAACTCGATCGACCAGAAACGACAGAGTCACCGTGATGAACTACTACAGTTTCAGATTGATGTATCGAAATGATGGACACCACTTGCACCTCTTTGGCCGACTCTTTCAGCAGTATATCGTAGATATGTATGCCAAGATGGAACAAAACCGCCTCAATTACCTTCGCCTCAACCAGTCCCGACTGCGTGCTGATGTGTATTCAGGCGTACAAGATGCTCTCCAACTTGACGACAACAATATGAATATGAATTCCATCGGTCAGCCTGTCATCCTTCCGTCGTCATTCATTGGCAGCCCTCGAAACATGCAACAGCTGTACCAAGATGCAATGAGTATCGTCAGATGTTTCGGAAAGCCTGACCTCTTCATTACATTCACGTGTAATCCAAATGGCCAGAAATTCGGAATGAGCTTCTTGCTTCACAGACAGTATCTGATCGGCCAGATTTGACAGCACGAGTTTTCAACCTCAAGCTCAGAGCTCTTTTGAAGGATCTAACAAAAAACCATACACTTGGAAAAGTAATTGGCTACGTTTATACCGTCGCTCATTCCGAATTTCTGGCCATTTTGGATTACACGTGAATGTAATGAAGAGGTCAGGCTTTCCGATCAATCAAAGAGCATAAAATGTGAGTGGAGCTCTTTTTTGAAGAAAGGTGATTGACGATACGACGATCTGGTGTTTTGTAGCATCATGTAATTTGGGTTATCTGTCAGTTATACTGTATATGCCCTTTCATTCTCTTCAGTAATCGAATGATACATGGAGCAGATATGCTTCGATCTGTGTAGCTCATCATTCATGCATCAGTGAGGTGACTATTGTTTCATCCATGGAAAAATCACATATTTTTGTCCGAATTTTTTCTTCTTCTTTAGTTTTGCATCTCTTCTGTTTGCCTGGAAATCCCTCACTATCATTGCATCCATCATCCATCATCCAGACTATGGCGTGTATCTGATCCGGTCGATTCGATTATTATGAAAAAAGGTACCTTTTGTGTGATACGACTATCCGTTTTTCGACAAGAAAAAATTTACCTGTCCTTTTTCTCTATTCTGTCTTTAGCTTTTGGTTTTCTCTCCGGTTTTCTTTTGCCTGGCAAGCCATTCAAGCCATCCATCCCTCCAAAACCTTTCTACTTTGTTCGGGCACCAGATTGTGGCCAATCCGGTTTTTGTCGTCAAAGGACATCTTCGGTCGTGTGGCTCTCTTTCTCATCGGGAAACGCTGACGCGTCCTCCCCAGGTTCCTCTCATATGGATTGCTTCCCGTGGTATCGCTTTCGATATTTCTTCCCGACCATTTTATTTTGTAGTTGTAGTATGTATTTTGTATTTTAGTGAATAGTCTTCTTGCAGTCTTTTCCTCCTTTTTTTTCCCACAGGGTTTTTAGGGGGTTTTTACAGACGCACCTATTGTATTTACTTTTTTTTTTATATTTGTATCCTTTCTTTATTTCGGTCGGGAAGCCCTCGGTATCTGCTGCATCAAACATCAAAGGTAAAATATCTCAACGAAATTTGAATCAACCAAAGAGCTTACTAACTCATTTTTTTTTAAATACCCAACATTCCCACACATCTTTGTAGATCTATCATAACCTTGGGCGGGACAGAACGGAGGGGGTCAATAAGTGCTGCTTTGTTCATTAAAAGTGTTTCATGGTATGCCAGAGTATTGACATTAATATACCAAAGTTCCATCAAGAGTCTCGCCCAGGTTATGCCGTATTGCGTTAGGCTTTTGTCTGACGAATGTCGCTCAATGTAAGAGTGCGGCATCCAGTA